TTCCAATTCGCCAAAGGTGAAGAGAATGGCCTCCTCGTACTCGTTACATAGGCGGTGGGTGTGTTGTGTGTGTTTATGGAATGCCGACGCGGGCGCGTTCCTGGCGGAGATATTCTTAGATAACGGGTAGCGCCGCTCAGACCCATGATCACCGCACGTCAGTGCAGCGCCGAACCATCTTTCGCTCACCACATAGCCTTTGCTGCTGAACCTTCGCTAGACGCTGGACTGGACTGGTCGCCGCACTACGTGAAACACGCTGCGAAGATTACCGGACGACACGCATGATCGCGCAATAACACTTTCACCGCCAACGAAAGGGGAGAGATGGCCACATACTCGGCCATCGGACACGAGCCAGCCGAGGCAGATGCCATGTCCTCGAGTACAGGCTCACTGCGTGGGCGACGGTGAGGCGACCACATGTCTGAAGAAGGACCTGGGCTGACAGATTTAGGCGTGGAAGAGGCAAGAAAGATGCTGGATTCCACGGCCAGGCATCGTGGATATCCAGTGTGATCAACCTCGCCAACACCAGTAAGCTGCTGTACAGTCTCCTTCTGTGATGTGGTACTAACAAGTCTCAGTCCTCGGCGCCGGCCTCCTCGCCATGCCCTCCGCGCTCTCAAAAATGGGCATCTTCCTCGGTATCTTCGTTATCATGTGGGCCGGCGCAACCGCAGGCTTCGGACTATACCTACAGACACGATGCGCGCGATACATTGATCGCGGCCATGTATCCTTTGCGACCCTATCGCAGCTCACATACCCAAACCTCTCCATCATATTCGATGCCGCCATCGCCATCAAGTGCTTCGGTGTGGCGGTCAGCTACCTTATCATCATTGGAGACCTCATGCCCGGAGTGGTCAGAGGATTTGCGTCTGGTGCTGGGGACACGAACTTCTTGGTCGACAGGCAGTTTTGGATCACTGCTTTCATGTAAGTGAAGACGTCTGAAGGTTGGACCGGACTCTAACATACCCAGGCTTATTGTTATACCCTTGTCGTTTTTGCGCCGTCTTGACTCTGTTGAAGTACACCAGTGTCATTGCATTGTTCTCGATTGCCTATCTTGTCATCCTTGTTGTTGCGCATTACCTGCCAGAGGAGACACTATCGCAGACAGAGGAACTGTCCGTGTTTTCCAATGGTGCAGGCCCAGTCTCTGCGCTCGCGGCCTTTTCCAGTCATCGTCTTTGCATACACCTGTCACCAGAACGTAAGTACATATGAGGACTTGATACGGAATAGAGACTAATCCAGTTCAGATGTTCTCCATCCTAAACGAGATCGCAGACAACTCCCACTTCCGTACAAATACCGTCATCTTGGCCTCCATCGGTGGTGCCTGCAGTCTCTACATCCTCACTGGTATCACTGGCTACCTGTCATATGGCGACAACATACATGGCAACATTGTCTCCATGTACCCCACCGCAGCCGCAAGTACTATCGGTCGTCTCGCCATCGTCATCCTCGTCATGTTCTCGTACCCACTCCAGATCCACCCTTGCCGTGCCAGCATCGACGCCTGCCTGAAGTGGAGACCGCGTCGCCGTAATTCTCCAGAAGGAAGTCCGGCACGCAACACGTTGATGAACAACACGCAAAAGCCCATGATCCCCAAAAATGGCGAAATGTCCGATTACCGCTTCGCCATTGTTACCACAATCCTCATCATCCTGACATTCATCACCGCCATGACTGTATCTTCGCTTGAGAAAGTCCTTGCGTACGTTGGTTCCACAGGCTCAACTACCATTTCCTTCATCCTCCCTGGTCTCTTCTATTATAAGATTTCAGACCCAGATTCGCACATCCACCAGCGACTTGTGAAGGATGAAGACGACGAAGAAGAGTTCACGAATGGAGAAGTGGAGGGCAGTGTCACGAGGGAAGGGTATGACAACAGAGACTGGAGACGCGCGTTACTCAGGAACGCGGCGCTCGGATTGAGCATATACGGGGGCGTGGTGATGGTGACATGTCTGATCACTAATACGTTCCTTGTTGCAGCAGCGCATTGAAATTACGAAAGATGATCGAGTACGAAGCATGAAACGAGTCTGTTTCCATTAGCATCAGCGGCGGGCGTTTGCATTTACACTACAGCGGGCGAGCGTTATATATCAATATCTATTTCCAAATTCCCCGATTACTCTATCCCAATGATCACAGCTTCAGCGCAACATCCGCATAACACATGATTGCCACCGGCATCGGCGTCGCCCACTTCTGCATATCGCTCAACGGCCACCGTCGCATTCATGACGATCAGTGGAGCGGTTTTGCTGGGGAATTCGCAGTTTTGGGTTCTTTAAAGTCAGCAGGGTGGTATGTCAGAGTGGAAGTGATGGCAAGAACTCACGGATACAAAACACACACGCCTGGCATACGCGCGTACACGGTATTTATCGGACTTGACAGACACATCAGCAGCGATACACTACAGCGGGAGTGGACGCACAAATCTGGCAGGGCGTTGCATAGGCCTGGGAGGGATGTTAGGGAGCGGAATTCGGTGTTGGGGCCGTGGATGTGGGCCTGTGAGGGTGATTAGAGAGTGGTAAGAGAGGGGGAAGGCGGCGCACGGTGGTGACCATCTGCGTATCTATGCCAGTTGGCTCACGAACGGGCGTATTTGTGGATATGGGATCGATGGGGGCCGCTAGAGCTAGGAGGGGAAGGGAGAGAAGGAGAACTGTGCAACATGGTGGGAGGGTCTTGTGGTTTTCCGGTCTTGTTGCCTCTTGATCGTATGGATTTGAGAAATACTTATGCTGGGTCATGAACAAGTTATATGTTGATAGGTGCGTTGGGGGTTGTGAAGTTCTGCGTGTGAAGGGATGATGTGATGGGTATGGGGGTTGGGAGGATGAGATGTGAAGATAAGCTTCACACTTCGTTTTTGTCAGTTTTTTTATATCAGAATTCAAGTAGAGACTTGAACAGGATCATGTGAGGGTACATGTGGCATATTTCAGATTCAATTGTCTTGGTTAGAAGTATCCATCTAGCATTGCAGCAAGAACATTGATCGCTACAACATTAGCAGAGCATTTTGATCAACAAAAACTTCAAACGACTAGATGTTGTACAATTCCGAAACAATGAGTTTGGCATTGACTTGCTTTCTCTGTTCAGTACCTCGGCGCATGGTGAAAGAATAGCGGGGCAATTGCGTGCGAGATGCGAATCAATGAACCGAGCCCGACTATACACCAATCTCTCGAGGTAAGTTTCCAACAAAGGACTTTACCGCCATTTCTTGATTCAATCGTCTGAAACCGCTCAGCACTTTTACCCAGAGCTCTCGCACCTACAAACGGGTCCGTACTGTTAGACCCACTATTCTTACACAGTACTTGAGGAACTATTCTCCCGACATCACGCTTTCAGCAACGATCATACTCACATTCTTCTCTCAACTAGATCAAGGAACCACTCAAGAGCTAGACAAGGTCAAGATTCTCAACTTGAAACTCTTTCCACCGATTCCGACCATGTCAACCACAAAAGAAGACCAACCTCTCCCCACTCCCCCCTTCCACATCGTCCCCAACATCAACAACCTTCGAGACGCCGCCCTCTTCCCCCTAACCACCCCCTCCGGCTCAATCCGCCCCAAAATCCTCTTCCGCTCCGCCGACGTCTCCAAACTCCCCCTCAGCGGCTGGCAAGCCCTCCATTCCCTGGGTATCACCCATGTCTTCGACCTACGCAGCGCGCCCGAAGTCGGATTCCGCGACTCGGACACCTCCAAGCCAGAATGGGTCAGCGCCATGACCTCCGTCGGCATCAAGCGCACGTGGTGCCCCGTCTTCACTGAAGCAGACTACTCCCCCGAGGGCCTCGCCAAGCGCTACGTCAAGTACATGGACGAAGACGTGGCGGGCTTTGTATCCGCGTACCACGACATCCTTCTCGACGGCGGCGCAGCATACACCACTATCCTGCGCCACCTAATTGATCATCCCGGCGAGGGAGTGTTGATTCACTGCACGGCGGGCAAAGACCGCACGGGCATCTTCTTCGGCTTGCTATTCGCCTACCTGGGCGTGGACAGCCAAGTCATTGCTGAGGAGTACAACCTGACGGAACTCGGGCTGACGCATGTGCGCGAAGAAGTCGTCGCGAGACTGTTGCAGTCCCCGGCGTTTAAGAATTACATCGCGACCAAGGCGACCGGAAAGCAGCTTAGCGCCGAGGAGATTGGGAAGTTGATTGCGGACGACAAGGCGGGGAAGCAGAGTGGTGTCGAGGAGACATTGGATCCGGAGGCGAGGAAGCAGGGCAGGGAGGCTGCGCTGAGGATGGTGGGGGCGAAGAAGGAGACGATGGTTAAGGCGTTGGAGATGCTGGAGAGGGATTTTGGGGGCGCGGAGAAGTATCTGCGCGAGAAGTGTGGTCTGGGAGATGGGGATTTGGAGAAGTTGAGGAGGAATTTGGTGGTGCGTGAGGAGGCGTGACTAGCCCGAGCTGGCAGAGCGGTCTTGTGAGAGTGGAGGACGTGATTATGTCAATCAGGGTTATGCTTTACCGAATGATGACTATAGACAAATAGATTGGGAATACATCTGCTTTAGACGGCTGAATGATTGAGATCAGTTGCATTGGTACTCATATATGAGCCCATCCGAGCCCTAGCATTGACTAGCAAGAATAGATTTTCCGAAGCCCACCATCGCCTGATTACATTTTGAAAAGAAAGTATCCCCCCCAAAAGCACTCGTAAGGACAGAGCGCACTGCTTTAATGTCCGTAAATTAGAGAAAAGACAAAGTCCGCCCGCTAACCATTTTGTTTTGTGAGAAAGATTGCTTTTTCCAGACAAAGAAAGAAGGTTTCGGAAGGTCGATACCGTCAAACGAGAAGTCGAGCTCAAGACTTGACGACTGCAGCTGGTGGCGGCTGCAGTGCTCCAGTCCCCATATCGGTGCTGTTCCAAGTCGAATCCGCAGGTTGTTCTCCGTCGTGCGTCTTCTCTCTCACAACCTCGTCACTCTTCTCCTTCTCCACCTCCAGCCCAGCCTCAACATCCACAAACGTCTCCATGGACACCGACGTCTTCAACCCTTTCTCCGGGTGCTTGGCTACATACTCATCATACGTCAACCCAACTATCTTCGCCTCCCTCCTCTCGTGCCTGACGCGCCATAACCACCACGCCTGTGAGGCAAATATCCCCGTCTCCAACACCATGCACGCGATATACAAACTCGCGCCCAGCGCATCGAACCACTGCTGGGCCACGACCGCCATCAACGAGAAAAACGCGCCGGCGTAGTCGATCGTCAGAAACCAGAAGTCGATGCCGATGACGCGGCCGCTGCGTTTGGCGAGCTCAAAGTATGGCGGGATTAGGCCGAGGACTTGGATTACGGAGGCGGAGATGGCCATGAGCATCATTGGCCATTGGACGCCGCGGGCGTAGGGGCCGCGTAGGGTGAGGATTAGGATTAGCTCCATGATGGCGAAGGAGGCTGTTAGGGCGATGGTGGCTAGGGTAGCGGTCCAGGCTCGCCATTTACTGCGCAGGTGGTTAGTTATGTGTTAAAAATGGAAATTTGGAGAGGAACTGACTTGTGGTAGTAGAGTGTCTGACCCCATGCGATGAGTGTGAGACCGGCAAAGGCTTGAGGCTGGAACTTCAGGGCGAAGTTGAAGTTCTGTTTCGGTCGTTAGGATTGCTTTGGGTGGCATTGAAAGAGAATTCATACCTGGACGATGGCGTAGACACCGAACGGAACACCACCTGAGGTCGTTAGATGTGATCATATCCGTGCTTTGGAGGACTTGCAGATTGACCATAGTATCAGCATCGATCCTGGTAGGCCATCGGTATTCTTCCGTCTCCAGTTGTGCCATATTCTGGGAAGTGTCAGTCATAGTCCGCGGGTTTTATCTGTTCGTCTTACTGTGGTATTATCTAAGGATTGTCAGTACTCGCTCGTGATCGGAATTCCCGTTCTCACTCACCTGAACACACCAGCAGCTGTGTGAAAGTCACATTAGTATCTTTGTCAAACCACTACGATTGAATTGCTTACACTGTCTCATGTTAGCAAAAGCGAATGATGGATGACCAGAACAACTTACCAGTGCCAATGGTCTGTTGTTCGCGGATAGTCAGCATAGTGATACAAAGACGGAGAATGCAGTCAGCTTACACCTAAGATGTTCGCAGCCTGGAGTTGCACGTTAGTATATGTACAGTTTGAATTGCTTCGAGATCACTGACTGGCGGTATATTCTCCTGCGGTCTGTCCATTGTTCGATGAGATGTATGAGAGTGTTGTCGAGAGTGTGATGAGATATATGTTGCGAGTCTCAAGCCTTTTGTGCTACAGAAGGAGGCAACGCAAGCTCATCAAGTGAGAGAGAGGATTACGCAACCGTTGGAACCAGCAAAGAGGTAATCGGTAAATTCAATGCAGTGTATACGATTTATCGTACGCCCTGCAGTATGTGTGTGTGGATTCAAAGTGACTCGAGATGTAAACTCCAATAACATGAAAGGAAATGAAAAGCTGTGCAACAAAAGTTGCCGCGAATGGCACAAAGCCGGACATAACAGCGGCTCCAGTGAAGGCACGGTGCCACCAAACATGGCTGTACGAAGCTACGATGACGAACTGTCAGAAGGGGTCTATTTTCTTTTACTAGCTCTGCCGCCGCAGTCGCGTGCAGATGGCTGAGGGCAAAGCTAAAAGTGGTCCTCCATCGACCGACTTAAGCCATGGGCTAGAGTACTTCTGCGTCGGGGAACTACGCCCCTGCATCCGGTGTGGGGAGTGGACTCAACTCAGAAAGCGTTGGATCTCGGTAAGTGGTGACTGGCTTTTTTAGTGTGCAGGGATGCATTCACTCCACAGGCTGATCTGCGCTCCGATTGGCGAGTCTGGACTTATCTGTGCGTACCTGTGGTTTGCCATGCAACATGCGTGCCCTCCTGTTCGATACCACAGGTGGACAATGGCAGTCTTCTTTCCAGAGCACGATGCTACAAGGGTCAAATGGTTGCACTACTTGTCGATCGTGGGCGATAGTCTGCAAAAGCATCGCCCAATAAAGCGTCATGAGGCATGATCGAGTAACGCGACTTCAATGTCGTTCGCGTGACTACCCTGGCCCCATCGACTACCTTTTCAGTCATGCTTTTGCGCTGCACGCGGTCCCCGCGCGAATGACAGGTGGCGCAGCGGTTATGCAGCTTCCCCGGTTCAACGAAAGCCGAGTTCAGCTCCCCGGGGAGCATCCATCGACCCTGAAGTCATCGACCACGGCGAAAAACCCTGATGGTACATGCTGATGGGCGGGACTGTGTGGAGACGCTGTGAGACGGATGCACCACCTGCATCCCGAACCATGGTGGTGGGCCCAAGCCTGCATACAATGGCGTCAACGTGAGTGTTGCAACGCCTTATTGATTCGATCCTGTACCCAGTGCCCAGAAGCGGATTAGCAGGAGGCTCTGCCGTCCCCATCCGATCGCATAGCTAGTCTGGTTGTTCCTGAAAGGGTGCAGAAGTTCGCAGTAACAAGTTGCCCTATGATGTTCAGGTGGTCTCCAGTTCGGCCAGGTCTCCCCGTCTTCAACTCCTGACGAGGACCCACATCAGTCCATCGGAAAATAGAGTGGGTATGTCGTCAGATCCAGGCTCAATGAATCCAAACCTGTACTGAGGATGTGATTATTATCGAGTTCCACTGTTCCTGCACAGCACCGCAGGTACACGTATTGCTTAGCCGGACTTTGCCGAATGCTGACCCCATACGTGATCATAAAGAGTTTGATTGAACGAGACATACTCGCCATAGCGCCCGCTTCAAGGTAGCCGCGCATGGCGCGGTTGACTGGTCGTTCCTTCGAAGCTGGATGAGGATAGGAATTGTGGAACCCTTAGCAGGCAGAGAGGGCGGGGTCGCTTGTCCCTGATGCCATGCAACATGTGACAGCGTAGCTAAAGAACTCACACCTGGCCGGATCGACGAACACAGGTTTGTCTATCAACATGATGAGCATGCAGGTGAGCAATCTGCTTGTTTGCGCTGTTGTCCGTCTTTCGAGACTCTCGTGGCGTAGTCTTGGCGCTCCACGATGCGCTTCTGGCCGCCGCTGCCGCGGTCGGAACATCTTCCCACCTTGTCATCCGTCAACACCACTTGTTGAGCGTTGCACAACGTCACTCGTCTCTGGATTTTCTCTGTATATGCCACGGACTTGTTAGGAAGTCGAAGGATTCGCCTGCATGCGTCATGCATGCCGGCCAGACGCATTACCAAAGGACAACATGCGCTCATAGTGCCGACCAACGTTTCGCAAATTTCAGGTCTACCGCGCGTTGCGATGGAGAGTTGGGCATGGAAGCATTTCCTCGAGTACCGATCGGACGGCGTCGGAAGATTAAAGATTCGTGAGCTGCTTGTGCACCTTCGAAACCTTTGGTCGTAGTACAGAACAGCGTTCGTGATACAGGGAGCACAAGTGATTCACACCTTCCACTCCATTGCTTTCCGTAGGATCCTTGACTTCATTCATATCCAATGCCGAAGTTGGTGATCTTCGGGATGCCGACAGTTGACGGATAAGCACACAGCGGATCGGCAGTTCGCACTTGTGCCGTGATATACATGATTGAGGCCCAATCACAATTTAGAGAGCTTGCCAAATTCAAGGGTCGAGTAAGCTATCACTTTCGTAGGTCCGGTTGTGGCCATGTACCCGAAGAGGTGACCGCTGTGGCGGCTTGCTTCAAGGATGCTTCAGGTTACATAGCCTGAGCACCATCATGCACGGTACGTGAGCAGGGTTCTAATCCTTGGTGGGATTTTTTTGATAGTGAACACAACGATACACCGATCAACTGTTAAGTGTTCCGTGTTTGAATTTCCCGATAGTGAAGTATCTTTGAACCATGTTTGTCGTGATATATTCAGAAGGTTGTAGTCTAGGTGAATGTTCATGATCATAATCCATCCGATTCATTCTTCAGAAAGGATTGAAGTATTTCCCATAGGCAATATACAGATTGTGTGGCTGTCGTCTCTAAATACTATAGTACATCGCCGTGATCGTTGAGGCTACAAGACTGGCTGTCAAAAACAAGACTGAGCGTAAAAGCACTTAGCCGATTGGACCGGATTGTTGTTCCTTGCGTTTTTGCTGTCTCAAGGCAATGCGAGAGTACACCGATGCGGGTTTGCCGATGCACACCAGGTCTCGCTATGGAAAATACCTGCAAGCTGACTGCAGTGGTAGCTTTTCTTTGCGCTGTGCTCCGAGGAAAGACGCCCGCTAATCGCGGAAAGTAGAAATATCGTGTAATTGGTGCTTCACATATTCTTTTGATCAAGTACAGTTTGGTGGTGACGAGACTGGATTGCCAATATGCTATTGATGCTCATGTGTGTCCTAAGCTCGGCGATGGAATAACTAGCTAGATGTAAACACGGAAGGACATGAAGTGATATGGTGATTAGATCGGAAAGGGATCGTGCGGTAGGAAACGCTGTGTGCTCATTCCCTTCGATTGCTTGGTGACGTTCACTGACGTACTACACTTATCAATACACTGACGCAACGAATCGCTTCGCAAGCGATTGCTTCAAATGTGTGCACGCTACATCCCATGTATCGAATTGTTCTTGTCTCTGATATTAGTCTGCAAGATTCTCGTTGCATGCCTTTAGTTGCATGTGCTGGCCTCATGTTAGTGCTATTTGAATATGTATACTCTGTTGCATTGCTGCCCAACGTGTGGGCACATGGCCGTGGAAAGGAGAAGCAGTCGGGTAGAGCGTGATCCTGCGGCAACGGAGAGAGCCAGCTTTTGGGCGTCTAAACAGCTCCTTTCCTTAACAGAATTGGCGATCTCCTGCATGTCATTCCGGACTTGGACGGTGTAAGCATCGCTGGCATATCGGCTCAAATATCATGGAACGAGTATGAGATATCGACAGGCCACTGCTATGATGTCAGGACGGTACGAGCACAAGGCGTCCTGGGTGGGTCAAACAGTGTGGCCATTCCACGTTTGTGGGCACCACATCAAGTGTTACCAAGCATGGACACATGGCCGACTGTGCATATGCAGCGAGCTTGTCAGGAAGCAGAGTGGACCACCGGGGTAATATTAGAACTAGATTCCTACTTCCTGGGTGTGAAGACCAAAAGGCGGGGAATAAGTATCGAAGTGATAAGAAAACATACGAGAAGTAGTGTCATGGCGAGACAGGGATGCCGTAGACACCGTCAAGACGTCGTCACTGTCTAGAAAGAGAACGGCTAGCCCCATGTAAGAAGAGAGATCCCAACTGCCCTTGCTCTCCAGTCTTCTGCAGCATGCAGGCCGTACATTACGAGTGCCTGTTGTTGCAGTATATAGTTTTTGTAACGCCGGAACTGAAAGAGAGGCAAGTGCCCAACTCACGGCAGCCCAAGGTACGTTGGTGTGCAGACTGGGCGCTGATGTAGAATGGCGCTTGAAGCGCTCATGCGGCCTCTGTGTCCGTGTCGACCTGGCCACTTTGTTCCCTATGCATGCGGGCCTCGATCTCCTTCAACTGGCTCTCACGAGCCAGAAGCTCCTGTCGCTTCTCGTTGATCTCCCGTTGGACCTTGACCTCGATCTCGCGGAGCTTCTCCTCTTCGCGTCGCAGTTGCTCCTCCTTCAAGCGGACAGACTGGCTAGCGAGGTCTTCAGGGTTCATTGACGAGTCACTATGGGTACGTTAGAAGTTTGCACGTCTCAATTGTGATTAGGCAACTTACGCAGCAGCACCACCTTCGACAGACTTGCTAAGTTTCTCGGTACGGTAGTTCTCGTAGAGGAAGTCGTGGGTGATTTCCTTGAGGTCAGCCAGATGGCTGTAGAGGAGCGCACTTCGGACTGCAAGGAAATCTGATTGGCGTGGGTTGTCGACCTCAACGATTCCCCAGGGGTATTGCCTCGCGCGGACTCGTCGGCCGTTAACCTCGACGATGTCTTCAGAACCGACAATGGCGAAGGGCATCAGGCCACGCAGCTCGGCGTTCTCCTCGACTGTGTCCTCGTCGTCCTCCTCGATGTCGTAAGGGAAGTTGTACACGGGGATACGGTAGTGCTCGATGTCCTCCATGACGAGCTTCTTTGACTCGGCAAGCTCAGCTGGTGTAAGGGAATCAGCCTTGCCGATGACCGGGATGACATTGCAGCGAGGGGAGAGGCGCTTCATCAGCTCAATGTCGAGCTCGCGAAGACTAAGTAATGTAAGCATGTAGGATGCAGGGAGCGGTGTGGAGTTACTGACCCGTGGCCGGTTGGTGTAATGAAGTAGAGCATGACGTGTACACGATCGTCGCGGAATCTGGGTTTACGCTTGATACGCGACTCCTCAGCCAGAATGCCATCGTATTGGCGTTCGAGGTATCCGACGATTTCTTGAAAGCTGCATCACTGTGAGCGAACGTCGCCATCATCAATTCGAATGACATACCTGGCCTCGTTGTCGATTTGGTCACCGAATCCGGGCGTGTCGACGATGGTGAGCGAGATGCGGGTGCCTTCCTCGTCGAGCTCTGATATCGGGTCAGCCAATCTGCGCGGTTCATTACATTCCATCGCGACAACCTACCGACAGTGATGGGCTGGATCTTGACGCCCTCCTCGATGTGTGCTACTGAAGGGTCGTCCGACTCCTTGTGCTCGAGAACCTTCTGGCCGCAAAGTGTGTTCACAAATGTGGTCCGGCCGGTACCTGAGGCACCGCACACCATCAGGCAGAACTGGATACCTTTCTTGACATTCTTCTTTCTGCGCGTCTTAAGCGTCTGCAGGGCTGTTAGTAACGTGTCAATGGCTGGGTGCGGGCGTGGTGGGCGAGGGAGCGGCCTCGTGTGCTAGGGCAGTAGGTGGTCTCGGGGAATATCGTACAGAAGACATGATGGAGTTCGAGCGTTGCACGTGGTACAATTCTGCAAGCAAGAGTGTCGGCAATTGGGGCGGCCGACGTTTTCAGAAGGCGGCGGGCGTGTGGTGAGGCGATTCGGGGTGTGTGTGATGGAGGTGGACGTGGTCGAGGAAATTTGGGGACGTTGACAGCTGCTCCCTGCGCAATGCAAAGGGGCTCACTAGCGTGAGCGGCCCCGGTCGTCGTCTCCTGCTTGGCGCGACCACCTGGCGCGACTCCGCTTTGGGAAGCATGCACCATTACCATTGCCCTCTGGAAGTGACGGCCATATGTTGAAGTCGATTTGCAAGTGAGAGAGTGAAACTTTGTACACTCCGCCCCCGCTTGTCCAGAATTCACGTTTCGAAACTTTACCCCATAAGCCCTGCGCAAAGTATCGCGGAGGACAATTCCTGTTTGTAGCGATATGTTACATATCAGGTAGGATCCCTCGTACCCATGACGAGATGCCGAAACCTGCAACCCCGAATGTATCTCCGGCGCGACAACTGCGGCGTGAATACTGCATGTCGTCTCAAGAATGTCCAGATGTAAAGTGTACATCACGTGGGGTGCGCCTTCCTCGGCCTACTAGTTCCCGCTAGCGTCGCGCATGGACCATGCCGCCTGGCGGATGACATCGTGGGCTCTACCATGGACCCTTCACTTCGGCTTCCTAGATTCACCCACGTTTCCCGCACTGCTTATAGGACTAGCATGCCGCCACACATTCTGCTATCGTTCACAGCGCTGTTTGCCTGGCCACCTCACATAACGCTGAGCTCTACTTCAGCACCCCACCCTGCCTTCAGGTAGCTCACCACCTTAGTAGAGCAACCGCTCAGCCACATTTCTTCGCCAGATCATAGACGCCGGGGATTTCAAGATGAACACCCGACCCATACTGGACTCAGATAAGGGGCCATTTGTGCTCTCTGTCTCACTGAATGCAGACAATTCATGCTTCTCAGCGGCTCTGGAAACTGGATTCCGTGTGTTCTCCTCCAAAACATGTGAGCAGATGGTCGCAAGAGGTACATTCTACTAGCGATTATTTCCAGACAGCACTGACATTAGTATAGAAGTTGGCGGCGGCATCGGCTGCGCGGAGATGCTCGGCACCACCAGCTATATTGCACTCGTTGGAGGAGGGAAGCAGCCCAAGTTCCCGCAAAACAAGGTCTGTCGCCCCGAGGACTCCGGCTGGGAACTGATCAACAAGACTGACATTGTCTACGAGGTCCAAATATGGAACGACAACACCAAAGTAGTCACCACAGCGCTCGAGTTCAAGACGCCGGTGCAGCGCGTTCGCATCTCGCAGACACACTTGGTCGTGGTACAGCTAAACAAGGTGGGCATCTACAAGATGAAGGTCCCGCCAGAGAAGCTGGCGGAGTATGAGACAGCGAATAACCCGTATGGACTATGCGCACTCGGAAAGGGGACAGTGGCTTTTCCTGGCCGGGCTATTGGACAAGTCAAGTTATATGACGTTAACACCGGTAACGTTAGCATTATTCCCGCTCACGACGGGCCCCTCCGCGCTCTGGCTCTTAGTAGCAACGGCGAAATGGCAGCAACAGCCAGCGAGCAAGGCACCATCATCCGCCTCTGGTCCTTCCCCTCGTGCACCAAGCTAGGAGAGTTCCGCCGCGGCGTCGATCCAGCTGCAATATTCTCCCTCGCCTTTTCGCCTTCGGGGTTGACACTTGCAGTCACATCCGACAAGTCGACCCTGCACATCTACGACCTGCATAATACGCAGACCGCAGACCCGAAAAAGCACAAATATGGCATCTTGTCCAAGGTCCCGCTCCTCCCACGGCAATTCTCAGACACGTATCCGACCGCTTCGGTCAAGTTTGAGATGGGCGACGAGCCAACGACGTGGGGTCCACACATGAAGTCGGCGACTCTGGGCGCTGGCATCCCCGGTGTGCCGGGTGGTAGGCCAACCAAGGGGCTTTTGGGCTGGCTAGACGATAACACGGTTCTTATTCTTGGTGCTGGCCAGGATGCGCGGTGGGAGCGCTTTAGCATTGTCATAGAAGAGGATACGGGTAAGAAGGTTCTTGCCCCGTATGGATGGAAGCGCTACCTTGACGATTAGAGACGTGAGGCCGTGAGGAGTTCGTTGTTGAAATATATAGGAAGAGGTCTTGGTAGGTTTGTATCAGGGGTGGAATGATTTCGAAGGCGTCAGGCTACGGTGATGGCCTGATTGCGGCGTTTGGCATCTACATTTCTGAGGAGTTTCGCACACATACCCTTGGGCACAACGGCGTATGGGTCCTATACATGTACTTTTATCCACATCTACACTTCTTCAGGAAATCGACGTTTCAACCTTTCAATCTCGCGTTTGCGCACACGTGTGAACAGAAAACATCTGACAGTAGATTCGCTCTGTACTTCTTCTAGGGGGTATGCAAATATCCTTGAATAAACCTCATATCACGGACCGAGCCGCACCCGAAGCTTTCGCCACATTGAAACGCCTGCGAAACTTTTCAATCACAAAAGCAGACATGTGAACAATATGCCTTTGCTGGAAGAAATGTCCGCGCAAAACAGACCCCTCAGAAAACTACGATGGCTTATCGCACCCAATGCGCCCTAACAACTCCTTACGATCGCCATGGCCGGGGAGGCTGATGCCGCTTGCCCTGGCGCTTTCGCGTCGTGCTTGCTGGCGTCTTTGGCTGGCGCCGTTCAATCGTGCGAAAGTGAGTGCGTCAACGCCGACCTCTTCTTCCTTGGGCATAGCGCTCATGCCGGATTCCGTGCATGTCGTTACCGAGTTGAGTATGGTGGATGTGCGGTCCTGCTCGATCTCCTCTTCTTCGTCTTCGCCATCTTCGTCATCTGAACGCACGTCCTCTGCGCCTGCGCCAGAAAGTACTTTGTATACAATCCTAAGAACCATGGAGAACCAGACGCAGCACAGTGCTTGTAGGAACAGCAGGAGGCCGAGGAAATAGTATCGGAGATTCGGGTTCCAGCAGATTGGTCCGTTCTGGTCGGTGTATGCTCTGAGCAGATTGCTCCAGGGTTTGTTGCCACCATGGGCTTCGAATGCTGCGGTATCAGACATGGGAATGTATAGTTGGTTTGCGTTCAGGCTGTAGGAGGAGTTTGGTGTGGAGGGGTGGTTGGGCGTGAAGTAGCAGCCGGGTGCCATGTCGCGGGGGGCGTCATAGTAGATGGACCAGCAGATTGTCATGTAGATAATGTGGCGGGTGACGAGCCAGGCGATGACGAAGACTCCAAAGGCGATGTCGCAGGCGGTGGTGTAGCCCATGTATTTGAGGAGTTTCGCAGTCTGCGAATGTTAGTATTCCCAACCTCAAACCGGGGCCGAGGCACTTACTGGAAGGATAATGTCTACGAAGTCCATAACGCTCAAGATGACGATTCCAACTCGCATGTGGTAGTACCCGTATGACAGGAACAACAGAGCAGTCGTAAAGATGTGGTGTGTGAACATCTGCGCATAGTCCTTGCGCTTTTCTTCGATGTTAACCACGAGGATCTGTTGAATCCAGAAGCCCCATTGGACGAGGTAGTACCACTTGAACACGCCCTCGACCTCTCGAAAAGGCCAGCCTTCCCAGACACCGTGCAAATTGAGCCAGAATTCCGAATTGTACATGATGTACTGTGCAATGTTAGCTTTCCAAAAGGTCTAGATTCGAGATGGTGTTGTCGCATACCATGCCGAGCGACCATGATGCAGTGTAGTACACTATCAGCCAAGCTTGCTCCTTGAATCTGTTCAGTCCCTTTCTCGACCGGATGCCTCCGAGTTTCGCCAGCGGGTCTAGGAGGTACTCCATGACCACCACTCGGATCGCTGTGAACAGGACGGTCCACAATAGAACGAAGGGCAAGTCGTCGGTGCCGCACCCGTACATTTTTGTTTCGGGGTTGTAGTATGACATTTGCAGGAACTTGGTGGTTCGACTCCGCGCGCGGGGGAAGAAAACATGTGTAAGGGACAAGAGGGCAACGAGGTTTAGGGATATGCCTAAAGGGTTGTATTGTTAGCCACCACAAGAAGAACGTGGCAGGTGATTCTGGACGTACCAAGCTGGTGATCGCACACCAATGCGCACAACGACGCCAGGAGCCCCCCGTCTTTGGCCTTCTTAGGGCTCGTCTTCCGCCTGGTCGCGGCGACTGTGACTTTCTTTTCTTGCCCGTCGGCTGCGTGTGCTCTGTCCATGGTGCCGTCGCCATTTGGCGGCGCTGTCTTGGTTGCCATGGAGGGTGGTGTTGTGAATTGAGTGTGTAGGTGGAGGGGGTGTCTGCGATGGTGTGATGCTATCGTGGGCGCTGCTTCGAGGGAATGGGGTTTGAGGTTCGCTAGTGGTGGAAGCTGCTCTTGGAGCAGTGATAGACGCGGCAGTCCTGGTTTTGCTGCTCAATGGGTTCGTGTAGCCGATTCTTGGTTCGTCAATCCGAGTCGCCAGCGAGTGACCAGTAGCAGGCGTGGAAGATGGTCCTACTCAGCAGCGGGCAGCCATTGGGAGGAGTGTAGGAAGAATAAGGTATCGGGGCCCGAGGACGCAGTGGAAATGCCCGGCGGGGGTCGATGCGCCGACGTTTCGAAGAGGAAGCGGTGTGGTGGTCCCAGCAAAGATGGTCAGGGTTTGACGTGATGGGCAAGCGCGGTTCTCGACTCCCGAAGAGGAACGCAATCCGATGTATTTTATTTGGCTTGTATTCACTATGGACAATTGGAGAATGGAGAATGGCACGGCAAAACACAATCGCCTTGCTAGTCGGCCAGATTCTGGACAGGTGTCGCGGAAGCTAACAGCTGCTTGTGTTCGTGGAGCGCACTACTTTTTTGGGCCTCTCTGACTGGGTCTCGCGTAACTTTGCTTAGCTTGGTGGAGCACCTCTACGACTCTAGCAGCTGGCAGCGATCATTACTGCAGAGCGTCGCGACATCAAGGGCAGAAAGGAGGTGGCGAGTGCTCTCGTGCACCTCGAGAGATTTTCTCTGCCGCCCATGCTGTGCGCTTCAAGCGACCTCGTGGCATTATCAACAGGCTGGTCCACCCAGGGAAGCCAAGGTGTCCAATGCAAGCTTCTGCTCCCGAAGTTCAAGGGTTCACGGCGTTTCCTCTTTTGAGCCAATCATACTAGCACGCATGTGCGGCTCCATATTGTTTACCCCGCTATTCGCTATTCGCTGCCAGCCTCGTGCTAGTTTCGGTTGTTTGCACTGAATGTATGCTTTCATCTAGGAGAGTTCGAGATGCATGGAATGGTTGCATGAGGACTACACCAGACTACACATACGTTGGGAATAAGACGAGACCGTCTGTCTAAAAGCAAAACGCGTATTCATACAACTACAAGGTAAGAACGTCTTTTAATTTACAGCCAATTCCAGTATCCAAACTTTCCCGTTCCGCTTCTAGTTGTTGTTCTGCGAGTTCAAGATCCTCAGGATGGAGAGGAACAGGTTGATGACATCAAGGTAGAGTGAGATCGCAGCCGCAATCTCTTCCTCGACGTGGTAGTGGCGCATGATCAGCTGCGTGTCGACCAATATGTATCCCGAGAAGATGAGTGCCGTGATGATGCCGTAGCCAAGCTCAACCTTGCTGTTGTACGGGAAGAACGCAGACATGAAGCCGAACAAGATCGCAACCCACAGCGCACCAAACAGATATGGCATCCAGCTCGTGAAGTCATACTTGGACTGGCAGGCGAACAGGGTAAGTGCGATGAAGATGCCCAACGTGAAGAGGGCGGCTTCAACCACAATCTTGGAGTCTGTGAAGGACACGATGACAGAGACAGAGTATGCTTCCATGGCAGTGAAGCCAGCAAGGAACACCAAGTTTGTTGGGTATGACTTGCGCTTCCAGAACGTCAAGCCCAGGAATGCGAATGCGCCGAGGAGCGACACCCACATCATCCACGGGTTCGTCTGGATCCAGTGCTTGTATGAGACCGAGACCATCGAGACGTAGCTGACGGCAGCAGTGGCGAGGAGTTGAACAGTACTACATGTAGTTAGTAACTATGCGCATGGTTGTGATCATCTCTGCACCTACAGAATAGCATACACCTTCCTGATGAAGGCCATGCGGATGTCCAGGGTCGCCTCCGCTACGACGCCCCCAAACTTGAAGTCATCTGGTATGTTGTCGTCTTCACCTCTTGGGACGCCTGAGAGCAGCGCCGCCTGGGGGTCGTTTGCTTGCGCCTGGTAGCTTGGTGGCGCCTGCGAGTACGAGGGCGCTGCCTCGTCGAGGGAGTCCCGCTGGGGGACGTTCTGGTACTTTGGACCGGCCATGGTGATGTCGCGCGTCGATCTCTGGTAGTCTGCCGATACAAGTGTGCTGTGCGGGCGCGTGTGGAGGTGGAGTGTTGGAGGTCAGAGGGCACAAGCAAGCGGCGGGCTATGCTGCGACTTATGACGCGGGCTGAGAACGTGACGTCTAGCGTGGAATCATCCAGACGTCGCGAACCTCCCCTTCAGCACCAACGTCTGATGCTTCGACCACAATCCACCGGCCCGCATTTTACGGCACTCCGCGTGACCAGCCGCTTCTCAAATTGTCTGATACAGAAGTCGAATTAATACTTCACTTTTCACCATCACCAATCGATGTGGTGGCAAAACGTCTGCTGTCTGCGCTCTCCAGACTACATATGTAGCTACCCTCATGGTATGAGCATGAAGGGTTTCAAATAATCGCAGACAGCTGTCACTGCCTTCACGCATGCGCTCCCAAGCACCAACGCGTTATTACATTGAGATGGAGTTACCAAGGCTGCGCCTCATAACGCTCTATTTTGCGCTTTCTCAGTTACGCTTCACCTTGTTCAAATCTGACTATCCCTGTCGGGCGTTCATATTGTATTAGTATTTCGCTAATAGCAAATCCTGTCGCTTTGGATTAGGCTGACCTGTTACGCTCTTTTATTCACTGTCTTGTATCCCGGGATGTACCGATCAATTCGGGAGCTCTTCCACATGGTATGAAGTCATGAGCAGAAAGGTATGCATTAGACTCTAGTAGTGCGCAAAAATCCAGGAAAAGAATATCCCGCTTTCGCGGGGGAAAGAAACATCTTAATTTTCTTAATTTCATTTCTTTCCAGCCTCTTACTACTTCTCCTCCTAGTGTATGGCAACCTGAGGAGACTTGTGTCTGGAGAAGTATTCGAACCCGGGCTATATAGCGAACCTCAGAATTCACCGTCACTAGTGTGATTTGGCACACCAAAGAGAGTCTGGCTCACGTTTGCAGGGCAGTCGTCGTCGCACGCGCCCAAACATTCTGCGCTCACCTTCCCGTATGGCTTTTTTATGTCAGCTTCACTCTCATCTCGACTGAACGGAGATGGCTTCTCGTCGATCTGTAGCCGGTGGAACGGACTTGGATCGAGCGGAGGCCAAGCTTCAACGGTACGTCCCTTCTCGTCGACAGTGCTTCATGTGGGATCCATTCTAATCTTGTTGCAGCATGAGAGACGATGGGAAGTGATTCACCAGGAAGTGAGTACTTCCATGCGCCTTGCTGTCTGACTCCCTCTGACGCTTCATTCAAGACAGCAAAGCATTGATAAAGAGAAGCTACAACTACAAGAGCGTATCTACTGGCTCAACACTTTGCACAGCGTCTATGATCGTTCCATCGTCCCGTATTGCCGCAGCTGGAACCTCCAATTCGCCGAAGAGCTACAAGCCCGCCTTCCGGTTGAGATACGTAACCTAGTCTACCAATATCTGTAGGACAGGGACACTATCGTGGCATATCTAGATCTTACCAGGGTCGCGGGCGGATCGAAGTGTTTGGAAAAGTGTTGTATCAGTGCCTTGCAAAAGATGTGCACCCCCTTAGAACTCCTAGAATGACAAAAGTCTATGACAAATAATGATATAATAGGGAGAGCGGTGATATACTTAATGATATCATATTGCGGGCAGCAAATCTAGAGGTTAGAATAATCTAGTTAAGTCTAAAAGTGACATCTATCAACGGCTATCTAGACCCTCACGAAGATCCCCGAAGATCCCCGCCAATAAGAGCATACGGAGGTGTAAAGAGGTGTTTCTGCTCACTATGTGGCTAGACTAGAGGGGGGGGGGTGCACACATTATGAAAACGATAATACCTGTAGTATATCTCACGAAGCTCCAAAACTTCCTCACTTCGTCGAAGCAGACTTCGTCGGTCATCTCACCGCTCGCGAGATTGTCAGAGCTCTATGCGACGCATTCCACTTCACCGATGAGCGAGTTACAGTACGACTCCCGGAGCATCTCATGTTGGCCGTTTTGAAAGACGTCTTCCAAGTTGGTCTTGACCCAGGCGAACACCTTCGGTCTCTTGTACTGCGGCTGAAGCTTGATCGGTTGCGAAAACGACGCCCGATGCAGATAAGTGGGCCTGTCCTCCCTGGTGATAAAGTGTACACCGAGGAGACTGAGTTGAAAGCCTGGCTCAACGGCATTACTCTACATTGAGCACAAAGAAAATTTCATCTTGGAAATCCTTCTATTCCAGCGCAACATAAGGATTGGTGTGGTCGAGGAAGTGCTTATGGCGCTGACTACTGTCTGGGAGGTCCTGCACAGCCGCGGTGGTAGAGTCGCGATCGATTGGGTGTACCGTGGCCACTGGCATGGCGGTGTGACCCGTGACGCTGTTGAGCCGTTGCAATGAGAGATGAAAAACTTCTTCGTGCTACAGCGGAGTCTCTGGAGGAAGGAATTCTTCCGATTCTTGACTGATGTAAGTCAGTATTCAACATGGGAAGCTCCTGCTTACTCTCACAGGAGGAACTGATTGACAAGATCCGACCAAAGCATATGAGGTTCTTCAATGAGCCTTGCGAACACATCCCGGACCATTCATTTGTTCACATGATGTGGGAGGCTTCTGAAGATGAGCGTACAACCGATGGAGAGGAAGAAAACCAGCGCCCCGATGAGCCGTCCAGCCGAGACAGAGACGATGGTGACAGTGGCGCTGAATGCGAAGATCAGGAAGAGCCCATCTTTCGTCTTATCGACTATCCAAAGGTCGAAGAAGATGCTGACGGTTCTGAGACTAAGGAGGTTCTCGATGACCCAAGTGCTAACAACTGGGCTAGCCGAATGAGGTCACGCCTAAGAGAGCGAGCGTAGTGGCTGATCATTGCAGCGCGAATTGATGCAGTATAGTACGTTGAACATTAATGGCGGTACTCGGAGAAATGGAAGGATTTGAAGCATGTTATAGCTTTGACATATGTAACACTCTCATATCAGTCAACGTACATGTTGCACTGCCACTACTCGTTGAACAGACTCAAGCCTTCCACTTCCACCGTCCTCTTGACTGCCTCCCTCTTGACAACTTCTTCCACCAACCTGGTGTAATTTGGGTAGTTATCTCTCATGCCCATCTTCAAAATGTTCCCCCATCTATAGAAAGTGTACATGTATGCATCAACAAGCGTGAACGCATCACCCACTGCATACATTCTCCCCTTCAACCTCCCTTCAATAAAGTCAAAGCACTCCTTTGCGCACTTCCGCCCCTCCGCTCTGACAATCTCATACATCCCCTCCTCCCCACCCACAAATCTCATCGGCCGAAAAATACACCCAAATGCCTGTCCATGCACCGTCCCACAAAGCCAAGCCATCCACTCTTGCGCCCTCGCCTGCTCCAAGATAGTAGCACCCAAAAGCTTCTTTTCAGGCGCCAGGGCGGAAATCACGCTCAAGATGGCAGGCGACTCGGTAATGCGTTCGCCATCGAGTTCTAAAACGGGGACGCGGCCTTTGGGGTTGATGTGTAGATGCTCGGATGGATAGCCGCGGATGGCTTCGAGGTCGGTGGTTGTGAATTCGAGGCCGGTTTCGCGGAGGGCGATGTGCGAGGCGAGAGAGACGGCGCCGGGGGTCATATATAGGTGAAGTGTGGGTGGCATTGTTGTTAATTTTAGTGGGAATATTCGAGAGAATTGTTCGGTTTGGGAGTGTTGAAGTAGGGGTTTGAGTTGGGGATGTGTTATCTAAGTAAATGTATGAGTAATCGTGACAGTAACAGTCTGTGCTGCAGCCCATCCTTAGCGCTGAGGACAATCTGCGCAATCCTTCGCAAGCTGGGGTTTATATGTGGAGCTGCATTGGTAACGGAGACGCGTGTGTCAGCAGCGGAACTGGAGCCGCGGTGGTCTTTCAGGCGTCTCAAATGAAGAGCACTTTTTTTCTCCAGAGGATGTTGCATTAGTAGCCAAATGTGTGAGCTTCTTCGTCATTTTACCGTGCTGAGCTTGCTACGCTATAATATTGAAAACTTAGGCATTGTTACACGTGGACTGGAGGTCGAGCAATGGTTGCCTTGTCTGTCTCGCGTCGTTTACTTAATACATAATGAAGGTGGAGTTGACTAGAAACGTAAATGAACATGAAACGTTACGGATCTATATATGTGGAACGAAATTGGTCCACTCTACATTAACGTAAGCGGATGCATTTACGTCTCTCAGCTCGGCGAAAGCCTCTCCAATGAGATAGAGTCTGGCAATGCCATATATGATGGCCATAGGAGTGATCGTGATAAACTCCCACAGCACCGGCAGCTCCGACATTTTGCGCTGGGGTTGAAGGGTCTGTTTACGCGTCATATCGCGTCGATGTCTCTGTAGTCCCTGCCGGTTGAACATGTAGAGGTAAACCGTCTTCCAGCGCCCGAGTCGTGTCCACGATGCAATGGTCTCGAAAAACCAGAAAGCAACCGTTATCCCAAAAAGCAGAAGTGATGAGATGCGCCAAAGAAGTCGTTCAGTATTTGTGGGGAAGTCGAAGTGCCAACCAGCGACATGTATTGCTGTGAATAGTAGGGTAGCGAAGCACAACAAGTATTCTTGCGCGCCATATGGATTTGTCGGAAACCTATCGTTCGGGATTCGTTGTATTGGCCGTTCTTCGGGTAAAACTGGCATACCCATAAAAGGTTGCACGTTCACTGAGTAAGCAGGGCCGTTGGGGTCGACATGATCAAGCGGTGTAAGGTCCCACTCAAGATTGCCAATCATATCAGCCACTGTCTTGGTTGTATAGATATGCACCGGGGTGCTAACATCTGCAGGTTTGTGTAGCCATGCAAATGATGTCATCAACGAACAGACAACGATGGCAAGAGCATTGAGCTCAAGAGTGGTAATTGTCAGCCTCTGGGCCGCCCGAGCAGAGCATTGAATGACCAGATATCCGACTTGGAAAGCGGTGATGACCTTTGTGAAGGTGTCTTGTTTCGACTTGTCCCACACTTCGCGCCTCGTTATATTCGGAAACTCGATGTAGTTGTGACGGACGAGCCAGTGTAACTGCAAAGCATTGACGGGAAACACTGTTCCGTCGTGGGTGTGAAGCACGAAGCCACCCATATCTGCAAAGAAGGCATGTCGCATATGCCATTCTGGATGTTCGTCTCGAAAGGCGATGACGGACCATTTCGCTCTACTCCACTGACCAGCAGCGTATGTAAGAACGAACTCTGGGCCAATGATACCTAGGAGCATCCATAGTATTCGGCGATAGACGAGCTGCACATATGTGTCTTTCGGTGCTGGTAGATTCAGGCATAACATGGTATATGTGCTAATACCGATTGTCACAAGGGATACCCAAAGAATATCGAAAGTCCCACGATAATTCGGTTGTTCGACCCAGCCCTTCGCTCGTAGCTTCGAAGCAGTGCTGTATGCCAGTGGTTTCGAGTCTATGGCGCAAGCGTTTAGACGACGCTCCAGCTCAGGGGTCGCCTGTGAAGCTTCTGTATAGCTGACCAGGAGTAGCAATTGGAGAAAGACCAGACCACAGTGACGGAAAGCCATGGTGCGGACCAGCGCAGAACGGAGACTGAAGTGGAAAGGGAATGGATAGCTGTTGCAAAGCTCAAAGCAAGGCTTTCATCTCCCACTATGTGGTTTATAGAATATGGCGCGGGCGGCAAGACGGCAACCACCCGTCTCACTAGGTCGATTATTGGGGGCCGATTGCGTGGGTGCGTAGGAAGAAGTCAGCCACATAGTTTCAAGGGCACAGGTGTGCATGTTTATCTCGAAGCTTTGATAACCTTCATTACGGCACAGTAACATCCATTGGACACGGGTCCAGATCAATGAATGGGAATTCCCACCTACGTAGAGTCCTACCATGGCATGGTCTCGCAGCTACCATGCGCGAGAACTTTGGGATCTTACCGAGGATGAAATCTGCTTAAGGATGTCTCCAGTGAAGGCAGAGGAAAAGATAAAATGCGCGCTGAAGTGCTCGAATGCAAGAAACAAATTGCGTGGGACACGTCGGCACGGACCGAGGGGCGTGAAAGTGCGGCGCTAGCGGATGATAGGCCCATTTAGCGCTTATCTGCAGCTACTGAAACACAAAGGAGCGTCACGCTTAGGATTTCCACCGCGATCTGCCAAGCACGGCAGCCTTTTGTTCTGTTCTCCTTTTGCCATGCATCGCAGTGCTCGAATCTATCTCCGAAATCTATGGCTTCAGCATCCGCCGTTTTGAAGCCACTCTTCGGCACTCTCGCAGGTATTATCGGAGTGTATGCTGCCTTCATCTGCCTCCTTACCGTTCCAACGCTACAGGACCATGTCATCTTCTTACATAAAATCGCTCTTACATGGGGCCAAGATGTAAACGTTCCAGAGCAATGGGGGTTCCTGAGAAACCAAGTAACACCCTTTCATCTAAAAACACCCGACGGAGAGACGTTACATGCTTGGCACATCCTGCCACTCGAGACTTATCGAAAACATCAGAAGGAGCTGCGCACAGAACCTACCGGACTTTGCGCCAACATCGAGGAAAGGTTGTCGTTCATGTTACTCAGGGACGACCCGACAGCGCAATTGGTGGTCTACTTACATGGAGCAGCTGGCACTCTTGGCTCAGGATGGAGGCCTCAGAGTTATCGAGCCTTGTCTGCGACTTCCACCAACGTACACATCCTCGTCATTGATTACCGCGGTTTTGGAACTAGCACAGGATGGCCTTCGGAAGAAGGCCTGTTGACTGATGGCCAAACCCTTGTCAAATTTGCGTTGGAGAAAGCTGGTGTTCCTCCTGAGAGGACAGTCATATTTGCCCAATCCATCGGTACTGCGGTTGCTATTTCACTCACGCATCATTATGCACTTCAATCGCCACCAGTGCTCTTTGCCGGCACAGTACTGGTTGCGCCCTTTGCGGACGTAGCAAGTCTTACTCGCACGTACAAGGTTGCGGGAACCGTCCCTCTCTTATCGCCTGTGGCTTTCTTCCCAAAGCTGCTGGCACTTCTCAATCGGTTTATCCTGACCAAGTTTCCATCGAAGGAGAAGCTTGCTGATATCATTCGCCACCTGGACAGCATAAAGATAGACGGCCGCCAAAGCAAGTACGATATCACACTCATCCACGCTGAAGACGACTATGACATTCCATGGATACACTCGGACGTTCTTTTCTGGCATGCGGTCAATGCTACAATAGAACCTTCTTCGCCAATAACTTTTGAAAGTCTTGAAAAAATCAAAGCTGAGCAAAAGACACCACTCGGAGCTGGAGGATGGGAGATGGAATGGGAGGGGAAGGGCGGTATCGTACGAGAACAGATTATAAAGCATGGCTTGCACGATCGAATCATGTCGTATCCTGTCGTGAGTCTGGCAGTATCGAGAGCTTTCCATAGTCAGGATGAGGTGCGAGAATGAACGCGCCCTTAGTCGAAATCAGTGCTTTGCTCGCGACCTTCGTTCAGCAAGAAAGTCCATTTGCGTGATGTAGCTAGCATCGAGATCGAAACTTCCATTCCCACGAATGAATCCATTCCGAAGTATCTCGTTGCCATCTTCTTTCATTTTGGAGGATACTTTCAACCGTGCTCATAACTCGTGAGAGCTCACGCAGTTGCTTTGAGTACTCCGTCACTACAAGGTCGTCGCGACGAGGTCGTTCATCGATTGTGCGCCTTGTACCAGCTTGAAGTTCTTCATGTAGTTACTCGGCAGGCACATTTGCACTGCGACATCGAGATACCTGCGGAACCGTACCAGTTAGCACTGCTAGTCGCAGCGCTTGTGGGTGTTATGGCTGGAAAGTGTTTTCACAAGCGAAAGCCAGAGCTCGGCTGTGAGCTTGGACGCCTTTGCAGCTTCCGACGCGTGCGCCATGACGTCTTCACGAGCTTGCACGAGCACCACAAAGCGGCTCCGCGGTGAGCACTCCGCAAAACACTATGACAGCTTTCCCCGCATTTGGTAGGGTCCCATATCTCCTGAACTTCCCTTGATCTTCATCACAATCCTGGAAGATATCCTTGAAGCACATCTCCCGCTCTCACTATCTATCATGGCGTCTGACAGTCCCGACAAGGCGGACTACATCTACAATTCGCAGCTTGTAAGCTCATCAAATGTACCTCGGCAATGATGTACTGACATAATTAGGATGCATTCACTCTGTACCACATCTCCAATGAGCATCATCACAGCGCTGTCGGCCCTGCGCTCCCAGCCCTCGGCCATGCGACCTCTGGCGCAGCAGGAACCGCAATTGCGAAGCTCGTAACCTACCCTCTCGATCTCGTGATTACCCGCCTTCAAGTTCAGAGGCAATTGAAACGCGATGGCAAGCATGCGCACTATACTGGGATCTTAGATGCGATCGAGACCATATACGAGCGGGAAGGAGGCCTGAAAGCATTCTACAGCGGTGTGACCCCTGAGGTGGTCAAGGGAGTCGCAGACAGCTTTCTGTTCTTCCTTGCATATTCGTATGTGAGACAATCAAGGCTGAATGCGCGAGACACTGGGAAGCACCTGCCAGTTCTGGAAGAGATCGGAGTGGGAGCTGTGGCCGGTGCCTTCTCCAAGTTTTGGACTACGCCTTTGCAACAAATTGTCACGAGAAAGCAGACTGCAGCCATGGTCCATAACGACTCACGGACTGCTCCGAGCGCAAACACAGTTGACATTGCGCGTGGCATCTTGCGCGAGAAAGGCCTGCAAGGCTTCTGGTCAGGCTACTCGGCGAGTCTTGTTCTGACCCTGAACCCGTCCATTACCATGTTGCTTCACAAGGTTCTCCTACGCCTGCTCGTTCCAAGAGCGAAGCGAGACGACCCGGGTGCGCGCATCACTTTCCTCGTTGCAGCTGTGAGCAAAGCTATGGCATCCACCGTCACATACCCCTTCTCTCTAGCGAAAACCCGAGCCCAGGTGTCTTCACAGAAGCCAACGTCTGTTTCGGGCGAAACATCAGAGACGGAGAAGCCGGGTGCAGAACGCGATTCGAAAGCAGCTCGGGCAAGGCAACGAACAGTCTTCAGCACGATTCTGCGCATTGCCGAGACGGAGGGCATCTCCGGTCTCTACCAAGGGCTTAGTGCAGAAGTTCTGAAAGGCTTCTTCTCGCATGGTATCACCATGCTGATGAAAGACCGCATTCACACAGTCATTATCAGCCTGTATTATACGGTCTTGAAGTATCTGCAAAAGTTCCCAAGCCCCGAAGAGCTGGCCAAGAGGGCTTCCGAAGAAGCTAAAGACTTGTACGATCATGGTAAAGAAAAAGCAGGCGAAGCGTACACGAAGGGCGTTGAGATAGCGGAGCAGGCCACAGAGAAGGCCAAGGAAGTGGTCGCAGAGGGATCCGAGCAGGCTTCGCACCTGTACGAGAGCGGCAAACAGCACGCCAGCGATGCTTATGCGAAGGGCACTGAGCTCTCACATTTGGCTTCGTCCAAGGTTCAGGAAGTGGCGAAGACTGGCTCTGAACAGGCTGGGGGAGCCCTTCAGCAGGCCAAAAGTGCTGCCAGCGATGCATCTGAACGGGCTGCTGGTGCTGCAGAAACAGGAAGAGATGCGGCAGCGAACGTTGGCCAGCGCGTCGACGAGGCTGTGAAAGATGCCGACGTCAGAGACATTAACGGTCCTGACACAGGCATCAAGGAATAAATGGTTGCTGAGGAACGGTGTTACGAGGCCTTCAGATTGTACATATACCCCTGGTTTGAGTTTCTGGTACATGATTGTAATAGCCGTCTTTTTTTAAATGATCGGAAACTTTGTGACATGTCCGGCTATTGTTCTAGAAGGACTCTTGAGAGCGACATGGTTGATCCTGTGACATGGTGAATGATCTGATGTGGCGCATGCGCTGTTGCGTTGCTACAGCATCCCTGCATTGCGCTAAGATGCGTTAGAGGTGCCTGCCACGCCCAGCCCGCAACATCTTCCCCCACTGATTGACAACAACATCGCCGACCGCACTTGTGCGGGCTACTAACTACTAACCGGCACAGGAACAGGAGAATTAATAGCACGGCGATTCAAGCGGACAGAGAAAGAGACGGGCCGCACATGGGCAGAAAGTAGCGCATCGCTGTCGACAACACGACAGACCCTAGCAGCGAAACGGGCAGCGACGTGGAATAGAAGGAGTCAGGAACGACCAGCGCACGACCCCGCCATTAAACTCTCAGGATCAAGCCACACGACGCACAATCGCAGCCAACTGCACTCGGAGAATATTATTTGGTCGTTGACAGCCGCAGTCCGCCAACAACACCTCGGCACCTTCTCCTGATCTGCAGGCGGCCGAAGTTGCACCTGTCGCGCGGCCACCATGGCGGACGAGACCCCATCCTCTCCCCCGAGCGGCGGATGGGCCAGCATACAGGAGGAGCTGGCCTACTACAAGTCGCAGTATGAGACGCTGGAAACGGAGTTGCAGGAATTCCAGAACTCGAGCAAGGAGCTCGAGGCCGAACTGGAGCGCGATGTGGAGGAAAGCGAGAAGCGGGAGCGCAAGCTGCAGGAGAAGGCGGAGCGCCTGGGCTTCGAGGTTGAGGAGTGGAAGGTATGCGTGGTCCTGAAGTCGCCCCATGGGCGTGTCGCATAGGCCCGGGTATCTTTACTAACGAACATGGCAGTCCAAGTACAAGCAGAGCAAGACGGAGGCCAACAACGCACAAAACACGCTGCAAAAAGAGATCACCGCACTTCGCGACGGACAACGCACGCTACAGCTCAAGCTACGCGACATTGAGGTGCAAAGCGACGACTTCGAACGGCAGGCGCGACACCAGATGTCCTCACTGGAAGACGTGGAATCGAAATACAACGTTTCAATCGAGCGCGCTGTCATGTTGGAGGAGGAGCTCAAGATCGGCGAGCAGGAGCGTGAAGGTCTGAGGATAGAAACCCAACGGTTGCGGGACGAGTTGTCAGACCTGCGGATAGAGTCGGAGATTATACAGGAGAAGCTTCGCCTGGCAGAAGCGACTATTGAAAGGCATCACCAACGCAAGGTCTCGAACCACCTGGCAGGGGACTCGTTGCGGCCACGCTCGCCAGCTTCGGAAGCATCGACGACCGCGACTACCCTCTCTTCTCCCACCGCGGCGTCAACCCCTCCACGCAACAAAGAAGCTCCACGATCCGATACCACACCGCCGTCACCGCCATTGTCGGACGCGCCTGTCTCCACTCGAACGGTACCTTCCACGCCTATGCCCAAGCGCAAGGGATCCATTGCTCTCGACCCAGGTGCTACACCTCGCGCTGGTCTGCACCAGTCGAGACAGCCAAGGCATTCGCGTGGTCCAAGCATACCCGCAGCACCCAGGCAAAGCATGGGCACGAATGGGCGTGTAACGCCATCGATCAGGACGACGGCACCTGCGCAGCGGGGCCCACGACCCAGTGTCGGAGGCAATGTGCCAGCAGCGGGTTTGCCGAGGTCTGGTTCTCTTTACCAGATTCGAGGGCTGATTGGCAAGATGCAGAAACTCGAAGAACGGGTGTACTCCGCGCGCTCCAAGCTTCCCGCGCCGACAAATACACCGCCACGAGCCAGCCCACGGAATGGAAGCGCATTGGGACACCACGTTCCCAACAACGTTACATTGCGAAGCAGCAGAAAACGGTCCTCGCATGCTTCAGCAGCGTCTTCAGTCAACCAAGGAGCTGCCGACTCTGGGGGGTGTCAGCCGACTTTCGTTCGGCATGTCCAGCTCGCGCGAGCCGACTAGCAGCCGGCCCAGCAGCCGCGCATCGGTATCATCCCAAGCTGGTCGACCGGAGAGCAGGACTGGCATGCAGCGGCCAGAAAGCAGGAGCGGTTTACAACGACCCGAAAGCCGAGGCAGCACAAGAACGCCGCTGGGTCATTACTCGAGCTCTTCCATTAGCTCACGTATACAACGTCCGCGAAGCTCCTTGAGTGGAATTTCCGGCCACTCGCAAGCGTTGTCCATGTCATTGCGAGAGGTTGACACCGGTAGCAACAGCGACGGAAGCACTGTCGCAACGCCAATAGCCAGAAGACTGACTTTGGAGAAGTCGGGCATCCCTACACCGAGCGGGATACCAAGAAGGCAAAGCGGGGGTCGGAGAACGAGCTCTGGCCTGGATGGTGGCGACATGCTCCCCCCAGCACGGCCACGAAAAATGTCGACACAAGCCGAGGAAGAGACGTACTAGGACGAAGGGCAGATCCAGCGGGAACTGCATGCAGATTGACGTGCATGATAGCTATGAAGATTCTCCAAGATACCATGGTGCAGATTGTGGCATGCGAGGCGCGTGCAATGCAGGTACCAGTTTTAGGGTGGTTCACGCATCATGTGGACCATACCATGACTGCACATAGATAGATACTTTGGGCCAAGGTTTGGCTGTTTGTGGACTTTACATATCGCTCAATACCATTTCTTTTGTCGTGTACAACACTGTACCTACTCAGCGTGAAGATGTGACGTTGATCTGGTGAGCGTGTCAAGCGTTAGGCGCTTGGAAATCTGGGGTAGTGTATGCACAGACGTGGTGTTGCTGCGAAAAGTCGTACGATTCTGATGTCAAACCCAGCGGTACGGTCCGCGACCCTGAATCTCGGGCATGCAGCTCAGAATTTAGCCCATGCAGGAAACTGTCGCATATTCATATCTACATTGCTTCATATTCTCCTCCTATTCCTTTTGAAATCCTGACGACACGCTCAAACTTTAACTTGCGGTCAAGAAAATTTTGTCGCCGCGCCCTTTCCAGTTCCACGAGACCCGCCGGCTTATTAGCAACAGGACGACGATCAATGGCCCCGAGGGCCACCACCGGATCAGTGCACGCGACTTCCCTGACCTTGGGCATTCATTTTTTCTGACAGCATGGCGACCAGATCCGGTGTACGACAGCTGTATACCTCACGATGTCAAGCGCCATGTGTGAAGTCGCACAATCATCGACTCGACTGATGCCGGAGGCTTGGCCAATCAGAACGCCAGAACGTCCGCAGTCTGACGGACACGGACTCCGAAAGCGAGATGTCTCGATCGGAGGCGGAGAGCCGAGTGGCATAGTGTGGCAGATGCGAAGATACTCTACTAAGCAATGCACTATGTATACAGTGTGTGGAGCCGTGGGTAGACACGAATCGGTGTCGACAGTGTCGCGAGCACGATGCAATGCGTGGGAGAGAGAATTTTGAGGAGATACGTATGCTTGTTGAAGTTGTTGAGCACCACCAGCTCCGAACAATAAGTCCCCGCATACCATGACGGAGGGTAACGGGCCAACGGCAACTTGAAAGCTGCCGAGCTGCTGATGAGAGATAGCGAGGAGCGCAACCCGCAATTATTCGTGCTCGCCGTGCCTGGACAGAGAATGTTGGGAGCATGTCGGCACTAGTTCGTGCTGCGAGCTCAACGTTCTGACCAAATGGCTTGGACTGCAGCTTCGAGCAAAGGTTGCGAATACCCCCACCGCTCAGCACTGGGCCTTGACTCGCAGCAAATAAGTATCTTCGAGAAGAACATCGGCTCCCGACGGCTTCCGAGAGGTTACGGTGGCTTCAGATTGGAATGACAGGGCGTCATGGGGGACGTGAGGCAGTCCCTTACCGTCTTCGGCATCGTTGGCGATATGCAGGCCGGCCTCAGCTCAACAGCTCGGGACAGCTTGGGGTAATCCGCGCTCAGAAATTTATTACTTACATGTTCCCCGATCTCACGCCTGCCCTACCTGCTCTGCTTGCTTCCTCCCAACTCACCTCTGATACCCGGTGCTGATTTGCTTTTGCTTCGCACCTTCCTCCCATCCTTTGGCTCTTTACTATCGTTCGTTGTTGTTGCTTCCTCCCAGGCACACGGCAAACAGAAGTAATTGAAAGCGCCGAGTCGGAGAGCTTGCTGATCGGAACTTTTCCATCCCCGGCAGCTTATACCACAATACCACTACATCTACTACTAATCTGCTGCTCCGCTCTCCCAACGGCAGCAGCTCGCGCGCCTAGCAACAGCCAGTTTTCAGATTTGCAGTGAATCGCTCGCTGCAGCGGACCATCGTCGTCATCGGAGGTCATTTCTACGATCTACAGACGAGAAGCTAGAGCTCTGGGAACTCCCTACCAATTTTGCCCGACATCCCCACCGCCTCCCGAATTTCCCCTCTCTCGACACGCGCCACCCCGTGTATGGGACTTCCTACAAACAACATGGCTGGAGCTGCACAGAAGGAAGTTAATGGCTCTGCCAATGGCGGGCCGAGCTCCTACGCGGCCAAGTTCAATCTTGCGCCGCATTTTATCGGCGGAAACCACCTGCACGCTGCTGCGCCGGGCAAGGTCAAGGACTTTGTCGCAGCGCACGACGGACACACGGTCATTACAAATGTGAGAGCCACGGCCTGGGCAGCAATGCAATTGAGGCAATCGGGGAGTTTTTGTGCTGACACATGGGTGCTTACAGGTGCTCATTGCGAACAACGGTATTGCAGCAGTCAAGGAGATCCGCTCGGTGCGGAAGTGGGCATACGAGACTTTTGGCGATGAGCGGGCAATCCAGTTCACCGTCATGGCCACGCCCGAGGATCTGCAGGCCAATGCAGAGTACATCCGCATGGCGGACCAGTATGTCGAGGTGGGTGCTACACGCGAAGCCTGCAATGAGCGGCGGGACGGCTGACAGAGCACACACAGGTCCCCGGAGGCACCAACAACAACAACTACGCCAACGTCGAGCTCATTGTCGATGTCGCGGAGCGAATGAACGTCCACGCTGTATGGGCGGGCTGGGGACACGCCTCAGAGAACCCCAAGCTGCCCGAATCGCTTGCGGCCTCTCCCAAGAAGATTGTCTTCATCGGCCCTCCCGGTTCGGCCATGCGCTCGCTCGGAGACAAGATTTCGTCCACAATTGTTGCACAACACGCCAAAGTGCCGTGTATTCCGTGGTCGGGAACAGGCGTCGAGGAGGTCGTGGTCGACGACCACGGCATCGTCACGGTCGAGGATCACATATACGAGCAGGGCTGCACCAAGTCATGGGAAGAGGGTCTTGCGGCGGCCAAGAAGATCGGTTTCCCTGTCATGGTCAAGGCCTCGGAAGGAGGTGGTGGCAAGGGCATCCGAAAAGTCGAGCGTGAGGAGGACTTCCAGCAGCTGTACGCAGCCGCTGCCTCTGAGATTCCCGGCTCGCCCATCTTCATCATGAAGCTCGCGGGTAGCGCACGGCATTTGGAGGTCCAGCTGGTGGCCGATCAGTATGGCAACAACATCTCGCTTTTCGGACGTGACTGCTCCGTGCAGCGACGACACCAGAAGATCATTGAGGAGGCGCCAGTAACAGTCGCCCCCAACAAGACCTTCCAGGAGATGGAGAAGGCAGCTGTCTCCCTTGGAAGACTCGTCGGATACGTCTCAGCCGGTACCGTTGAGTACCTGTACTCGCACGCTGAGGATAAGTTCTACTTCCTCGAGTTGAACCCTCGTCTTCAAGTCGAGCATCCCACCACCGAGATGGTGACAGGCGTCAACCTCCCAGCCGCCCAGCTCCAGATCGCCATGGGTCTCCCACTCCACCGCATTCGCGACATTCGCCTGCTCTACGGCGCAGACCCCCACACCAGCTCGACCATCGATTTCGACTTTTCGAAGGAGGGCAGCGTACAGAACCAGCGACGACCAACTCCCAAGGGTCATTGCACAGCCTGCCGTATCACGTCTGAAGACCCTGACGAGGGCTTCAAGCCATCTGGCGGTACTATTCACGACCTCAACTTCAGGAGTAGCTCCAATGTCTGGGGTTACTTCTCCGTGAGTTCCGCCGGTGGTATTCACAGCTTCTCCGATTCGCAGTTTGGTCACATCTTTGCCTATGGTGAGAATCGACAAGCTTCGCGGAAACACATGGTTGTTGCGCTGAAGGAATTGAGCATTCGTGGAGACTTCCGAACTACGGTCGAATACCTCATCAAGTTGCTTGAAACTCCAGCTTTCGAGGACAACACAATCACCACTGGTTGGCTCGACGAGCTCATCACTAAGAAGTTGACTGCCGAACGACCCGACCCAATGATCGCAGTCATTTGCGGTGCTGTCACCAAGGCCCACGCTGCTAGCGAAGCTTGCATCAACGAGTACAAGACTAGTTTGGAGAAGGGTCAGGTCCCATCTAAGGACGTTCTCAAGACTGTGTTCCCCATTGACTTCATTTACGAAGGCTTTCGTTACAAGTTCACAGCTACCAGGTCCACCATCGACAGCTTCACACTTTTCATCAACGGCTCGAAGTGCGCTGTTGGTGTCAGGGCTCTTTCTGACGGTGGACTTCTAATCTTGCTTGCTGGAAAGTCCCACAACGTTTACTGGAAGGAGGAAGTTGGTGCTACTCGTCTCTTTGTCGATGGCAAGACTTGCCTTCTTGAGCAGGAGAACGACCCAACTCAGCTCCGTACACCATCTCCTGGTAAGCTCGTTCGCTTCCTGGTTGAGAACGGTGACCACATCGGCAAGAACCAGCCTTTTGCTGAGGTTGAGGTAATGAAGATGTACATGCCTTTGATTGCGCAAGAGGATGGTATCGTCAACCTCATCAAGCAGCCAGGTGCTACTCTTGAGGCTGGTGACATCCTTGGTGTTCTAGCCCTGGACGACCCATCCAGAGTCAAGACTGCGCAAACCTTCCTTGGTCTTCTTCCAGACATGGGAGCTCCCCAGATCATGGGCAGCAAGCCCCCGCAGAGGTTCGTGGCTCTCAACAACATCCTCCAGAACATCCTCCAGGGTTTCGACAACCAGGTCATCATGCAGAGCACGCTCAAGGAACTTGTCGAGGTTCTGCGCGACCCCGAGCTCCCTTACGGTGAGTGGAATGCGCAAGCTTCTGCTCTCCATGCTCGTATGCCTCAGAAGCTTGACACCACGTTCTCTCAAATCGTGGAGAAGGCCCACGGCCGCAACCTGGAGTTCCCCGGAAAGGCACTCAGCAAGGCTTTCCAGAAGTTCTTGGATGAGACAGTCGCAAAGGGTGATCGAGATCTCCTGAAGGCCGCACTTGCCCCGCTGACCGATGTCATTGCTCGCTACTCTGAGGGTCTCAAGGCCCATGAGTACGCAACTATGACTAAGTACCTAGAGATGTACTACGCTGTCGAGCAGCTCTTCTCCTCGCGCAACTCACGAGACGAAGAGGTCGTTCTCAAGCTGCGTGACGAGAACCGTGATAACATTTCCAATGTTGTGCACACCGTACTCTCCCACGCCCGCGTCAGCGCAAAGAACAACCTCGTGATTGCCATTCTCGACTTGTACCGACCCAACAAGCCAGGCGTTGGCAACATTGCCAAGTACTTCAAGAACACACTCAAGAAGCTCACCGATCTCGAATCGAGGCAAACTGCCAAGGTCTCCTTGAAGGCTCGTGAGGTGCTCATTCAGTGCGCCATGCCTTCGCTCGAAGAGCGTACCTCTCAGATGGAGCACATCCTCCGATCGGCAGTTGTCGAATCACGCTACGGCGAGAGCGGCTGGGACCATCGTGAGCCTAACTTTGAGGTCATCAAGGAGGTTGTAGACTCGCGCTTTACTGTCTTTGATGTCTTGACCCAATTCTTCGTCCACCCGGACCCTTGGGTTGCCCTTGCTGCTTTGGAGGTGTACACTCGCCGCGCTTACCGTGCGTACCACCTCCAGGAGATCAACTACCACAACGAAGGCGAACAGCAATGTCTCTTATCGTGGGACTTCATTCTCCGTAAGGTGGGAGAGGCCGAGTACGGTCTCACTGTTGAGCCATCTGAGCCGGGTACACCCATGACGCCAGGTTTTGATCGTGGCCCACCCCGCATCCACTCGCTCAGCGATATGTCTGCAATCAGCAACCGCTTCGAAAATGAGCCCTCCCGCAAGGGTGTGGTTGTCCCTGTCGAGTATCTTGACGATGCGGATGAGCTTATTGCCAAGGCTCTTGAGTTATTCCCTACTGTTGGTGCTAAGAAGGGTGGCTTGACCTTGAGGGAGAATCTCAGCATGAAGCGTACGCCTACCTCGGGTGCGCTGGACACCAAGGCTGGCAGCGATGAACTGACTGGTGTCCTGAACATTGCGGTCCGCGACATCGAGAGCTTCGATGACAAAGAAATCATGGATCGCATTCTTCCCATCGTGGAGGAATACAAGAGCGAGCTTGCTGCGCACCGCATCCGCCGCATCACCTTCATCTGCGGTCACAAGGATGGAACCTATCCTGGCTACTACACCTTCCGTGGACCTACATACGAAGAGGACGACAGCATTCGTCACGTTGAACCCGCTCTTGCCTTCCAGCTTGAGCTTGGTAGACTCTCAAAGTTCAACATCAAGCCTGTCTTCACCGAGAACCGCAACATCCACATTTACGAGGCTGTTGGCAAGGGTGCTGAGAGCGACAAGCGCTATTTCTTGCGCGCTGTTGTTCGATCAGGTCGTCTTCGGGAAGAGATTCCTACTGCCGAGTACATGATCTCTGAAACCGACAGGTTGATGACTGACATCTTGGATGCTTTGGAGATTGTTGGCACTTCGCAAGCCGACATGAACCACATCTTCATCAACTTCTCGCACGTCTTCCCATTGAATCCTACTGAGGTCGAGGAGGCTATTGGCGGCTTCTTGGAGCGCTTCGGTCGACGACTTTGGCGTCTCCGCGTCACTGGCGCTGAGATCCGCATCATTGTCACCGATCCTCAGACTGGCATCCCGTACCCACTCCGTGTCATCATCACGAACACTTCGGGCTACGTTATTCAGGTCGAGATGTACGCTGAGCGCAAGTCCGAAAAGGCTGGCAAGTGGCTGTTCCACAGCATCGGCGGCACCACCAAGATTGGCTCGCTTCACCTCCAGCCTGTCTCCACGCCTTATCCGACCAAGGGTGCTCTTCAGCCCAAGCGTTACAAGGCTCATCTCATGGGTACTCAGTACGTATACGACTTCCCCGAGCTGTTCCGACAAGCCACCGAAAACGCCTGGCAAGCAGCCATCAGCAAGCACTCTTACCTGCGCGACAAGTTGCCGCCGAAGGGAGAGTGCCTCGAGTACTACGAGCTGGTGCTTGATGAGAATGACAACCTCGCTGAGGTAAACCGTGACCCTGGCTTCAACACCATTGGTATGGTTGGTTGGATCGTTACGGCCAAGACACCCGAGTACACTCGTGGACGTCGCTTCATCATCATTGCCAACGACATCACTTTCAAGATTGGTTCATTCGGTCCCCAGGAAGACGCCTTCTTCCACAAGTGCTCAGAGCTCGCACGTAAGCTGGGCATCCCGCGTATCTACCTTTCTGCCAACTCTGGTGCTCGTATTGGTCTGGCTGAGGAGCTCATTCCCCACTTCTCCGTCGCATGGAAGGACATTGACAGGCCAGAGGCTGGCTTTGACTACCTCTACCTTACGCCTGAGAAGTACGGGCATTTCGTCGATGGCAAGCGTAACGATGTCATCTGCGAAAAGATCCAGGTAGATGACGAGACGCGATTCAAGATCACGACCGTCATTGGTCAAGAAGATGGTCTTGGTGTTGAGTCGCTCCGTGGCTCTGGTCTCATTGCTGGTGAAACATCTAGGGCTTACGAGGATATCTTCACAATCACTTTGGTGACTTGCCGTTCAGTTGGTATGTATTCCCCGATTGGCCAAATTTTCATTTTACTAATAGATATTAGGTATCGGTGCTTACCTTGTCCGTCTCGGTCAACGCGCGATCCAGATTGAGGGTCAGCCTATCATCCTCACTGGTGCACAGGCCATCAACAAGCTGCTCGGTCGCGAGGTCTATACTTCCAACCTTCAGCTCGGTGGTACTCAAATCATGTACCGAAATGGTGTGTCGCACATGACTGCCGACGATGACTTTGAGGGTGTTTCCAAGATTGTCAAGTGGCTGTCATACGTGCCTGACAAGAAGGGAAGCCCTGTTCCCATCTCACCTACTGCTGATGACTGGGACCGCGATGTCGCGTACTACCCGCCTGGTAAGGGAACCGCCTACGACGTCAGGCACCTTATTGCTGGCAAAACTGATGAGGACGGCTTCCTGCCTGGTCTGTTCGACAAGGACTCTTTTGAGGAGTCTCTTGGTGGCTGGGCCAAGACTGTAGTTGTCGGACGTGCACGTCTTGGTGGTATCCCCATCGGTGTTATTGGTGTTGAGACTCGCTCTGTCGAGAACGTCACACCCGCCGATCCTGCCAACCCCGACTCTATTGAGCAAGTCACCTCAGAGGCTGGTGGTGTCTGGTACCCCAACTCCGCCTACAAGACGGCCCAGGCTATCAACGACTTCAACCACGGCGAGCAGCTGCCACTTATGATCCTCGCCAACTGGCGTGGTTTCTCCGGAGGTCAGCGCGACATGTACAACGAAGTTCTCAAGTATGGTTCGTACATTGTCGATGCTCTTGTCAAGTTTGAGCAGCCCATCTTCGTCTACATTCCACCTTACGGCGAGCTCCGTGGTGGATCTTGGGTCGTCGTCGATCCCACCATCAACCCACAGTACATGGGAGATGTACGCAGACGAAGACTCGCGTGGTGGCGTCCTCGAGCCCGAGGGTATTGTCGGCATCAAATACCGCAAGGAGAAGCAACTGGAGACCATGGCGCGAAACGACCCCACCTATGGTGCACTCAAACGCAAGCTGAACGACCCTGCGACACCAAAGGACCAGCTTCAAGCCATCAAGACGCAGATGAACGAGCGCGAGAAGACTCTTCTCCCCATCTACGGCCAGATCGCTATCCAGTTTGCTGATCTCCATGACCGCGCTGGCCGCATGCAGGCCAAGGGTGTGATCCGACAGGCCCTGCGATGGCAAAATGCACGCCGCTTCTTCTACTGGCGCCTTCGCCGCCGTCTTAACGAGGAGTACATCATCAAGAAGCTTGTTGCTGTCGCACCTACCGAGGACATCACCAGCACCCGTGCCCGTGGCCTCGAGATGCTCAAGGCATGGTGCAACATCCCTAACTTCGCAACCGACGATATGAGCGTTGCGACATGGTATGAGGAGAACCGACAGAACGTCCATGAGCGCGTCCTGAAGCTCAAGGCCGAGTCAACGTCTCTCAAGGTCGCGCAGATGATTAGCGAGGACCGCGAGAGTGGTCTGCGAGGTGTGATGAATCTGCTGAGCACACTGCCAACAGCAGAGAAGGAGCAGGTGCTCAATATGCTCAGTAGGGCATAGAAGAGCATCCAATAGGAATGCACAGTGTAAAATAGGGTGTTTGTGGTCCTTTCATGGCATTTTCTTCGCGGTGTTGGGACTGAGGACTATTGGGGAAGATTCATGATTATGCTTTTAGCGTATTTTTGTAATTTTGTTCTAGCTTTCTTACTTTATTGTAGAAGCTTCAACGCACGCATACGAAAGTAGACGATGCGATGCAAGATGTGGATGGGGAGGTATTGGGAGGTACTGAACTATTCTTTCGCGTCTTGTAGTCAATCGAATCGAATACTTGAAACTACGATCGCAACCCTCTTCTATTAGCCTGATTGTGTTCGCCAGAAGACAATCGTGGACAGGACCAATTGTTCTTCGTGGTGGTCTTGCCGATACATTACTCATTGATCGTCCATGCGTCTAGCTTTTTGCGGGGAACTCGGCCGTATACGTCACCTGCCTCACGAGATAAAAACTGCGAAGTATCCACATACAACCCCGCAGAAGATCAAGGCTACTTGCTTTGTTCTTTCCAATTGCTTCTTCTTAAACATCCTCATACATCTTATAATCCTATACTACAACCTCCCAAACCACCCGCGTGGAACAATTGAAGTACTTAAACCCCAAACAAGGAGAGAAAACGCTTCACACCCGAAACTTCACTTCACTTCACAAGCAACGAATTGGTTCAAAATGGTCTATACAATCGTCGTGCACCTCTACGCCAAGCCCGAGGCCGAAGCCATCGCCAAACTCAAAGCCAAGCTTGTCGAAGCGAGTCAAGTGTACTCCAAAGACAAGGAGACGCTGAGCTGGTTCGTCATGCAGGACACAGTCGATCCGCGTGCATTCACCATTGTCGAGCGGTATTTGAAAGAATCTGTACGTTGAACTATCCACCTCCCTTCCAATCCTGCCAAGATGCGATGTGCGCGTGAATTAGGGTAATGGGAATGGGGATGTGTGCTGATGGGTTTGAAACAGTCGCAGCAATACCACCTGAACAACCCGTACTGGAAGACTTTTGACCCGTATGTTTTGCCGCTGCTGGAGAAGCCGATGGATTTGAGGAGGTTGGAGGAGATGGATACGAAGACGAATGTGTCGGTGCATATGCATGAGGATGCGTTGGAGGATCCGACGGTGGGGAGTATGTATAGGGATGCTGAGTAGGGGGCTTGGAAGTTAGTAGATACTCGCAGGGAGTGTGTGATTCGATCAAAGAAGACGGATTTGGGTTAAAATATATGTGCTCTCAAACTGTTCTTGTATTTCGAACCTTCGACTGCTTGTACATTTTGGCTTCTGAACGAAGTCTCGAATTTTCTCTGAATCCGCCAATGACATGTAGTTTCTCAAGCGCATTTCAGCTGCATTTCTCCTCCGCGGCCATTCACACACCAGTACAGTCAACCTTCCTACTACGGCAATACAGGTGGAGAAGTGTCGATTGCAGCGGCCTAATGACAGCGGCGCACTGCCGCCAGCACGAATCATCGACAGCCGCCAACGTCCAATGTGAGCAAGAGCTCGGTGTGTACAAGGCCGCATGACATGTCCTAGGTCATTTTTTCATTGGCGGGCACAGCTCATCGAGCACGGGCCGAGTGCCTGAGCCGGCGTTTTCCGATGACGGCATTTGAGCCGCCTTTTGCTTCCGACGCGTCTCTCTGGAATGTCACTCCTTCCGATCCGACAAACACCAACTTTTTTTCATGGAGATGACGGCGGATAGCGCAGTGCGTCCCGAGAAGAGGCGGAGAGTGGATCGCGTGATTGCAGCTTGTGATCTGTGTAAGAGACGGAAGGTCAAATGTGATGGGGTATGTGTTGTTTGAGTCCAGGCACGAAACATTGCTTCCGTCATCGGATGCACTGTTGTCCACAGAGACTTACTGTGTCCAGGAGCAACCATGCGCGTATTGCGTGAGGAAGAATCTCGCTGCGACATGCGTGTTTACGCCTGCTAAAGAGCGTGTTCACTCGACTTGCAATACACCAAATAATAGTGGCGGAACCAGGCATGGCGATAATCCTCGAAGTCGCGCCCATAGTGAAAGTAACTTGCGACACCCGAGAGATCAGGAAGGAGTCCCTTCTCACACTCGCGCTCCTATATCCGGATCCCAAACTTCCTTGTCTCCTACTATGAGCAGAGACGACCATCTCGGAAGCGACACAGTAGTTCCCTTGGAAGGCCGCATCCTCCGTGATGCTCAAGGAAAGTTCATCTTCATTGGCGATTGTGCTCCACTGTCATTCTTGCAGACTGTGAGGCATCTTATATCATCTGAAGTTGGTTCCGATGCATTCGCAATCCAGGCCTCACGCGACTCCATCATTGAAGTCGCTCGTGCAGAGGTTCCAGTTGGTCGATCGCCACCCACACATATCCGTCCCGAGGAGGTCGAGGCTCTGATTCATGAATATGTCGCGGCTACGAGCGGACTGGTCGATCTTTTTGAATATCAAGACTTGATCACGGAGATGAATGTGTGGGCTAGACGTCTCTCTGTGAACAACCCTGAGGATGCCGCTACGGCTGTTTTCTACCTGGTGGCTGCTATTGGTATGCAAGAAGATGAGGAAGAGAGAGCTGAGCTTTGGTTTGATTATGCGCGAAATCTACTCATGAAGCACATGTGTAACAGCATGAATGTCGCGACTGTACAAGGCTTTACACTTGTTGCTGTGTACATGCTTAGAGCCTTCCAGCCTAATGGGGCATACTTATACTTCTGTGAGTAGCGATTCAAATACCTCTGGGCTCAAGCATGCTGCTCGTACGATTGCGTCGGTCACTGACTACATAATTAGCCTTGGCTGCTCGTACAGCCTACGCAATTGGCCTTCACCGGACTGAAGTCAATGCTTCCTTCGGTAGCTCCATACGCAAGATGAGGGACTGCATATGGAAGAGCCTTCGGGTTGTAGACATGGTTATCAGTACTGTGCTCGGCCGACCACCTTCAACCTCCGACGTCGATTGTACAGTCAAGTACAGCATTCCCGAAAGTGACCAGGTCCGATCGAATATTTTAGACCCCAGCGTACAAATATTCATGATCATCGAACGCGTCGTGGTTGAAGTATACTCTCGCAAGCGGATTTCCATACGTATTGCCGATTATGTCTCACGACAGCTAAAGGGCTGGGCTTCTAGATGGCTACTAGACCTGACAAAGCTTACAGTGGAGCACAACGGCGTCTCACGGAGTACCGTCATTGGCGCATGCTCGACCTTGTGCTCGTATTACTACGGCATCATGCTACTGACGAGACCTTTCCTAATTTACGAGATCTACGAACATTTAGGCGCGTCCTTACGTGGTGGAGGTACGCAGAACGACCATCGACAAAAGCGTAAGTACGCTGATGCTGCTTTGGACGCTGCCGCTTCATTTGTTGAGACATTGCGAGCGGTTATCGACACTGAAATCATGCCACGTCGCATGCCTCTGATAGTGTGGGTTATAGTTACCCCTAGCTCCACTCTTTTGCTGACTTTATCAGACCCTGGCTCTTCACGACAGCGCTTGTTTTAGCTGTCGGCGTTCTTGGTCGATCCGGTCTTGTCTTTGAAGACAACTGCCTTGCATCAATCCGCTGCTTGGATTATTTCGGCAGAACAGACCCACACGCACGGCAATACTCAGTCATCGTCCAATCTCTGCTTAAAACAACTACTACGCACGCGAAAGAAAGGGAGGTGGCACAGCGTTTGCAGCGGAAACAAGCCTCATCCGAGCTGTTTGGTTTGCTACCTTCTCTATCTAACCCAGTCGCCCGAGACTCCCCTCGTAATCCTAGTCAGGACCGGAATGCACCCGGTCCGATCATGTCGCAAGCCCCAGCGCACGATGCTGCTCCGGTTCCAGTGCCTTACGACTGGACCATATACGACGCAGATTTCTTTGCGCTGCCGTGGTCTAGTGAGAATGATCAAGGGCTGCAAGATTTCCTCCAACCCGGCACTCACAACTTTGGCGGTGAGACAGTTGCCGACATACCGCTGTTTCCCATATACGACCAACAGATGGGTGGTGCCTTGGGGCAATAGCTGCGCTTTGCAACAAGCCTGCTAATATTGCGCCAGGTCACGGTGCGGTCGTAGCTCTTTTAGACGTATTGTGCGTTCGATGAACGAAAGGCACAGAACACCATGATTCTACGTCGACTGCTGCTCCGGCACGACGGTTGTTTCTAGTGTTTCATCTCTTGAAGTGCGTAAGAATGGGATTAATTTTGTACCCCCAGTACCGACCAACTCCTTGGTTTGTGGCTCTTCTTTCGCCAACTTCGTCGATGCCGATGCGATATCTCGGCGATCGATCGCGCTCGCTGGCTTCGGCATGCGGCTTGGGATAATAATGTATCGTGTGACCAACGCAATGTGCTTGTCCCGGAAACCACTCAAAGCTGAAACGGCTTCGTTGAAGGCTGACAGGAGTTCAGTATCGTCGCGGTGGCTGTCGACGTAACTCCGGATGTTTGCGATGCTCTCGATATCGTTGAGGAACCGTGCGTGGGGTCCTGGCATATACAGGCGCATCTCTGCGTGAAATCCACTACATCGGGCGTGGTTCACTGACAGGACTGCGTCGCAAAATTGCAGCAAAGAGCTCTGGCCATTGCTCCCGCCCCTGTACTTTCTCCAAGAGCCCTTGCCATCTCCCTCGTCGTAGAAGACGCCTTCTGGTAAACCTGCAGCCTCCATGCCCATACTTCCGGCCAGGAAAGGGCGGATCTCATGGTAGAAGCGTTGGGGATTGCAACGCTCATCCATACGCTCTACTAGACCGCCGATGTCTTCCATACTGCTTCGGAACGATTTCAGTGAGTCAATGACGGTTTCGCGATTATCCATATCCACGGCGTCGATAGCAGCGAGCATTGTCTCGATCATTGGTCCAGCCCTTGCTTCCATCGCATTTGATATGATAAAGAACCACGACTCATCGTCGCTTCCAGATGCCGTCTGGAGAGCCACAAGGTTGTCGGGATTGGTGATGTCCAAGTCTTCTTCGAGTGGCCGCCAATTCCACAGGTTGTAGGATGCGTACGTCGCAATAGGATTAACTTCAAGATGTGCCGCGGCTTTGAGGAATGGGACAGTGATAGCAGGAGGAAGTCGCTTCGCTAAGGTCAGTATTACATGTTGCAAGGTCATTCGCTGTGCCTTATCTCACCTCGGATGGTTCCGGACCTGCCCAGATGTAGCCTTGTGCTATCAGGGCCAACATTGAGTACGCCCTTTGCCATTCGGCTTCAGTGCTTAGGAATGATGTCGAGAGTACCGAAAGCTTGTCGACACGATGTCTGATTGTTTGTGTTTCGATCAGTGACGGGATTTCTTCGATGATGCACTCCCATGGTTGGTAGTAGGATTGTGGAAGTCGGCTGAGAGGTATCTCGGCGGGTAGGAAGCCGTTCTTTGAGATGCCATACTGAGACAATGCTCCAATGGAAGGAAGGGTCTCAACTCTATGAGGGCTCATGGTCAAAGAGGCTAGGTGGTAGAAGTACTAGAGAAGCGAGTCGGAATGATACTTCCATCAAGAAAACGGCGAAGACCGCATTTATCTCATTCAAAACCAGCGAGACCCACTATGCTCGATTATCACACCGATACATCTTGAGTCCTTGGTCAGGAGGATTTCTTGCGCTAGCGCGTCGGAGCCATTCCGACGACGGATGATCCGACGCCACGGACGGATACCAAATTTCTCGATGTGGCGATGCACTAAGAAGCCGCAGTAGTTCCTGACCGCCCGCGATACAAAGGTGTATTTATTTCCCACTACGGACAGCTTTCAGTATCAATCATCTGCTCGGCTGCAACCACCAACTTCACTCCACCTTCTCTAACTCTAATCGCCGGCCATACCTCACCATATTCTTTGTCACAATGGACGCATCCGCTGCTATTAGCCAGCTTCGCCAAGGACAGAAACCCGAATGGCCGCAGAACGCCAACACGTCAGACTTTGCCAAAACTCTGGATAACAGCAGCGAATTCCCAAAGACATTGCGCCATGAGTACGTTGTTCCGACAAAAGCACAATTGAAGAGGAAAACACTCAACGACGATGCACAAACCGCTGCCAAGGCTTCAAGTAGTGATGACGAGGGTATTTACTTCTGCGGCAACTCTTTAGGCCTCCAACCCAAGGCTGTCGGCGAATACCTGAATGCATACCTGAAGACATGGGGATCCATTGCCGTTGGCAGCCACTTTACACCTATGGCCGACTCGCCACTTACACCTTTCCAAGACATGGCCGCAGAGTGCGCAAGGAGAATGTCCGACATTGTCGGCGCATCGCCGTCAGAGATCGTTGCCATGAACACTTTGACCATAAACCTGCACCTCATGATGGCGGCATTTTACAAGCCAACAGAAAAGAAGCACAAGATCATGTGCGAGTGGCGGCCATTCCCAAGCGACTGGTATGCGATCGAGTCGCAAATCGAGTGGCACGGTCTGGACCCGAAGAAGTCGATGCTGTTAGTCAAGCCTGATGATGGCTACCTCATGACCACAGAGAGCATTCTCAAACTCATTGACCAAGAAGCGGACGAATTGGCGTTGATCATGCTTCCGGGTATCCAGTACTACAGCGGCCAGCTCCTGGACATCCCGACCATCACCACACATGCGCGCAAGCACGGCATCACGATCGGGTGGGATCTGGCACACGCTGCTGGTAATGTTGAGCTGAAGCTGCACGACTGGGACGTCGACTTCGCATGCTGGTGCACCTACAAGTACATGAACGCCGGTGCCGGTGCCATTGCCGGTGCATTTGTGCACTCCAAGCACGGCGACAACGGCTCCAATGTAGGCCTGAAAGGCTGGTACGGCCACGACAAGTCATCGCGATTCCTCATGGACAACAAATTCGTCCCTACGCCTGGCGCGCAGGGTTTCCAATGCTCGAACCCCTCCGCCGTCGACCTGACATGCCTAGCTGGCTCGCTCAGCGTATTCCAAAAGACTTCCGTCGCCGACCTGCGATCACGATCACTTCTCCTCACCGCATATGCAGAGCATCTCCTTACTCAAATAGCATCGCGGAACATCAAGGACGGCAACTTCCCCTTCCAGATCATCTCACCACTAGACCCCAGGTTCCGTGGCGCACAGCTTAGCGTGCTGCTGCAGGAGGATGTTATGGAGGAAGTCTTTGCAGGGCTGGAAGAAAACGGTGTCATCTGCGACAAGAGGAAGCCAGGCATCATTCGCGTGGCGCCTGTGCCAATGTACAACACTTTCGAGGATGTGTACAAGTTCATGCACATTTTGGAGGGTGCATTACAACCGAAGGCTGAGCAAAAGACTCAGGCGCACGGAGAAGCGGTGGAGGCAAGGTTATAATTTAGTTCGCACGTTCGCAGCGGTTTAAAATGAGATAATGCAGTAAGCTTATGTCACATTGTCTAGCATCATGCATAGAGTTTGACATGTCATTGCACGTGCTTCGACGAGAACCTTCAGTCACGATTTGGCATGCAACCGTCAAGAAACATAGTAGCTAAAAAACTTGCATCATTCATGAGGGGTATCAAAGGAGCGACTAAATCATCAAACTATCCATCACTTTCCTGCCATCCTGTATCTCCTCCCGTACATTCATCTACCGTCCTTCTCTTCTTCTGCTCTTATGCGAGTTCCAATTTACAAAAGTGCCATAACCATACCGAAAGCACCAAGAGCAAGAGCAGCACCAACGGTTGCAGTCTGAGCCGGCGCAGCGCCCTGCTGAGCAACAGGCAAAGGTCGGTTGTTGTTGTTGCCGCCCTGACCGTTGCCACCCTGACCGTTGCCGCCGTTTTGACCGTTACCATTAGGACCGCCAGTTGGAGGGGGAGGGGGCAGTGTAACCACGGCAGTACCGGAAGTCACAACGATGGGGCCTCCAGGGCCACCTGGGCCTCCTGGACCTCCCGTGGGCGTGGGAAAGCTGGAGAGAATGGCGCTGTTGTAAGCAGTGGTGCTCATATTGCAGCGAGTGAGAAGTTCGCGCACATCTGGACGACAAGTTAGTATAGGTAGAGTTGCTTCTGGTAGATCTTTACGTACCTCCGACGTCGGGACGGTCATCGCGGTCTGGGCGGTCGTCACGGTCATCGCGGTCGTCGCGGTCGTCGTCGCGATCTGGGCGGTCATCACGGTCCGGGCGGTCATCACGGTCGTCACGGCCATCGCGGTCATCTGGCCTTCGGAACTGGGCGACACAGGCGTCACATGCTGGGATGATAGTGCCAGCGTTCGAGCTGTTGCAGATGCAAGAGAGTTCTGCGAGATCGTCGTCTATACGATATTAGTCTTGAGTCTAACTTCAGGTCTAAGAGGACATACTGGTTTGGAAGTCGCACTGCTGTGTCGTAGATACAAGGCTAGCGCAGACCGCACGGCACTCGAGGGGGACGTCCTTCTCGCTGACGCCAACGGCAGCGGTGGTGGCTGCGATGGCGCTGAGAAGTGCGAGCTGTTGGAAGAGCATTTTGATGAAATTGAGCTTGAAGTGCTGTGAAGTGGTTGTGCTTGTGTGTATGTGTAAGATGTTTATGAGATCTAAGTTGATGATATCGACTATTGTGGGCGCTGTTTCGCATCCTTATATCTGAACAAGTACCATGAACGCCAAACAACGGGTCCTTGAAGCCAAGAACAGTCAAGCCTTGTCGAACAGCTGTCGTCGTGGACGGATTACCTGTGCAACAAGTGCCAAACCTTCTTTCTTGAGGCTCAGATTGGTGCCAAGAACCCCCATGATGCGCGCCGAGAAGGCCTAAGTATGTTTCACGATGCTAGTGTTCACTACACAAGACCGAGATCAACCACGACGTACGTGGCTGTAGTACGCAGCCCTACATTGACCTGAGATGGAAAGTGGTCGCGCGATTTTGCTGATCCAATAGAACAGCGCACAGTGCGTTATAATGGCTGCGAAAGTATAACGTTCGTGGCATTCGACTCAGCGTTGCGCGACCATGAATCCCTGCATTGAAGAAACCGGGGCCCCAGGCGTGGAGAAATCTTCAATTGACTGGAAGTAAACGGTTTCGCAACCTGCTTTGTGAACGCGTAGGCTAGCCCTTGGCAGTTGACGGCAAGACTTGTTCGGAGGCTTTGGAGGAGGTCTGAGGGCTGACAACTCACGATCGACAGTAAGCTCAGCCTCGAGCAACGTTTGTGGCTACGCAAGATGCCGAAAATGGAACCGAGATTTGAGGTCTGGTGTTCTAGGTCGCCGGCACCTGATCTGGGACCGGCCCGAATGCTCTTGCGCAGCGGCTTCGGATTGGTTCTTGTGATGCAAAGTCATCGAACGCGAACATGCTTTCGGTGCGCTGCCGGTAAGGCTGTGTATACGTAGTTCTTATTATAGCAGACGAGGTTTGTTGCTTGTCGGCCGTGTCTTTGCCTGAAATTCTATTACCGTGAGATCGCAAGAGAGCGCATTCGATGATGTTCAAGATTGGGTTTGCGCAGTGTTCCTATCGACTAATCCCGTGGGATGTACGCATGAGCCGTATTGGTTTGCCACCATCTCAACCGGTGTCAGCAGGCATCTGCTCGTTGATATAATATCAGTATTTATTTCCACAGCTGAAAGTTATCAGTCTACTCCACCAAGCTGTCAGCCCGGCTTCCTAATGGTGCCGTTCAGCCTGAATTCGGACCACCTCTTCTCGCACGACGTGCATATACCTTTACGATGGCCATCCATCTTACCCTATCCAACGCCTTTATGAGAAGACACCCAAGCGCATGCACCTTCACTTCAACACGAGAGGGTGCTTTAGTCACGGATGCTGCTACCCGCAACACTCTTACATGCACCATGAGCCTCTATCGAGAGAAGCCATATGCACCCTCAGCCATGTCTTTCACTTACACCACTATAACGCGAGACTTTATCGAGAGGGGCTTCGTACCATCAACGACGACTTATCCTTATACAGAAACACCTTTTTAGCCATGCACGAGCATGGATCTCGTTCATGAGCACACTTCTGCTGTTGCTTTGCTGCCATTGCGACAATAATCAGAAGCGTATGTTCAAGGGCATACGAGCAGCCTTTGCGCCCAAGTCTGATGGATCCCGTCCTATATCAGCAAGACGCCGTCAACGGAAGCTGCGTTGTTGGTGAATGCTGATGGGACGGATGCAGATTCATCCCCAAGATCGACTTTCGGCCAGCGCTAGTCGTTAGCGTCTCGACAACAGTTACCCACCCACCCACGTAGATGGTACCGACTACCAAATAGTCAACACACCTCCAACGTGACTCAATCACACTAGTCAACATCATGGCTTCTAAGAAGAACGCACGCACAAATAACGCGCAGCGGAGGCGACGCGAGATGGAAAACCTCAAATTCCGCATCGAATACTTTCATGAACCTCGAACACTGAAACGCGCCGCAAGAAAAGAGCTGGAACGGGAACGCGCACCTCAACTGTGGATCTATCCATTCAAAGATCTGGGACACTCCGCCGGCAGGATATACTCGCGCGCAAGCCTTCTGGGACTACCTACTGAGCTCCGACAACAAATATTATATATGAGTTACCCAATGGTGGAACTGGAACGCGACTTGAGCGCCTTCATTCTTACGAGGAAGAGAAAAAACCAGCTCAAGTGGGCGAGTACATCAGAGCCTGTTCGTGTAATCAAGATGGAACAGCATTTGAGGATTAAATTCGGCCTCAACGACCACGAAGCGGATGTGGTCGCTGTTATCAGTCGACGCATCGGAGCCTTGAGTCTTATCTCGCCACTCATCGCTCGAGAAGTGAAGTACGTCTGCGCACAATGGAAGGGAGATCTCGACAAGCATCTCGGCCATGAACTACACCTTTGCCTGGATGCACCTAGATTTCCGATCGTCCCCGAGGGTATGGAGTGGCTCCTCACGCCCAGCTTCACCACACCACCGTCAAAGAAGAAGACAGGCAAGGTGGTTCAAGCAACAAAGTTGAATGAGACGAAGAAACGTCCCATGAAGTGCTGGCACTGCACAGAAAGACATTTCGGCAAAGATCCGGTGTGTCCAATGGCGAGATCCGACCCCGAGAAATGGCAGAAGATGACGAAGAAACTTGGTGGCCGAAGAGGAAAAGTGGATGTGATACCGAAACTCAGGCCCAGTCATGTAGCTTTTAACGACTAGCTGCCTAGCTTCATGGTGGGGAGAACGATCGTTGGCTCTGAGGTGGAGGAGTACTGGAAATGCAAGCATACTCGGATGGACCTCGGGAGTAGCGTGATACTGACGCGTAAGTCTCCTCGAGGTCTAATGTAGTTTTAACTAAAGACTACAAACCTTATTTAAGATCACCTGGATGTTGCGAAGATGTGATGCATGGCTGTAGATACAGAAGTGTCATGCTGCGGGCGCAGTTGATGTTGGGTATGTTGCACTGCTTTATGTTAAGCCCAAATGCTCAAATAGCTACATGTTGTCAACTACAACGGAAAGCGACCAGTGTACATAGTATCCAAGACCATGACCTGGAGCTACGCAAGGTGTCCTGCTGTCGCAATCAAATCCTAGCGATACTACGTACAGCTTCAGGCTAGTACTTCATAGATGTCATTGCTTACTTTTCGTCGTACCTGGCAACCTACAGTGTTAACAATATGGCCAAAGAAAGTTAATTCACTCATAAATCCGCTCATTATTGAGATCCGATCATGCCGCTCTGATCCAGACAGCCGACAGTCGTCATCCATCATCAACTACTTATGCCATATGACTTTGAAGATGCGACGACTTGCGCAAGTTCTAGACTTGCTTTCATCGCAGAAGAATCGTCATGCCTGAAAGCTTTGCTAGTGGTTACAACCGTCATCTTTCGGCAGTGAGTAGTACTGCCGGATGGTCCGGCTTGAAGTGGAGACATGTCTAGAGTAGCGCTATCGGACGTTTTCGTGGAACGAAGTCTAACACGATTTGGAACAGTGACACCTGCGATAGCCGAGGATACCTTGTGCGTATCTTCGAAACCTAATTTTGGTGTTTAGTAATGTTGGGGCCTGACGTTCTGCGATGACATGTGATTGTTTGACCATCGTATGACTTCGTCGCACAGCGGAGTCTACCTTAGATTCAAGTCACCCTACTCGCGCACATTCTTTTGTAACACTAGGCTGTGTAGTTGACCAGCATGTGCATTGTTGGGCGTGTGTGCGTTGTCGGGCAGGAATATGGATTTGATGGGTGGTGTTCTTCGACAAGCCCAAGCCGCGGCGTTACTTCGTACGTTAATGCAGACGACTTCAAAGCCAACCACTGGGAACGCTGTCAGGGTGCAGTGGGATAAGTGCGAGTCCGACGATAGCGTGGCCTAGGTTTCTCGCGTCTACCCAGGTGCCGCCGATTTTCCCGTGCACGGGGCAGGCAGATTAAATTCATGAATCAATCTTCGATTCGTAATTTTCTGATCCCTGCCAGAATTGAGGTAGAGAGGCAGTCTGTCTGGACCGTGGATGCTAGCGTTGCCCAGTGTACCCAAGAAGCAGCGGGCGCTCCGCCTCCGCCAAATGTATCGACTGCCGGTTCTTGCGGAAGGAAATGGACAAGATCGCCGGAGGTCGACCACACTCTCGGCGCCGATATTTTTAATCACCTGGGCTGTATGTAGGTCTGCAGAACGAGCCTACCGTCAGGGCGCTGTGCATGCGCGCGAACCTGATGGACCCTTTTTGGGCAGTCAGTGCCCGGTGAGTAACTGCGCACGAGCCAGCTACGAGTGCCGCTCGGTTCTTTGAACACGCAATTTGCAGTGACCCTTTCATTAAAGAGAGACGTTTGTTTCGTTTATAAGGACATTCTTTGTGGCCGCTGTTGAAACAGCAGGACATTCCGAACAGCGACATTTAGCCCCGGTGGCATCATAAATATACTTTCTCCCCAACCGTGTTGGCAGCATTCGATCTGACTCTCTACAACATCACCCTGTCTTGGACACTAAACCCTGGCCCGCATACTCCGACGCTATTGGTAAAGACTTGCAGCGACTACATTGTTGCATACCGCTAAAGCAAGCCTACGACGAGGGCCCGCCATCTACCAGCCAAGCTCAAGTGCACCCTGCGTTCCCTGCTATCCGTGGCTACATCATCAGGCATCACAGCCGACTAGCGCATATATATTATAGCATCTCCTTCGCCATATTCATTCATCCGATCGAAATCACAGTACGGATCGTACAAAGTCTCCTTAAGCAAGCCATTCTCCAACTTTACTCCAAATAACACACGAACGCCTCTGATTCCGATCTCCAATCCAACAACCAACAAAATCCACCACAATGTTCTCCTGCGTCAACTACGAGCGCGGATGTCGAGGCCGATGCAACGCCACAAACGGACGCTGCGATAGCTGCGTCGCTCTCAACATTCAATCACGCAGCAACAGCACTTCATCAGCATCATCGACAAATGGACGACCAGCAGCCGCCTACTCGGCGCTCACCAGCTCCTTCGCATCACTATCATCTGCCAACACTTCGCAAAAAGCGTCGTGACCGCCGACGTCATCAAACTTGTCAAACAAGTGACTACGAACCTTATGACCATTGAGCTTTAGCGACATACTTCATCATTCACACTATTCGGCCATCACAACCTAGGGAAGCATAGGACAACTTGAGCGGGATCTCAGCATGTTTATTGGGTTGGAGTTTTCGATTGTTGTATCATATACCTCAAGAGTGTGGGTTTATTCGGCTTCTGGAGTTGGAACATTTGGAGTCCCAGGGATTTTGATTTCAGCACACGCACCTCCCCACGAGATGGGTGACGGTTTTTGAAGAATTGCTTTGTAGTACAACAATGTCACATATTCAAAAACATCATCACTGCCTTCGCCCTGTGACCACGCAGCCGCTGAAGCCAACGGAAAAATGACATGATGACACCTGTAGCGCCGTACTGGCGCCCTGACGGATTCACGGAGTATTCGCGTGCAGAGTTGCGTAAGACGCCTTGACATCATCCCCACATCACTTCACGCACCATCCAACCGACATTCTAGACCTCGCCAACTCCATCCCCTGCGCACCGCAGAAAGTCGCACGGATTTTCAAATCCCGTGGCATCCGATAATCTTTTCCAGACTTTACATAAAACAAACCCTCATGATCAGTCGCCCAGGAATGCAGGGCCAGAATGAAACCAGAGTCTGGACTTTGCTGGTAGCGCTTGTGTTGTCCATATCGATCGCCTTTTTTGCTGATGATCGTGCGCTAACGAGGGGCCGCGCAACGTTGGCGCCCGCTGCGGAGTGACGTCGAGGGCGAGTGGACACCGAGGCATCCTTGCTGGCCGAGAGTGAACACCAACATTTGGGCTTTGGGCGGGCATCGTGAGATTGTTCTGGCCCGACGGGGGGTCGGAGGTTGCGAGTCAGTGTGTGTGTTCTGAAGACCTGCAGATTCTGCGACGACGTTTGGAAGTGCTCGTAGAAGTAGAATTCAATAAGGGTATGTATGTGTAGCATCCAAGTGCGATCCTCTCGAGCCTCGAGAATATGCCAGAGTGAAGCACGACCAGTGTGTATCCTCATCTGGTGACCAGCGAAGTTCAGCCCAGTGCGGCACTCGATGCAGATCACCATCACCGCATCTGCCTTGGGCAAAAGGACAGAGTTCATTTTCTGCATGTTGCGCATGTGGGCCTCTCCGCTTCGAAGACACCCGAAAATGGCCATGCTTCGGCTCATCTCCTGCATCCAAAATACACCGAGATCACCTTCATGCTTCTGCAGTAGGTGATGCGAGATCAAAATCAAGTTTTTTCGGTCGGACTTGCGGATTCTGCATGCGCACTGGTAGAAGAAAATTCTAGAGGAGATGCGTGCACAGAGAGGGGTCGGTCATTGCTCAAATACACCTCTAAGGCTACTTATCTCGTATCTCGTCTTTGGTGGCTGAGCCTGATTGATTGCTTACCTAGTACATTACTTTGCATGAGCGACTGGTAACCTAGATACATTAATTTGCATCATTACGCTTAGGTACATCAATATTCCTCCAGCAGCCACAAAATTCTCCAAGCAAACCTCCCCACTCATTCTCATCCCCACTTCGAAGTTTCTCGCGAAGCCATGAGTCGCGCACGCACATCCACCTTCTCCACAGTCTCAAGTCCAGACTCTCCTTCTAACAATCCCATCTCCTCTTAACAAGCAATGCAATAATCCTCCACCGGCTGCACTGAAAATTAGCGCCAATCGCCGTCAGGGTTCGTTGATTCGGGACTTGGACCGAGGCGGGTACGTCATAGCTGAGCGGTCTGGATTCCGCGAATGACCGTCAGCGACGGCGGGAGAACCCCCTCGAAGTCGAATATGGTGAGCTATGTTTGAAATCCACAGCGTGTACATACAGTGACAAGGGGGGGGGGGTAATGGGATGTGATTATGCAACAGCATATGCGCTCAGGACATCGCCAATGCCCTTTTGCCCCCCAAACCCACCCATCCAAATCTCCTGTTCCCCATGTTCACTAATGAATCTCCTCCATCACATTACCGTTCCAAAGCAGCTGACCTATCCCTCGCACACCGTGCGTATTTATGCCGACAAAAGCGAGACTGCGATGCCGTCGGCAGATCGCCCGCGGCAACTCAGAAGTAAGCTCAAATACGCTTACAAAGGCCTTCTAGAAGTCAGCCCTACCTGCATGGGTGTACGGTGGCGCGCTGTGGCTGCGCATGTATTTCGGGGTTTATGTGGGGGAGGAGGATGACTGAGCATTGGAGTTGGCTGTACAGGTTTGTGATAGGATGGAGAGAGTGGTAGAGGTCAGTTGCTCGCGAAGAGATGTGCGTTGTTTGAGAGCGGTGATTCGGTGATTTAGGATTGGGAGAGCACACGGTCGTATTGACGAGTTTGAACCAATTGCATGCTGCATGGAGGCGTGGCTGACATACTTAAGCCTCGAGAGAGTATGTAAATCGCACGCTAGATGATGTGGAGAACAAAATGTTCGGCGCATACAGCCAGCCACCCGCTCAGCTGCATTGGCTAAGCCGTTGTAGATTGTCGAGATACCGGCTAGTAGCCAAATGCTTCGCTCTTCGGGAACGTGTGTAGAACAGTCATACAACCCAGCTTCCACATTGGCTGGCACTATCTCGGCTGAAAGTCAGAATCGATACTGTATCATGCCCTACCCGAGACGCATCCCTCTCGTTAGCCACACTAGCCTGGTGTCCACGCAAAACGACCTCATCGCTTACATCAACTAGCAACGACCTTATTAGATTCAATATACGTTCAGCCAATGGCAAGCACTTAATAGTAGTTGCACGTCCCTAGGTCCATACCGCCATTGCGCTGAATAATCAGCGTGCTTGAAATACTTCGACTCCTTCTCTGTTTACACATACATACGGGGCGCCTTCGGTCAGTAATCAGCATTGTGATAATCAAGCCCGAAAAGGCATCTGACTTGTTTCCGAACAAGTACAACTATCCAGGGGGATGCTCTCGTAAGAGATGAGTCTGTTATCCTTTGCTTGCCTAATTCATCGCCAAGCTCTTCCAAGCCTTTGTTAAGCTTTCCATTCTATTCGAAGCCAGGATGAGTTCCCGGTCAGATGCGAGATCGAGTGATGCTAGGGCCAGGGTGGCGAGGCGACCAACATCCAACTACCGCGTTAGGTTCAGACACGGTGTGTACCCTAAACATGAGGGTGAAGCGACAAGGGCCGACATTAAGAAGTACGATTACTTCTTCCCGAGTGAGCAGACTTGGGTTGGTTCACCTGGCGACGGTATGCTTCACCTCAATCGTATATCTCCCCTATGTCGCTGATGCATAACGCAGTGGACTTCATCGATGAGTCTGCACAGGTTGCGGCCGATCTGGATGCGGTCGAGCATAGTCGAGCTAGCGAGAGTATTCGAAGAGCACCCACAAGGCTGTTACGAACAAGTACATCAGAGAGGGTACCTCGGATTACTGAGCGCAGTATACCTCGGGCGATGCAAATGCGCATCCGGCCTGCATCGCATGCTGCGAGTAGCATATCATCCGCTTCTGAAGCACCTTCAACAGCTTCTAGCAGCCCTATGCATGCAAACTTCCAGCATCGTCGTCATGACAGCCCAGCTACTAGTTCCATGTCTAGTCCAGATGGTAGCTCTTCAATCGATTGGCAGCACGAAATGTGCACTTCATCGCCCTATCATTCCGTCAATACCTCGCGGGCCCCATGGCCTCTTTCAGATCCCATCGAAGCTCATCTTTTCCGCGTTTTTGTGGATACGCATGCTCCGCGGTGGGACACTACCAGTTCGTACAGTGTATTTGAGAAGGTAGTACCACAGATGGCCTTGACCAACTCCATGCTGCTTAATGCGGTTTTCATGACAGCGTCGCAGATCGTATGCCGTACAGACGCTTCCTTTCCGGTCAAGCCATTCGTGTACCATGAGCGCGTACTGCAGGACCTGATACAATACCTAGCTGACCATGGCCGCATACGGGACGAGCCCACATTGGTGGCAGCCATGCTATTGCGAGGGTTTGAAGAATCGTTTGGTGCGTCTCGCTTGATTGCTGCTCTATATCCTATCTGGCTAATCGTGTGTAGCTGGCACCCGTGGTCAGTCGCATCTTTCCACGCATGAACTGTTCTATGGTCCTTCTGGCTGGTTGTTCGACATGTCAAGCCCCGTAGTGCAGGCATGTTTTATGGTCCACGTGAACTTTGAAGTTTACCAAGGTCTGCTGAACAAGCAGAGCTTACAGGTTGACTACCGCAACTTTGTTTTACCTGCATTGGTATCACCAAGAGATGATGTTGAGTGGGGTAACCGGATCGTGTGGATCTGCGCGCGCATCTTGCAATGGTCTCAGGGAGATTCACGCCAGCTGGATGAATGGGACATATTGAACGCTTTGGTAGACAACTGGGAACGGGAGCGACCAAGTAGCTTTGATGCGTTCTTTTACCGAGAATCTGGCGCAATAGAAGGACAATCCGTAGAGTTGTGGTTTCCCAGGATTTGCCACGGTGGGTCGACATATGATCAGTGTACGCCTCCTCACTGACTGATTACATAGCGGATGCCCATCAGCACTTGCGTATTTGCCGCCTTGCCCTTGCGACGGCTGATCCCAGGAAGCTCAACAGTCACATAATCGACGTTGGCCCGATAGAGCCAGAAGTTACAACGTGGCTTAGAGAAATCATGGCTGTTGCTCGATGTAATCCACATGCCAGCACGACGCCGTACCTTGCAGCACACGCGATGCACAAATTTGCAGTCGTTTTGGACGACCCGCAGGATCAGAGAAACGTCATGGATTTCCTAGAGGAGGTGGAGATGATGTCCTTTTGGCCGACAGAAGCGAGCAGGCAGTGGTTGAGGAAAGAATGGGGTTGGCCCATGCAAGATAATGCTGAGCACAGCAATGAAAATTATCGGTCGACCATCGACCAAGGAACACAAGTCTGGTCATCACAATTCTCAGTTCCGGAGACGAGAAGTGAGCCATAGTCCTCCAAGGACTGCTCCGATAAACGCAACCAATATGGCTCTACCTGTGCTGGTCAATGCCAGGTATGAGAGTACGCCAACGATGACTTCTGATCTTCGGGCAGCGTCCCTCCGAGATTTCCACTGAGCATTGATGGGAAATGGAGGCCGAGACACGACATGGCCCTGATCGCCAGAAACTGTTCTATCGTTCACGCGCAGAAATAGAGCCACGGGCCGGTGATCTGACGTGGCTTGAACAGGCAAGGCTGTGTACTTGATTGGCTCAAGCTCAGAGTTGGGGCCAGGCGAAGAGAAGAGAATGCGATCGCACCATGATGGGTATCGATGCTTGGACCAGTTCCAGACATCATCGGTAGTTGATGGGCCGTGAGCAGGTTTTGCGCCTCCATCTTTGGGTGTGGCATATTTGTAGGTTGGCGGAAAGTCGATTGGAAGTTCTTGCAACCCATGTAGTGTACGATTAGCCTCCTTTTCTCTTGCCAGTTGGTCCTGCTTGAGGAACTGCGAATAGTGCTTTGGTGATGTCTCGGATGAGGTAGGCTGAGGATAAGTCTTGTGATCGTCGGGGCCAGGTGGCGCGTCGTGCGTTCGATAGTTCAGATCTCCGTAGAAGAAGACATAGTTGCCATCAGCAAACATTCCGTCGTGGTCACTTGGCGGTGATGATGACGCTGATGCAAGCAGAGGCGTCACCTCGCTGGCACTGTACGCCGAATCATCATCATTGACGAAGACGAGGTTGCGCACCAGATTTTCCCAGTCTTTGTTCCTCGCGCTGATGTTGCTCTCCATGGGGGCAAGATGTGCAGCCACGAAGGTCAGATTGAGCGTGTCCGCAGAACCAGGACGCGAGATTCCCACACGCATAGCAATGGCACCCTTATTCCCCATATTTGCGAAACCAACGCCCGCACCCGCTGACTGTATCCATTGAATCCTCTCCACAAGCTTGGGCTTTGCGAATATCATCAAGCCCGTCATGCCCAAGCTTCGTGTTGCGACATGCTCGAGCTCCTCGCTGCCATGACTGTGAAGATCGGCAGCCAGTTGTACTGTGGTGGTGATGCGGTCGAAGTAGGGCTTGAGGTAGGAGCCGCCTAGGAAGGAATAGGCGATAGGCGAGATTTCTTGTAATGATATGGCAACGAGGTCTGGCACAGGCGCGCCCTTGGGAAGCGCGTCAAAGAGAGATCGTGAGAGAGACTGGGGGTCAACCAGCGTGCGTGCGCAATTGAATGTCAAGAGATATAAGTCGAACATGTTGAGTCAGGATGCTAAGGCGGCGTGTGTCAGTGGGAAATGTTCACTAGCACAACTGCGTGTAGCAAGACAGCAACGAAGCGTGATATGGTTATAGTTGGTATCGACGCGTCATATGGCTCAAAGTACCAGATCACCGGTTTTTGAAGAATTGGAACAGAGTTCGTCAAACATACTGGATCTGATCGGCGAGGGCAGTGTCGGCGGCCGCACACGTCTCTCGTCTCTCGGTGCTACCAAGGCTGGGGATCGTGAAGAAAATTGTGGAGGTGAGGCCCGGAATATGGCAATGATTCCCCGCCCTTATCCTAATCGTGGAGCGAGCGACGGCGTGGCATGGAAATGTGGGCTTAGTGGTTCAACATTCTCAAACGAGGGGCGCGAAACATGTCGCCAAGCCTTCCCTGCATGGATTGGCACAGGTGGTACGTCATCGCCCTCCCTCGAAAAATAATGGGGAAGGGGCGAGGGAGCTCGAGGGAACACCGAAAAACATTTTCTGTGTGTTTCAGAAGCTCAATTGCAACCTTCTACAGCTTCTCGTGACCCTCTTAAGCTTTTTTCTGACCTCGAGGCGACGTTTGTGGGCTCACACCGCTATTACTCCGCAGTGCCCCCACGATCTCGACACGAGCTCAGTCCCACGATATCTGGACGTGCATAGGCTTTCGCTTAAATAAGAGCCTCTTTTGGCGCTCCGCTCACCTTTTTCGACTTTCAGACGCGTCCCCCATCACAAATCACAAAATGTTCAGGTCTCAGATCATCAAGCAGGCCGCTCGCGCAGCAAGAGCGCCCAGAGCCTCGTTCCGTCCTGCGCAGCCAATTGTGCCATTCCAGAAACATCCGCAGAGATTCTTTGCGACCACACCGGTGCGCTCAGACAAGTCGTCTGACGATGAGTACACCTCCGCCACTACATCTGGCGAGCCAGGTGAGAGTGGTGAGCACGAGGGACAATATGCTCGTACCAGCAAGGACATTGTCGTCGAGGTATGTCACGGCAGCGAGGCAGCAGCGATGGAGCTCTTCCCAATCGTTGCTACCTTACATCCATCAAGTATTCAGACGTTAACATCAATCTTAGTACCCTGAAGAGAAGGATCTTCCCCCATCCATGCCTGTTGTAGGCAGAGGAGGAGTGCACGCCTTGCGTACTCTAGCAGCCTTCTCCATGGAGGGCAAGGTGGCCGTTGTCACCGGTGGCGCTCGTGGTCTCGGTCTTGTCATGGCCCAGGCCTTGGTCACTTCTGGTGCCGACGTTGCCATTGTCGATATGAACAGGGAAGAGGGTCTTAAGTCGGCCCAGAGCCTGATCGACATCTACCAGCAGGAGAATCCAGATTCAGACAAGTAAGTACTGAAGATTGTACCATCGTGTCAGCTATACTAATCTCGCCAGGATTCCCAAAGTCACGGCTCACTTCTGCGACGTGTCAAGCCCGACTTCTGTGAACCAGTCATTGGCCGAGATCCTCAGAGTCCACGGAAAGGTCGACAACCTGGTCACATCTGCTGGATTCACGGAGAACTACGACGCCATCTCCTATCCTCACGACCGCATGCAGAAGCTTTGGGGCGTCAATGTTGACGGCACATACCTATACGCTGTGGCCGTGGCCAAGCACCTCATGGAGAGGAACGTGCCTGGAAGCATCGTCATGATCGGCAGCATGTCTGGCGCCATCGTCAACGTGCCCCAGCCGCAGGCACCTTACAACGCCGCCAAGGCTGCTGTCCGTCATCTAGCATCGAGTTTGGCGGTCGAGTGGGCTGGTGCAGGCATCCGCGTGAACTGCATTTCGCCCGGTTACATGCTTACAGCACTGTAAGTGGCGCAAAATGTGGTCAATTATTGTTGATGCTAATCCTTTGCAGGACCAAGAAGATTCTCGACGACAACCCAGAGCTGCAGAAGCAGTGGACCTCCCTCATTCCTGTCGGTAAGATGGGACGGCCAGAGGACCTGATGGGCGCCGTCACCTTCCTTTCCAGTGATGCTAGCTCCTACGTCACGGTACGTTCACTCCCCACCTCGTATCACACAGCTGCTGACCATTCCAGGGTGCCGACCTACGTGTTGACGGAGCCTACACTTGCACTTAGAGGGACCGAGGACTTTCCGTCTATTCCACGATTCTTTCCTTCAATGATGGAGTTACACAGGGAAAACAAATTTCTGCAAATTTGTACAAAATTAGAGTAATGAATACATGAACCAACAAATCGGCTAGTCCAGGCACTTCGGCGTGCTCTATCGCAGTCACTATGAATGTAGCAATCGGTTGGAGATGACAAGCATATGCCCTCCTGCAAAGTCATAATTAGAGGATTTGAAATTGGCTAATAGCGTAGATCGATACACCATGGTTCATGACATCACGACTGAAGTATACTACATAACATCATGCCTTGCCTCAGACTGACAAACATAAAGTACTACAACAAGACCGCTATTTATCTTACAGCATTTGCGCACCATGTCTTCAAAGCTCGTCGTCGTCACCGGCTCAAACCGAGGCATTGGCCAAGGCATCATCCATCTCCTCGCCAAAACCCAACACGACCCTCCACTAACAATCTACGCAACTTCCCGCTCCGGAACCGATCTCCACATAAAAGCTTCTCACAGCAACCAAGTGCGTTACAGCAAGCTCGATGTCAGCGACAAGGACTCCATTACATCCTTCATCGCCTCGACCGGCCAAGCCATCGACGTCCTCATCAACAACGCAGGCATAAACAACAACAACTCAGAAACACCCGAGCTCGCTGCCCAAACCATTGACGTCAACTACCGCGGCACGAAATCCATGTGTGAGATCTTTCTCGAACAGGGCGGCATGGCGCGCAACAAGGGCTCGCGAATCGTCAACGTATCCAGCACAGCATGCCAATTGAGCAACTGGTCGCCTGCGCTTCAGACACAATTCCGCAGCGTGAAGTCTCTCTCCGACGTCGATGCATTGGCAGATTCATACCTCGCTTCCCTGCCCTCCAAGCAATCCTCTGCGGGCTGGGGCTCGGGGCCAAGATCCTACCAAGTGTCCAAATCACTCGTCAATGCGCTGACTGTTGTGCTCGCGGCGCAGAATCCAGGCGTGTTGGTCAATTGCTGCTGTCCTGGCTGGGTGGATACGGATATGGGCCATCAAGTCGGCACGCCGCCGAAGACGCTGGAAGAAGGCGCGAGGATCCCTGTGCGGTTAGCGATTGGGGAATTAGGCAGTGGAGGAGATCGAGACGGCGGATTAAGCAAAGGGACAGAAGACGTAAGCGGGAAGTATTTCGGTAATGATGGGGTGACTGATAGGGGATGGGGAAGGAGTCGGGAGTGGTAAAAGATCTAAAAGAGTGAATGGTATATTCTTTGGTTTTTAATTAAAATTGGTCGTTTGCGCTACGTAGCCATGATGTGTCATCATCGTCGTGGTTTGTATAAACCTGGTGCATGAAGTCGTGGGTCATGTCTTTTCAAAAGAGTGTGGGGCTGCGTTGGTCGTGGACGTTGTAAGAGGTGGTAAAGAAGCGAAGAATGATGGACTGCATGGCAGTCATCAATGAGAATGTGGCTGACGCAATGAACGTCGTCCGTTCTGGTCGATAAGAATTGAAGAGTGTTGGGCTGCCTAACAGTCATCGATAAGATGGAGAAGGATGCGATGAACGCCGTCCAATCTGGTCGATGAGAAGTGAAGAACGTTCGACTGCTTAGCAATGGAACGTTGGGAGTGCAACGCGCATGCGAGGTCAGATCGAAGGGATCCTCTAGTGGCTAGAGGATCCATCGAAGTGTTCCCCTAGTGGCCGTGGGGAATCTGGTCGCGTACATATTCTGGGTAGGAAGTGTCCGAGATTGGGGCGCAGTGGTGTTGGAACTTGGACAGTCGTCGTGGTCCTCCTGCATGACGAGTGCAGATATGGTTCGCCATTTCCTCAGCAGTCTGAAACCTTGCAGAGCAAGTGGAGCTGCGTTCCGACACATAGCCACAGGTACAATAGCAGCACACGAACTCGGAAGAGTTGCTACGTTGAAAGTCGTAGATATGGATTGCCATTATGTGCTTCCTCAGGGGTGCTGAGCTCTTCCACTGCGATTCGAATATCTCAAACTCCAAATGTGGGCGAGGTGTGTATATGGTGTCGTGGTCATGATTGAGGGCAGGTGTCTCCATCCTAGTATCACGAGTCTCGTCGATCTTCCTCTTCTTCCTTTGGGCCGTGGTGTAGACATGTGTCTCGCGGCCATGGCCCATGTTGCACTTGGGACACATGTATGCTAGTTGCACTGGTACCGTGCGTTCTTGAGCTGGCTCTGACATGACTGACTGGGAAGCCAAAGCCGTGTCCTCTGGGTCCATAGATGTGGCAGAGGACCGACCAGTGTTCGGAGTTTCGTAGGACGAGCGAGCCGTCGAAGCTGAACTTGCTGAACCCCGTTCACGCATTATTGGGTTTGTTGGCTGAGCAAGCTGTAGTGGGATCGGGATGGGAGACTCGGTACGCGGTCTTTCGAGTTCGGCGCGGGTGCGACTGCGTTGATGTGCCTGTTTGCAGGCGTCTGTGACACGCGTCTTTAGCAACATGAAAACTCCCGGGAGATATATGAGACCTACCTGCCGCATTGGTCATGACAGCATAGTCAGCGGCGGGAATGTTGGTGAAAGGCATGCTCGGAGCTTCAGTGCCATGGCGCTGCCCAAATGGTACTGTGGGTTCGTCGGGCCATGAGATAGGAGCATTGTCAACGTCCATTGTAATCAAACCATTACTTGTCGGATATGTATTCGGAGGGAAATTCCAGTCCCAGTGTTAGAAGTTGTCAAAAGTGGTGTCTGAAGTAGGCATTGTTGTCGAAACCCCCTAGAGATCCATGTCTGCTTCTGTATACAGGTGAACCCAGGGATGAGTCTACCTTTTGGTTTGGGCGAAGAATTGACAGAGCTATAGTCTTGCTGTGGGCAGTGACGCTAGAAACGCTGAACAAAAAGAAATGAATGTACTGAAAGCGATAGCTAAATCGACAAGTACCCAAACATTAACGAGAGAAGAGTGAGTTGGGTGATGAGAATGATGCGAAAACGATGACGAAAACGAATGTGGAGGAGCTCATGAGAGTAGTGAGCCCCAAACCTAGCCGTGCCATGATGCTGACAGAGCACTCGCCTTTCATATACTTTTTGAAAACATGACGCTCGGGCTGTATCTGTTATTTCGAAATTTAAGCGGGTTGCGGAGATCGGGTGGCGTAAATCCTTACCAGGATTGGGCCCACGGGGATTTATTGGCGGAGTCAGTCTGATCTGCACCAGCAAACGTGCTGCTCGATATTCGGAATTTTTCAGTCCTGCTAAGAACAAGGTATTGAGCAGTCAAACGTAGTGATGCGCTACTATACTCACCTGTATGTAGTAAACGGACACTGTCGTACCAGATGCCGCTCGTTCTGAATCGGCGTTCCACCCAATCCGTCAATTCCTCTTCTCAACATTTAGAAAGGGACTCTTGGCTGTCGGTACTGTGTCCGCGAACTAACGGGGTCATAGCGGTTTCAAGAGCCGACAAACGTGATGACAGGCATGACACGCTTCCAGAGTGAGCGAACTCGCGTTCAGCTCCACAAATGCCGAGTCCCCTTCATGGCCATCGTCACTGGCGCAATTTTCAGCAAAAATTCAACTGCGGAAATCATCAATTGGGGGACGATGAAGGGCGGCGGCAAGGACACGGCGATAGCGCCATGCATACGCTACCGTAACCTTGAAGTCACCTTATCGATAAATGATGTCATGCCGTGCATCGTGCACATGGGTGCGACAACAGCGCTGACAACAACATCGCCTACGAGAGCTATATCGGCGAGGCAGTTTTTCAGAAGTTTCATTTCTTTCAATTTTATGATATCTTGCGCTCCTGGAATTGTTGAATCCCCAGATTACAACCCCTAGTCTGCTACAAAGCAATGAACAAAATTACCAGCTGCCATCAGGCAACCCGTCTATTACATCCAGTACAACAACAACAAAAAATGCGGAGTGATTGAACGGCCGGTGCACGATCACCTGGGTAGGAAAGAGGGGTCTGCCAACAACCACGACAATTTCCTAAGTTGTCTCGCTGTCGCTGTTTTCCTGACTCGTGGTGACTCGTCGGTATGACCTCCGCTGCTCGTCCATATTTTTAGCTCCTGATATACCCTAGTGATGGTTGAGCGGGTGTACCTGAGTTAGCCTTTATCGTTCGGCCGCATTTGTCGGCCAGCTCGCCCACACCTGGAGCGCGCCGAGCACGATGCTGACCATCGCACTGGCGAGAGCGATGTAAGTGTCGCCATTGGGTCGCCATGGACGTTTGGTGTTCGCCAGAGCTGTACGGTTGGTATTTGCCAGAGCCGCATAGTGAGTTGGTAGAACCATCGTGGGAAGCGAGTGAATGTTTGAGGTGATGTACACTGTAGATGGACTGTTGATGGTTGCATCATGTGCGAAGGCACCATGGCTATATACACGTTTATGATGGCCACAGCAGGAACATTGAGAAACATCACTTTGCAAAAGTTATGGAAGTTTGAAATCTGCTTCTTCATCGAACTCTGAAGACCAAACGGTTTTCTAAATTTGTTCCCAATGTTGATCGTGCTCAATATTTTCACTCATTGTCCCACAAATCTCAATGCCGGGTGGATTTCAAGTCATTTCCTGCGATAAAGAGGTCTACGAAAAAGTAAGGAAAGTCGCGAAAGTTGTGTCACCAAACCCTCAAAACGTTTGCCGACCAACGTACAGATGTCTTTCAGCTTGGGCCTATCAGCTTGCGAAGGGAGAATTTAAGCTTCCAATTGGAGGTCAGATCTTGCGGGTTTGGATCTGGTAAAATTTAAGCTTTTAAATGGTAATATTCAAAACTGCTGGCAGATTTCATTCTGGAGGACCCGGCCGTGCTTCGGTCGTTCTTAGGCCAGCCACCAAATCGTGGCAGGCCTCAACGTCCATTTTCGTACGCAACGATCGCCGCGTTTTGGCATGCATGATATGCATGATCCAAAGCTTCATCTGCTGCTAGCGATTTCGATGTTCACCGTTGGATCTAGATTAATCGTGCTATCACACGGACGAGTCTGTGGCCAAGACGTACGATCTGTGTCAGAAATATCTGCTTTCAGTCAAGTTGAGCCTGGTCTCCCTAAGTATTTTCGCATCTCGTTGGTCATGATTCTGGAGGCCCAGACGTTAGAGAACGAATTTCAATACCACTGTAGCTCGCAAGCTGAGGAAAAGAGTTCACGAGGGGTTTGCTGTTACTTCCGAAGCCGACCGGCGGTAGCGATGCTGCGTACAACTTCTGTCTTCGCTTTCCGCTGTAATTTTGGGGAGTTCGGTGTGAACTAGGGCCGAGCTGCCCGACCTTGGGATGAAGCTTCCAAGGTGGCGGCGTGGGCGTCGGGATCGCCTCCGAAACCCCGGAATTGTGCTGTCACTCAACGGTACCATGCCTACGCTGCAAAATGCTGCGTGCTCAAATTCTATTTCGCTTTCTCGATATTCGTCGCTTTTGACGCGGCCATCCAGATTTCGAGATAACGCCTGAACGACGCAGTGTACATGCCTAAAAATTTCTTAGTGCGATTTGACTCAATAGTGCAGCCATGGCCTTTTTTGATAACATTGGAGCTGGAGAAATCGCGACTCACATCACCGCGGACGCTAATATGATACGGCAGGTTATTTCAGAGAGGGTAAGTATTGAAGTGCAATGCTGATCATATGTTACTACGGTGATGGTAGCGAAGTGCTGGTCAAATAGAAGTAGGATAACAACATACTACTCGATTGATTTGCTCGTTCTTAAACTAGAATAGTTTGCTTTGAGCGAACAGGATTTCCGAAAGCAATTTCCCATCCTTTGTCAAACCTTTCGAATGTCGAGATATCGTTTCGTTCTGACGACTCATTTTCCCATCACTTCAACGTACAGCACACCTCCTGCTCAACCACAAATCGCGTCGCCACCACCCAAGCGGCCACAGAAAGCATTAAACCCGCCTCGGTTCCCCGTATTTTTGCAAGAATTGCGCACAAAGACCATAGCGGGAATATAGTTCAAACTGTAGGTGCCGCCGTTCTCGTCGCAGCAGATCTGGGCCCATGTCCTTCCATTCCACCATCCCTCTCCTCCTGTCGAAGGGTCGCCACAATAGCAGGATTCAGCAAGACCGCCTGTTGCGCTGAGCAAGGTCAAGAAGAGGTTGAGTGCGAATCGCATTGTGTTAGTGATGCGTGATCGATGTAGTTTCGCTATAATACGTTTTAGTAATGAGACCAATAACGATACGAGTGTATGTACCGATTTGAGGCCCTACTAGATGTGCATTGTCAGGGTGGGTATCGTGTAAAGCCCTTCCTTTGGGTCTTGGACAGAATGGCGAGTACATATGTACTCCGCTATTGGACCCTATTTGCACAGATCTGTAGGTCAATCACAACACGAAGGCCTGAGATTGCCTATTTATAGAATGCTGCAGCGAGTGATTCACCCACTCTTTCTCGTAGAAGTCCTCGGTTGATTACCGCAAACGGTATAGCAGGGAGGAATACAACTACATTTAGGCTAGCTCAGACGAAGTCAGAACTAGTACCATTCTACTATAAACAGTATCATGTCGCGAAGCTAACTTATGTCTGGTTCACAAGCAACAGCAAGGAAGGCTGGAAAACTTCATTTCGACATCCTATTGCCGTATACGCAGATAACCTCCTGGGCTACAGATATGTATTGCGCATGTGGTGCAAGATGAGCGGAGAAACCGGTTTAAAGTCCTCCAACTCCGTCCAACCGCATGACCAAACCAATTACTCCCTGATTGTCTCAACAAAACTGTACATGTATTCTAAGCCCCTTCCATCTAATACGTCGAGCTCCATTTCGCACACTTCCCATTACTAACAAACAGCCCCTGATCCACCGGAAACTCCTGCGCCTGGCCCGCCATCAAATCGTACTGTCCAGCCGAGCACTGACCCGACCCAGTACCTATCAACTGGCACCTCCAACCACCCGCCTGAGGATCGTAGTAAGCGGTTCCAGCGCAGAGCGGATTCGCAGCGCAGGATCTACAGCATGCTTCTTTTGATGTGTCGGTGGTGAAGCCAAGGAATGGGAGGGCTGGGTTGGTGTCGTAGTCGTCGATGCCTTTGCCGTTGGCGCCGCCGGCGTAGTTGTTGGAGGCGCAGATGGCGTAGTCGGTGGCTTGGTAGGTGGTGGCTGATATTGTTGTTGTGCCTATTGATGTGACCACCCTGCAACAGGGTTTAGCTGGTACTCGATAAGGACCAATCGTACATGGACTTACGTTGTGTCAGGAGGGATGGTTTGGACTAGCGTTGAGGTAGTGGTTGTTGTTTGAGTGGTCAACGCTGCAGGCTGCCCGGCAGTGACGGTGACGGTGGTAGTTGTCGTTGCGGACAGGGTGGTCGTTGGAGTCGGTGCTGTAGCTGTAGTTGTAGTCTTCGCCGTCTGTTTGCAATCAGTAGAGTCCGCGCAGAATTGAGTTCGTTTGACGGAACGGTCAAGAAAAAAGCTTTATTTCGAGATCGTTTGTGCCCTCCTCATAGCGTGTGTTGGAAGCGTTTGACTTACTGATTGAGTATTAACAATCAGAATACAGGTTGAATTTGCGGCATGAACTTACCTGTTGTGAAAGCTTTGTAGACGATGGTTTCCACAACACCAACGCATGTTACAGAATCCGGGTAATAAGTCTGTGGCTTTGGTTTAAGGAGTCGGGGCTTTAGAACCTGACGAGCTCGGCGATCGAGTGAGCGCCTCCTCTTGGCTACACTGTTTGGAAGAGTACCAAGAGCTCCTGTAAATCCGGCAGGTGCTGGGACTGTAGTCATTGAACGTATGGTGGAGGTTTCGGTAACGGTCGTGCTTGAAGAGACGGTGCTAGTAACTTGCGGCTCCTGGGAAGTCATTGTGGTTTGCACCGTTATGGTTGATGTATACGTGTCTACTTGCTGGGAAAGGGTGGTATACGACGTGGCGGTACTCGTGATTGTAGAGGTATACTTTTGGGCTTCTGGCGTCACTGTCGTTCCTGGCGTAGTAGTGATGGTCAACGGTCTGGTGAACGCGATGCTTCGGATGAGGCTCGTGGTCTTTACGGCACCCTTAGGAGAGACCGATGTCTGATGAGTAAAGCAAAGCTGTTGCGTATTCGATGCAATTGCAACCTGGCTCCATGCGAAGAACGCAACAAGTAATGTGGACGGGTACAACATGATGATTCCAAAGAACAGAAGAAATCGGTCCAAGAAAATGAGTCAGATTTCAACGCAGTCGCAGACGAAAATAACGAATCTTTATAGTTGTCCACCATCACAATCGGTTCGGTGAATTTCACATCTTCAGCTGGTCAAGCCATGGATCTTACCAGAATGGCCATGTGGCGCACTCCAGATGTTCTAGTCACCGCATGCAGCTTTTTTTTGGGCACAATGACTGAATTGAGCTCGAAATCAGGCCAGCCGTGTCTTTGCGAGCTGAATCTAGATTGAAAACGCGGAGCTGAGACTTCTGGGAGCTGGCGTACGCCTTAGAGCATCACTACACAAAAGCGGCTCGGGGGTATTACTTCGAAGCCAGGCCGTAGTAATTCTAGTTGTCCTATAAGGCCAGGAACAATTATGAAATGCCCTAGCTAATTGCCTAATCATCGTAGCAACATTATTGCACAGCTTTTGATGCTGATTCCCCACGCTTTTCAAGAGGTATGTATGCAAAGTCCAGAAATTTTGTGCGCTGTCAAGTGTCTAAAAACACGTCCAAGTACCACCGTCTGGATTAGACTAGCCCATCAATCGAGCCTGGACCCTGTTAGATGAACTAAAGGCTGGCTCTGTGGGGTAACAAGAAAACAGCGCTTCGTCTTCAGCTGTTCCCTGAGCTGTGGCGTCACTAGTTGCATTGCCAGGCAATCTAGACGGCAATCCCGAGACTAGCCTCGGCTTCGAAAATTCGGTAGTTGTATCAGCACCTAGAAATAAGATCATGGGAACAGCTATGCGAATGTTAAGAACGTGTCAGTATGCCAGAGTTATGATGAGTCGTTTCAACACGCATCGGACGGATGTTGACGTGGGTCGAAAAGCCGTCTCTTAGGTGTACTTTCCCTCATCTACAACCCGCACTAAGGCATACTTATGAAGGCCTGTTTGCCAGCCTTGCATTCTAGTCAATTGCGCATGCAGGGCTGCGGGTTGTTTTCCTTTCGGCTCTGATGATTCAGGGCACTAGTCGCTCGGAGAAGGCGGCAGCCCTGGCGGCTAGAGACAGTCTTTACAACTTCGTCAGCGCAGTTCAATTGTTGCGAAGCTATATAGCAAATATTTCATAGACGTAATTTACCGATCTCAGGTGGCAGACTTCCAAGGCAAATCAGATTGTGAGCGCGGAAATTAGATGGTTGCAATGAAGACGTCTACGACCGTTAAAATACATGTCAGATCTTGACCAGATCCTTCGAACTCTATATGGAAGCAATGGGCTTTTCATACGCGTCTGTTCAGACTGATCCTTTTCAATGAGCTTCATCTCTACCTCGATAGACTCACGGTCTAGTGATAAAAGACCTGATAAAAATGTCAGTCAGGGGATACCAGTTAGGCAACTGAGAATAGTAACGCAACGTACCTCATTCCATCCAATTAAACTCTTCACTCATATCAAACGCATCCAACAGTGGCATCTCCTCATGCTGCGAAATATGCTCTTGTATGAAATCCACACATCCCATATGTCCATTTTCTTTCGCAAGCTTCGCTGCTCGCCTGCAGTGATCGTTATCGTAGACGTTGAGCCGTAGGAGGAAGGCGAGCATGTCGGTACGGCAGTGTTCCGCAGCTCCCTCGAGAGGCCACCGCCCTCGAATGGTTGATGGCGGCATCAATGGATTTGCGTTTCGTTTGAGGAGTTCGACTGCGATGTTGCAGTTTCCACTGATGGCTGCGAATTGTAGAGCTGTGCCGCCTCCTCGTTTGGCGGGCAAGCCGTTCACATCCGCACGGTTGTCGAGCAGGAACTGGACGACTTCCAGACAACCTGATTCGGCGGCTGCTTGCAAAGGCGTGCGGAAAAGTCTTCTGATCGCCGGGGCATTTACCTCGGCGCCGTGATCGAGTAAGAGTTTAACCAGACCAACACTTTTAGTCTGAACTGCAGCTAGCACTGCAGTTAGATTGTGGTCGGGATATGCAATGACAACGCTGTTTGGGTCACATCCCGCTTGCAGCAGACGCCTCACTATGATGAAATCGCTCGCGAACTCATCGGCCATCTTGATAGCTGTGCCAAGCGGACTTTCTGTTGAACGACTTCCAGCTACGTCGCTGCAGCAGTGAATATCTAAGGCTTCTGATGCAAGTAGGATATCTAGCATTTTGAGGCTAGACAAGCCAAGCTTGATAGCTTCCCTGATGGCTTGAGTTCCGAGGCTAGGAACTCTTCTCGCTCGCCTCGGGATATGATCCAGAAGAATAACAAGGATATCAGACCGTGAGGGATTCTCTATCGCAACACGGAGGTTGTCTGAGTTGGATGGGTCCGCACCCGAGTCAATCAAGTAGTATATCATTGCAGTATCGCTTTCCCGAATCGCACTGTTGAGAAGTTCAGTGAAGACAGATTTATGTACCATATTGTGGTCCACAAGGAAGGCGAGGAGATCTTTGTCCATAACCCAGTTGCTGCTTCCTTTATTGCCCATGGATATTACTTTGCCTCCTGGAAAGGCACGATGGTAATCTAGAATTATAGATCGATCGCCCCATTCTATGATTTCATGAAGGACACACGACATTCGTGAAGAACCATACGCACCGAAACTGAGCATATCGTCAGGCATGTGTGTGTCGCCAGCATCCAATATCGCGCGTACCATGCTAGCATTTCGTTGTCGTGCTGCAGCGAAAAGTGGCGTTGCTTGTAGATACACATGCTCCTTAACCTGAACGTGAGCACCGGCGTCGAGAAGTGTAGCAAAAATGTCTTCGTGACCACCCTCAATGGAGAGGAGGAGTGCGACGTACATGTCCCTTGGAACTAGTTCAAGCCGGTTCTTGAAAAGCTTTTGTACGTACTGTAAGTCGCCGATTTCAGCTGCTGCGGCGAGCGCAGCCTGAAAGTGTCCCGCAATATTTAGACACCGCAACGTGCCCGCTTCTTCGCAATGATGAGCCCAGTCAGGGTTGCCTGTTCGTATAGCCTCTGCGAATGGCGTTGTTGCAGTCAGGAAATATTCCCCAGGATCATTGATGTGGTTTTCTACAACAATACTTTGTGCAGGGGCGTGGAAATCTGGACGTTTGGCAAGTACCATCTCGAGAATTTCGCTTTTGCCACTATGAAAAGCGGAACTGAGCACCCTACCGAGACTGTTTGTGTGAGGCAGCAGCAGCTGAACCACTCGTACATGACCTCGCTTAGCACTCTGAACAAGTGCCCATTCGACCTTGCCTTCGGGCGTCTGGAGACATTCATTATGGTGAAGACGTTGACATGCTCCTATCGTCTGCTCTGTTGCATCATACGCCTGTTCCTCTTCTAGCGCGAGAGCTATGACGGGTAGCATGCCATCTTGGACAGCACATGTCTCGTGTGATTCCAAGAAGTGAGAGATGAGACACGCAGCCAAAATTGGGCTGCGTACATGTCCGACACCTCGCTCCAGCATACTCAGATCAATTCTGGCACCAGCTCCCAGCAAAATTTCGACCAGAGCCATGATATCAGGCGGAATCGTTTCTCCCGGGATAATCCTGTTGATCAGACAGTTCAGAGGTCCACTTTCTTTCGGATTTGATGCGTATGACTTTTGCACGTCGGCATGTGAATCCAGGAGGACTTTTGTAGTCTTGTAATCTTGCAGTTGTGCCGCGCGCTCCACTGCCGTCAACTTTTGCCCATAGGCTTCGCAAACCAGATCATTGACTTGAAGTAGCTCAGAGTCAAGCAGGTACTTGACTACTTGTGCCTGACGTGCTTCGATGGCGACTTTGAAGAGGTTCTCCGCGAGTGATTTTGCAACGTGGTTCGGACTTGCACCCAGGACTTGCCCAAAGAGCGTATCGGTATTTCCATATCTGGTGAGGAACCTGAGGATGCTCGTGATAGGTACATCGCCTAGACCAGCGAATCCATTCGCAATGGAGAACACCAGGAGTCGAATGAAGTTGGTGTCAAGCATGGCATCCTTCGTGATCAAGTCACTTTCGTGTTCGCTTGCTTCCCCTGGGAGGAGAGAGCAGAAGGATAACAACAGATCTCGTGGTTGTATATTGAGTGGGCTCGCCTTGGGGCCTGGCATGTCGGATAGGGAAAATTCGGCATCTGCGACATCCCTAAGAAACATTTTCGCCGGGGTTGAGACTCCATAGCTCTGCATAGCCGTTATGTGAGGTCTAAGGACTCGCAAGTCGATACCTGGAAGAGCGCTTAGTATTGAGCAGTTATGCGTGAATTAGGAGCATTCAAGACGCAACTATTCAATCGAAAAAGAACGAAGGGCTAAGATGCTTACCTCCGATGGCAACGCTCATCTGGAACTGTTGAAAAGGTAGATCGATGAGAGAGCCTGCATCAAAACCCTGGAAGTTCAAAGAATCCCACGAAAACACCGCCGATGAAAGCCCAGCTAGCATGGACGTATTTTGTATGAGATCATAGGGCCCATTTTGGATGGCCATTTCAGGAAAGTCGAGGGAAGGAAGCTCCTCAATATCAGGTGCGGGCTCGGGCGTAAATCTGGGCATGGGACTCCACATGGGCCAACTAGTGTCTTGTCTATGGCTTGCAAACGTGGATGGAAGTGCAAGAGTAAGACTGCCGATGAGATTTGTTGATACGGGTGCAACTAGATCCAATTGCTGTCCGGTGTAAGTAGCACAGTTACCCTCACTGGCATTTGAAAGGAAATGGCCGGCAGCAGGACTTTGTACAATCGGGGTCGAGAAACCGAACGGCTGTGCAGATGTATTTGGTCGTGACGTTTCGGAATCGTGATGCTCATCTGTGCATACAGACCACGCGCCATTTGCCCCCAGAACTTCGAAGGAAACATGTGTTGGAATCGAACAGGAAGTAATCACTCCTGGAACATTTGCTTCTGAGTCAGCGAAAGAGTCGCATCAAAACATTGCGAAAACGTTATACCCTGGTTATCTTGAAGGCGCAGTTGTTTCCTGGCCCTTTTGATCCTCTCCTCGGGCACGACTTCGCCGAGAAAGCGCAGTTGAATCTTTCTCTCGTGTCGAGCCTCGAGTTCGTCGAATTTATGCAGTATGCCTCGCCACTCATGCTTTTTGAGGTATTTTCGGGCTCCCCATGCTTTCATCTGAGCAACATAATGCTCGTTACTTGGGTAAATGCTTAGTATAGTCACGAGTGATTTCGCAGCCTCTCTCCTACCTTGCAGAGAAGTTGTGCTCCTTCCGCATCCTCTCAATGACGACAGGCCAGGGATATTGGGAGACCAATTTTAGGATGACATCCTTCTGGTGTTCCCACTCCGGTAAGGGCGGTCTGCCATGGGCCTTGCGCGGCATCTTCGTAGAGGACGGTATATGTGATCAATTTCAATGATGAAAGAACTTTTGAGTTCGCCGGTATTATGTAACAAAGAAGATATGCTTTGCATCTATGCCCGCGTTTAAATGGCGACTCAGAGACTTTGATGTAGGATTCGTTTCCAGATTTCGTTCCCAGATTTCGTCCAGATGCTGTTTCCCGTTCCATTTCCAGAATTCGTCGCAGGTGACACAGAAATTACAGGTTTTGTCAGATACAGGGGCTACTGCCGGTCAATATGTCATAAGGCTCTGTTGGCAGGCTGACATGTGTCTGGGCTGCGTACAGCACTGAGCAGTGGATTCAAGTAGGATATCATGCTAGTCCGAAAAAGGCTAGGCCATATTTTGTGTAGAGTTCAGCAACGAGTAAGCTGGAGTGCAAGCTTGATGCTCTTTACGGAATCTGTAAGGATAAAATTCAAGGCGCCACAGTTCCATTCGTATCGATATGGTCGATTCGCGTCATTTGATGCATACAGTGTTTTACAGGTCTATGAGTGTTGTACAGGGTATCGTTGGGCTGGCCAGCAGCATGTGTGGCGCTCTACTCGCTTCGGTCAGGCGTAGGGTTCTTCGATGCTGGTTGCTCGACAAAGCGCTCGTCGCCCTTGGGCTTCGACTCTGAATGGAAATGTGCCGATCGAGGCGTGGAGCTGCCATCGTCCCAGAACTCGACGTCGCCCTCTGCGCTGAGGGATCCCTTTTTGACCAAATTGCCCTTTTCCCGCATGAGGTCTTCGATTGTAACCGACTTGTCTGAGAAAATCTAGGATAGTCAGCTTTGGAAGATACTGTACTGCCTTGTGCCAAACCCACCTTCAGGTGATCACTGATCAGATGCCTATTCTTGCAGTCCGGACACGAGATCAGGATGGTTCCATGATGGTATCCCCTGCTTCGACAAGCGGTGCGATGAGCGTGTCTTGCAAACATTGCATGTAAAGGTCAATTCGTAGGACGGGACTTGTTCGCGATCGAGTCTGGATTCTGGGGCGGTAGTCGATGTCGCGGGCTTTGGTCCGGACGAGGTGGACTCGTAGCGACACGTGGGAACTGCACGAGCGCGTGCCAGAATGGGTGAAGGACGGGTAACGGGTGACGTTCGCAGCGTGTGGAGGAGCCGCTTTGCGGGCGCTGGAATGTGCTGTGACGAAGGGGCTTTGAACGTCTGAGGCGCGGATGCGCGGGCGAATGCGCGCAATAAAGAGTGTGAAGGGCGCATTGTTGTGATGTCGTGCCTGCCGAATGGAGGGATTGCTGTCAGAGGCTAAGCTGGTGAAGTGTGAATGTGAAATTCGCGGCGGAAGCGTAGCGGCGGGCAAAAAGCCATGTTCGCCAAAGGGCCGGGAACATCGTCATGCTGCTTGCGGGCAGGCAGGGTGGACCCCCACCGAACCACATCGCCTAGCTATCGAGTGCAGCCCTTCCTATTGCACGCCACGGCACAGCACAGCACGGCGACAATCACGACCCGCACGCTAAGCCCCGCCTGTTCGCTGCTTACTGCAATTCACGAATCTATTCTTCATCAGTCGCCTGGTTCTGCGGGTACCGCCACCGAGCTCTACTCCGACATAGCTCCGCACTTGCCCGCATTGCACATCTTACGCGCTCTGCCGCCTCCCACCAAACCACAGACTAGGACGAGATGATTGCAGGAAGGGGCCGGCAGCGTATACGACCACCGCGCAGGGTAAGTTGCCCGCTTTCACTTTCACCTTCACTCCCTTCCGCGTCATGCTGCTTCATCATCATGCTGCCCGAGCTACATACACACGCCTCTGGTATCGCTACCAAAATACTATCACTGCAAGCATAGCTGACAATGGCGCGCAAACAGGGTCTGCATGGCGACGAGGTCGACTTCGAGGAGACGTGGGCGCAGATCGAGCTCGCCTTTCGGGAGATCCACACCAAGAATGCCTCAAAGCTATCCTACGAGGAGCTGTATCGCCACGCCTACCGCATCGTGCTGAAGAAGAAAGGCGAGCAGCTCTACAATAAAGTCCACGAATTCGAGCGCGACTGGCTCAGGACCGAAGTGCGCGCACATATCCAGCAGCTCCTTTCGCCCAATCTCCTGGCAGAGGCACAAGGCGCAGGCTCAACGAGCCCCAACGAGCGACGAGTAGCGGGCGAGAAGTTCCTCAATGGGCTGAAGCAAGCATGGGGCGACCACCAGGTCTGCATGAGCATGTTGGCCGATGTGCTGATGTACATGGTAAGATTTTCTGCATGTCGCCACCTAGAATGAGAATACAGCTAACCCGGCCCGGTTGAAGGATCGCGTGTACTGCGCTGACCACAGGCGCATGTCCATCTACAATGCAGCCATGGTTCAGTTTCGCGACGAGATTCTAAACTCCGAGATATCAGCGACCGACGCGCGAGCCGTCCTAGGCCTGCTGAACCACGTTGTCCTCGACCAGATCCAGATGGAACGCGACGGCGATGTCATCGACAAGCAGCTCATCAAGTCATGCGTGTGGGTGTTGGAAGGTCTTCACGCAGACGATACGGGAGCCGAGGAGCAGCGACTATACAACGCCTCTTTCGAGAAGGAGTTTTTGGACACTAGTAGAGTCTTCTACCGGAAAGAGTCGGACCTTCTTCTGAGAGACTCGAATGCAGGAGCATATTGCAAACATACGAGGCGCAGGATATACGAAGAAGAGGAGCGATGCAAGCAGACCCTTTTGGATGTCACTGGTCCCAAGATCCAGAAGGTGGTCGAGGACGAGCTCATCAAGAACCGGATACGTGAGCTGGTGGAGATGGAGAGTGGCGTCCGATTTATGATTGACAACAACAGGCTCGAGGAGCTTCATCTGATCTACGACCTGGACAAGCGGGTCGATGAGAAGAAGACGGAGACTACGCGTGCCATTCAGAAGCGCATTGTGGACATGGGCATCGACATCAACAACGACGCCATAGCCGCATCACAGGCTCCTGTGTCTGTAGCTGCAACTGACCCAGCTGACAAGGGCAAGGGCGCGACCCAAGAGAAATCTCTCAATCAACAAACGGTGGCGGCGATCAAGTGGGTTGAAGACGTGCTCTTGCTCAAAGACAAGTTCGACAAGATATGGGTAGAAGCCTTCGGATCTGATCCACTTTTGCAGCAAGCCATCACGAACAGCTTAAAAGAGTTCATCAACTCATCATCCTTCCCGCGATCGTCCGAGTATATATCGCTGTTTATTGACGAGAACATGAAGAAGGGCATCAAGGGCAAGACGGAGATGGAGATTGACACCGTCTTGGAGAAGGCCATCATACTCCTCCGATACGTCCAAGACAAGGACCTGTTTGAAAGATATTACAAGAAGCATCTCTGCCGACGACTGCTCATGAATAAGTCGATCAGCAACGAAGTCGAGAAGCAGATGATTTCCAAGATGAAGATTGAGCTCGGGAACAACTTCACATTGAAGCTGGAGGCCATGTTTAAGGACATGACCATCTCGGAAGAGCTCACTGCTGGTTTCAAGAAGCACGTCGAAGGTCTCGGCGACAGGGAGCCCAAACGCATCGAACTTGCCATCAATGTGCTCACAAGCATGACATGGCCACTGGAGACAATGGGCGGCGTGGTTGCTGAGGAAGATCAGAGCAGGCCACGGTGCAACTTCCCTGCGGTTGTGGACAAAGTGAAGCGTGGCTTTGAGAAGTACTACAGTCAAAAGCATTCTGGACGACAGCTTACATGGCTCCCCAACATGGGCTCAGCGGACATCAAGGCCGTCTTTCCCAAGGTGGTGCAAAAAGATGGGTCATTCAAGGAGCGTAGACACGACCTCAACGTGTCGACATATGGCATGATCATCCTCCTTCTCTTCAACGACCTACCAGCAGACCAGCACCTCACGTTCGAGGAGATTCAGGCGCAGACGAACATCCCACGCAGCGATCTGATTCGCAACCTACAGTCGCTTGCTGTAGCGCCAAAGACTCGCATCCTAGTCAAGGAGCCCATGTCCAAGGACGTCAAGCCAACCGACCGCTTTTCTTTCAATGAGGGCTTCAACGGCAAGTTCGTTAAGATCAAGGTCGGAGTTGTCAGCAACGGCAACAAGGTCGAGAGCGACCGCGAGCGACGAGAGACTGAGAAGAAGAACGACGATTCGCGACAGTTCTGTATCGAGGCTGCTGTCGTTCGAATCATGAAGTACGTATTATGCTCTCATTCAACTCCATACAAGCTAACCGCGACGCAGGCAACGCAAGGAACTTTCGCATCAGCAGCTCGTCTCGGAAACTCTGGGCCAACTAGCCGGACAGTTCAAGCCCGAAGTCAACATGATCAAGAAGCGCATCGAATCACTTATCGAGCGCGAATACCTCGAGCGCATCGACGGCGCAAAGATTGATTCGTACCGTTACTTGGCATAAAAGCTCTCTCTTCACGTGCATCTCACCAAGCACTTTCCATCCATTTGCATCTCATCTTGGCGTTTTACGGTGGGCATACTTGGCGACACGGTCCCGCAGCGTATGCATAGCATCTAGCATTGGCGTCGATTTTCATTCCACAGGGAGGTCGGAGCAGGGAGTTCTGAGACACGGCGCACACAGAAAGATAAGATCTGTAGCAGTTTCTGGCCCACTTGCGCAGCTTCTAGAGCTGTGCTATACGCAAACATTTACGACGTCTACAAACCAAACAAACAGACGCGTGCAGTGACGTCAGGAAAGGGGCATTTCTCGCTCCAGGCTCGTTGAATTAAACTTTGTCTTGGGTGCTTCTCATCACCATCTAGAAAAGTGCCCGATCGGGGTATGCATGTGAAGGTGTTGGCGCGCGCCATGGGCGTGCGACACCCGGGTGTTTCGAAACGTGGTCGGGCGGAGTGGTTCACGCAGGTCTTAGATGTTTGCGAGAAGATTATCAAGTGCGTGCGTGAACGATAGTCCTGGCATAAGAGTCTGAGGTTCAGATCTTCAGAGCCATGGACGTGATGCCAAATCGTGGCTATTTTTGGGTTTTGGACATATGTCGCAAGCGGTGTACTTGCTTGTGAAGGCGGCGGTCACAAGTTCCGAGGGAAATTTAATAGAACGATTGATGCCAATCGGAACTGCACGCTGTTGACGGGTAAACGATAGTCTGCGTGTGTGAGATGTCGAGTTAAGACTTCTGGCAAAGATTGAGATCGGCTGCTGGTGATCGGTCGTGCAACGCGCGGAGACACATCACGATCGACTGACGGGAGATCCGGGACCGGTATTGCGATCGGCTGGTGGGTGGGATCTAGACTGCGGGATGGGCGATGGACAGCACTGTCAATAGGATTGTTCGCAGCGACATATGAAGAAGTTTCGGTCAGCATAGACAAACGTCAGCGACAGGAGTTTTCCCTTCACGCATACAACACATGCAGACACAAACATCGGGTGAGCAGTGCATTGCGCTTATGCAGGTCCAAGGAAGATGTCTATCGATAGGGCAGTGGTGCGCCCCACATAGCGAGTTCCCCTGATTGGACCCGACACAGCGAATGGGGTGCCCAAGCGAGAAGGAGGATTTGACTGGGGAGACTCTTCTCGAGCGCAAACGTGCGAGAGAAATGTGGGAATGATGGTGACGTGAACCGGACCGAAGCAAACACGAGCGTCGACAAGAATCGCTGCGTATCGCGGAATTGCAGAGGGATGGTGTCGGGTCGGGATGCTTCCACGTGTAGGCGACATGTCGCGTGTTTGAGGACACGAAGGTAGTTCAGCACAGAGAGATGCGCCTGGCACGCACCGGTAATGTCCGTGCCGCTATCAAGGACAAACAGACACAAAAGAACAAAGAAACGAAATGACGGTTCGCGCCTTGGGGGGTTGGAGGCTGAGGTTGTGTAGTGACCCTGCATTAGCGGAGCTGACCTGCTCTGCAACATGGCTAGAAAAGGGATCAAGTCGCAGTCTCACACGCGCTGCGGTGCGACGCTGATCACCTCCAAGTCGTGTAAATAATGCGCATGTAAGTGTCGTCGTCAGCCTCCGGACCTGGTTGCTGTGCCTCGTCGGGGAGCCTTCCAGAACGAGGGACCGACGTCCGACTCGTGGGCAGGCATTCCTCAGGCACAGACGCTGGGAAACTCAATGGGGCGGGTCCGCGCCTTGGTCCTCTCAACAACATTCAACGACGAACGATGCGGCTGCGTTTGCAAACGTCACCACCGTCTTATTTGCACGGGGTTAAGGGCATGGGAGATGAGATCGTGGGTGCATTGCCAAGCGCGTGAAGAGTCGGGGGCCCGCGCCGCTCAGCTGCGTGTGTGGCCAGAAAAAGCTGGAGCTGTTCAATGGACGTGGGGCGAGAGATGCAGCGGAGAAGTTTCTTGTTTTTGGACACGGCGCGTCGTCTCCAAGCCTCAAGCGACAGCTGTCTGACCGGATGAAGTCGCTGGCTAGCGATAGACGACGTGCAGCTGCTGCACTGCGAAAGAGACGGACACACATCGATGCCCATCACACGCAGCCCCTTGCGGGTGTTCCTGAAGTGGCGTCGTCGCTGAAACCGCGGTGCCATAGGCTTGCAAATGAGCGCTTCCCGCTGAGCAGGCCGTCAGAGTCAAGCTTTCTGTGCCGATCGCTGGTCGAGCGGCCACGACAGTCTGGGCTGGCGTGTGTTGCTATCCTTGGAGCCGCCCTGCATGCTCACTGGCTGCACGTCTCTATTTCCACATTTGTGCCTGACGCTTGCCCCTGGACGGTCTACCCGCCGGCTCTCTTGGTGCGACCAGGGTCAAATCCCAGAAAAGTTTGTGCGCTGACATCCAGAACTCGCTGGCGCAGGTTAGCAGGTTAGGCACGCCACGACGGCGCTCTGCCTTGTTCCCCACCCTTTATTAACTCCTCAGGCCCCGTTCCCCAGTTGTCTCCGTTACCCTCACTTACAAACCACGGTGCTGTTGCAGTCATTCTCTTTGAGCCTTTGCTCGGTCCATTCATTGTCGTTGTAGACGCCACCTTCTTTACAGAAATCACTCGCAATAGCCCTGGTCGGCACCGTTACCTCGCGCTCATCCAGCAGCAGCAACTTGCAAATTTACCGTGTTCATACTTTGACGCATCAGTAACTCGAACTCCATCGAAATGCCTTCCATGAAGATCGCCCTCTTGGCAATGGCCTCGGCCGTTGTCGCCGTCCCCCACGTCGGTCACGACAAGTTCCACCACAGGCGCGGAGCTGCGAAGCCTTACCCCAACGGTGGCTGGGGCAACACCAACAGCACTGCTGTCGCCTACGCCACTGGCTACCCTACTGGCGGCTCGGACAGCACTATTGATGTTACCTCGACCTCGACCACCACCTTGAAGAAGACCGTCACCATCAAGGCCTCTTCCACTCCCGTCGCTGCCGCCCAGAACGTCCCTACTGGCGCTGGCGGTGATGACCAATGTGGTCCTGCTACCGTCACCGTGACTGCGTCCGAGAAGGTCACCGTCACTGTGACTCCTGGTGGTGGTGCTGGTGTCCCATCGTCATCGGCCCCCGCCGCTGCTGAGTCCTACGGCAACGGATACGGCGCTTCCAGCCCTGCTGCTGCCGTCCCTACTCCGGCTGTTCCTGAGGTCAAGACCTCTTCCAAGGTCGAGGAGGCCAAGACCACCCCGGCCCCTGAGAAGCCATCTTCTGCTGCTGCTTCCCTCACACCCGCGTCCTCGTACCCCGAGTATGCGGCCAGCTCTGTTGTGATTGCTTCGTCTGTCGCTCCCTCTTCAGCCGCTGCCTCCTCCGCCGCGCCATCCCCCAGCGCCGGCACAGGTAACGGCTACTCCGGCAGCAAGCGTGGTCTCGCCTACAACGAGGCCGCTCTCTGCAAGACCTTCGGCAGCAAGTTCGGCTTCGGCTACAACTGGGGCCAAGTCGAGAACAACGACATTGGCACTGACTTCATCCCCATGATGCACGGCCCGTCCAAGAGCTCTGCCGATGAGTGGCTCGCCAACGTCGACAAGGCCGCCAAGAAGGGCTCCAAGGCCGTCATGGGTTTCAACGAGTGCGACCACGCCTCGCAGTGCAACATGTCGCCCGAAGCCGCCTGCGCCTCATGGAAGACCTACATGAACCCCATCGCATCTTCGCACCCTGACATGACCATCATCGGCCCGTCCGTCACCAACGGCCCCAAGACCGACGGAATGGGTCTCGCCTGGTTGTCCAAGTTCCACGAGGTCTGCCCCGACGCCGTCGTACACGCCTCCAACATCCACTTCTACGACATCTACAACGAGGGCACCGTCCAGCGCTTCAAGGACCACGTCGAGGAGGCCGCCAAGATCTACGGAAAGCCCGTCTGGGTCACCGAGTTCGGTCTTAACCCCGGCTCCGCGTCTGAGGACCAGGCTGCTTCGTTCCTCAAGGAGTGCATGGCTTACCTCGACTCGTCCGACAAGGTCCAGGGTTACTCCTGGTTCATGGTCGGATCCGGCGAGAACCAGCTCAACTCTGGCAACGGCCTCAGCAAGGTCGGTCAGGTTTACGCTGCGTACTAAATTTAGTCGTGGGGATGTGTGACGATATTGGCATCGGATCCAAAGGGCGTTTTGTGTGGCATTTGCAAATTCGGCGCGCGCTGAGAGAAAACAGCTTTCTTCGTGTACATGGGTTGGGTTGGGAACACTGTAAACAAATCATCTGGGACGCCGATGCGCGTCACCTTGAATATTTTGTATAACTTCTATTTCGCGAACTTTAGGGGAGGAACGTGGTGGTTTGGTGGAGCGATGTATGAGAATGAAGATTTGTCTTTGTGGCAAAAATATGTCATGTGCAAGACTGCTGTGAACTGCATGTGTGATTTACAGTATCAATGGCCATTGCTCAACATGTTGAATGTGAGTGAGTCTTGCTACTTGCTTCATGTCATTGTGTCATTGCTATCCCATCACTCCTCTACTTTACTCCCACTTCACTCACTTCACTCACTCCACTCTTTCACCCCAGTCACCCTTCCATCCACACACCTCATCCCCCTCCCCAACACCCTCGGCTCCGCACACCCCTCATCGCAAAACCCATAATGCGTCTCCCCAATGCACACAACATCCCCTCCAGCCTCGCACGTCACGCACATATTCTCCGGTTCATTCCCCGTGCTAAAATCATCCTTATCTGCGTGGACCTGTGCGGCCGACTGCGGATACCCCGCGACGAAGACACGACTCCAGAGCGGTCTAGGGCCGCGCTGTGCGCCGCTGGTTTCGGAGCGTTTGTCGATGCTGGCCCAGGCGATGGGGTCGAAGGAGGGGAGAGCATCGTTTGTTGATGTTCGTTTGGTGTGCGTGTTGGGTTGGTCGGCCATGGCTGCTGAGGCTGTCTTCTTTTCGTCGGTGGGTTGATGGTCGTCTGAGCCGTGAGGTGTGTTGTTTTCGGTATTGTTCTGCTGTTTGTCTGGTTCTGTGTCTGACGTGCTGTCTTCGTCACTGTCTTGCTCGTCATCTGGCTCAGTGTCTGGGCCCCGGGGCGTATCATCTTCCTCGTTGTTGTTCTCTTCACCAGGTATGGGTTCTGGATCTTGTGGTGCATTTGTAGCTGTTGATCGAGAATCGACTGGCCTAGTGATGGTCTTAAGCCATGAGGTCGGTTCGGGTGGCAGGATGTGAGACATGTTGTACGAGCAGTTTGAGCTTGTTGCGCTCACGGCAGAGCTGGAAGTCGACACATCGTCTGTCGCGCTAGCGCTGGAGCTGCTGCTTGAAGCTGTTGCGCCGTTGCTCCCACTGGAGGCCGCGGGCTGGCTGAAGCTTGTGGCGCTCAAGGACATTGCAGTGGAGTCTCCACTTGGGGTCAGCGTGAAGGATGGCATGGTGGTGCTGTTGGGCCAAATTGCTATGCCGTCGATAATACAAGGCAGACTTGGTGTCGGACAAACGAGTGAAGGGTCGGAGGGCAGCGGCGCCATCGAGGTTTGTGTTACCGTAACGACGATGGTCTTTGTATGTTTAGCGATAGCGACAGTGTTGGATCCCTCATCATGCGACAAGGCGAGGGCGCTGCCGAGCAGGACGAGGAGAGTGAGCATCATGAAATTGAGACGGTATTAGTAGCTCGTGTGGTTGTTGGATTTGAAGAGACAGAGGAGAGGTTAGAAACAGGTAAGAGCGGGGCGGTGGTAGATGCTTTTGAGGAAAGCACGAACATTGAAGCTGAGGGGCAAGAAATTCAAGAGCGCTGAGACCAAGCATCAGCAAGTGAATGTGAACATGTATGTGAAGCACCGACAATTCAAAGAGCGTATGTGTTATGATGTACCCTTCCCTTTCTCCTCCTCAAGCACGTCCAGCACTCTTCGAGTTATCCTATCTCTCTCGCTCACATCTACAGTTCCGTACGTCTCTTTCGCCTGCTTAAATATCTCTTCTTCCCAGCCATCACCCACATTGATCGTCCCCGCATCATCCCAGCACGACTGCACTGTTCCACCGATATTTTTAAAGAAACCTTCGAGGCCTGCCGGCCCGCCCCCAGCATGATAGCTCTTAAATGGCCCAGCGACTGACCAACGTGGGCCCATACTTGACTCCACAATCTGATCCAGCTCAGAGACAGAAACTACACCTTCGTTGACGAGGTGTATGGATTCACGGAGCAGGGCAAACGCGAGCCGATTGGCCACGAATCCCGTGGTTTCGCGCTTAATATGAATGGGGACTCTGCCTCTTTCGCGCCAGAAATCTTGCGTCCGTGAGATCACCGTGTCGGATGTCTCTGATGAAGGAACGAGTTCGAGCAGTGGCATGATATGAGGCGGATTGTACGGATGCACAACTAGTAGTCTTGTTTTGTCTTGCATGTCCTGCGCTTGCTGGGACGCTGGTATTCCACTCGTGCTGCTCCAAAGTAATGCATCATTTGGAGCATATTTCTCTACTTCTTTCCATAGCTTTCTCTTTACATCAAGATTCTCCGGTCCGGATTCTTGAATGATGTGAGAATCAGACACGGCTTCTTGTAGTGTTACAGCAAGCCTTATTTCAGAAAGATCGGCAGGGCTCTTCCCGCTTTCGAAGAACTTTGGTAAGAATTCTTCAATGTACGTAGACAGATCTGACCGAGTATCGTAAATGGTCAGCTGGGAAGGAGAAAGTTTGGCGAGATGGAATGCGGCGAATGATAGGCCAATTGTCCCGGTGCCAATCAAGGTGACTTTGATCTTCGTAGTTTCCATTGCTTCCTATATGTATTAGCCGATGGATAGCCGTTGTGTCATTTGTGATGGAAGTATTCTGATGAGGTTCGTTCTGCCGTTCTGCCATGCATGACGTCGATCCCAGCCGCTTTGAGACGGCTCGGATGCGGTTTCCCAACCCCGCCCTCCACGCCTTATCCCCGCTGCACCATCGACTCGACCACTACGAATCCGAGGGAGATGGACACGCCCGAAGGTGGAGCTATGTCTATTCTCCTCTCACCGGAGCGGCAGCTGTGTCGCAATCCTCTTCAACAGCACACAACTCGCATTCATTCACAGCTCTTGGGTCACCGCAGCATAGGGTATATGAATGTAGTGTGACGTACACATACCCTTTCGCAAAATGGTCATCTTCAAATCAAGACAGCCGCCAATTGACTGTATGTGCACGCAATCGCGTGTCCCACATGCACAGCTAATCGTCAGCAGTACCGACCGAAATAACCGACTGGGACTTCTTCTTTGACTCTTCGCATTCACCCATCAGCAAGTATGCACCTACTGAACTTGCCGGGTTTCAAAATGCCATAACGAAAGAGCGCGTCAACTGGGCAGATGTGAAAAAGTACTCTACCTACATTTCCACAGCCTTGACCAAGAGGTATGGCTTGAAAACCGGTCAAACGGTAGCACTTTTCAGTCAGAATACAGTGTGGTATCCAGTGGCAATGTTTGCTGGTCTCAGAGTGGGAGCAAAGATTAGTGGCGCCTCTCCCGCGTACAACGAGGAGGAAATGACTTTCGCACTCAAGACGGCAGACGCCAAGTTTCTGTTGACCACTCCAGCAAGCATGGAAATTGCTGCTGCGAGTGCAAAGGCCGCTGGTCTGCCACAATCTAGCGTGTTCCTCCTCGAAGGCGAACTCCCTGGATATACCACCATTCAAGACCTTATCAAGATGGGCGAATCCTACGGCGAAGCTAATCAGACACCTGCCTTCAAGCTACAACCAGGTCAGAAGAACAAGGATGTGTGCGGATTTCTATCTTTCTCATCAGGAACAACTGGTCTCCCCAAAGCTGTCATGATTTCGCATCAAAACGTCATCGCGCAATGTCTTCAGATCCCAGCAAATCACACCTGAAACACAGAGGCAGGTCATGGCAGTACTTCCGCTGTTTCATATAACAGGTCTTGTCCATTCCCTTCACCTCCCACTAGCTCTCAACGCCGAAGTAGTTATGCTACCGCAGTTTACAATGGAGAAGATGTTGGGAGACCATTGTCGAGTACAAGCTCAGGGAGCTACTACTGGTACCACCAATCCTAATCCGACTTGTTCGCGATCCCATTGTGGACAAGTACGATCTTAAGCCATGTCACTCGCTTTTCGTCGGGCGCTGCACCGCTTTCGGAGGAGATTATCCAACAGTTGCAGAGGAAATTTCCCAACACCGGCTTCAAGCAAGGTTACGGCATGACCGAATCTTGTAGCTGCATCACTGCTCACCCTCCAGAAAAATTTGACTACAAATACGCGCACTCAGGCGGAGCTATCGTGGCTTCTACCGAAGTCAAGATCATCAAAGACGACGGCACAGAGGGAGACGTTGGTGAAGATGGCGAAGTCCTGGCGCGCGGTCCTCAAATCGTGATGGGCTATCTGAATAACGCAAAGGCCACGGCGGATACTTTTGACAAGGATGGTTTTTTGCATACTGGCGACCGCGGCGCCATCGATGCAGAGGGCATGATACACATTAGCGACCGTATCAAGGAGCTCATCAAGGTTAAGGGCATTGGTGTCGCTCCAGCTGAGTTGGAGGACCTGCTTCTTGGACACCCCAAGATCGAAGACGTCGCCGTGATGAGCGTCAAAGATGATTACAGCGGCGAGCTTCCGAAGGCGTACATTGTCTTGAAGCCCGGCATCGAGGAAAATATGGCAATTGGGAAGGAGATAATTGTATACGTCAAGGAGAAGAAAGTAAGGTACAAGTGGGTCAAAGAGGTCGAATTCATCAATGAGATTCCCAAGAGTCCGTCTGGCAAGATTTTGCGGCGAATCCTACGGGACAAGGAAAAGAGTGGCAAGTTCGGCATGGTTATCAAGGACGAAGCCAGAGCAAAGTTGTAAAATTCTGTGTTGCTGCGCAGGTGGAGCTTGCTATGTAGTGTTGGCAAATTTTACGCCGACCCCACCTGCGCGGTGCACCTCAACCATATTGCATCAAGGCCAACCTCATCCTTTCAGGACCTGATTTATATACAAATTGGTAGACGTAGCCTCTCAATGCTTAGCCAATCACAGCTCATCAAGACGGTTTTGTAGTGTAGCGGTCATCACATCGGATTCTGATTCGCATCAGTGTTTTCCGGTAACCCCGGTTCGATTCCGGGCAAGACCTATTCTCTTTCGCTTCAGTTGCCTGTCCTATTGGTGCTTTATGTAATTTTTTGTTGCTCCCACCTCTGGCATTTTGGGTTGTTGGGAACGATGTTGCGTTTGGGACATTGCTTCAAGCTCCCACTACCTCAATGACACACCGGGTCTTTTTTTGTGCACAATATAGAGATTAAGAGACCTAGATCTATGTGCATACCTTTTTTCCTAGTAGTTAATTCCAGGGATGATACCGTATACACCCATCCACTACGGAACTACGGCGGGAGGATACTCACCGTAATCGCCCAAGTCAATACGCATCGGAAGACTACGGTGCTAACAAGCATCACGAATGTAGTCACTTGCGAAGGTCAAGCGTTAGCTTTTGATCTTTGCTGTGCTGAGCATGTGGCTTCATTATTTCACCGATCCGATACTATCGACCTCAAATAAAGACTCATGTTCAGCCCCATAACGTTTGCCATTACCTGCAGCGCCCAGTAATTTGGTTTTCTGAGATTCTCGGTAAAGTCGTGGTGACGACCGTAATCGATGGCGATTATGAGGTAAGAGAGACTGGGAAGCCCTGCCACCAATGGACGGCACTAAAAGTACGTCAGGTTCTCTCACCAGTTGCAAAGGACCAAAGCGGCCGGATAGTAAAGTCAGCTGCTACAGGACATAAAGCAACCACAGCCTCAATAGCCAGCTCTATCTCATCAATGTCCTCGAGACCATCTACACCCACAATCTATCTGATTATATCTGTTCGCATGGATCCTCCAATTACCATCTTCCTTGCCGACTATCAAGATGGCAGAACTCCCACCCCTTCCAAAGTACTTCCTGATTCTTGTGAGCCTGCCTGGGCCGCCGTTGATTACCATAGGCAAGCTAGATGAGCGGGTTGGGCAGCTAGCATCTGAAGTCTACCCTACGGCACCGCGCGAAGAGCCACCTGGTGAAGCACTAGTACACAACATTACAAAGATTCTGATGGCACGCTGGAGTCAGATTGATCCATCGAAGTAGGTGCTGATCACTGGCCCCGTCAGCGACAAGGACGAGCGCATCTGCATCGCCCAGATCAAAAGATGAGCGGACAATATACAACCAACTGGGTCGGCGTGAGCTCATGGCTGCAGCAACTCGTCGCAGATGCAATCTGCTAGTCAGACTACCAGGTCATCATCAACAACCTGAATCGGAACGTCAAATTACTCAGCCTGGCCCGCGAGACGAGCAGCCTGCCGCACGCATGCAGCGACGCAGCCGTGGACGCAATCACAAGAAGGCACTCAGAATCCACCGAGACCACATTCGGCTCGGAGCCCAGCAGGAAATTGCAGAGGCAGAGAGCAAGCGTTAAAGACTGCTTCGGTGGCGAAGTTCCAGATGCTGTGCGGGCATCTACAGTTCCTCCGGCAGTTTAGTGAGGGCATCGAGCCCACCAACCTGGAAGAGGTGAGGAGAGTGGGGGACTTGAAGCTGGAGGAGCTGTTCTATGCCGAGCTGAACTCGGACAAGCGTCTCTCGTTCTTGAAAGCGCTGTGGGACGAGAATGTCTTTGTGTCTTTCCTGTGGGGGTTCCAGAGTGTATTACACTTCAAGTAAGTTAATTACTACAGCAATTTACAAAATTATAACAAATGAAAGACGCTGCTGGGATGATCCGACCATCCAAGATCTTTACAAGGACAAATTCATCTACATTGCGGACCTAATAGTCCAGTACATCCTCACCCCGCGCAACATCACTCAAACTTGCACGGTCTTATCGTCCAACGCGCTCATACGAGCAACTATCGAGATTCCTGAAGACCGCACCACTGCGTACGCAAAGTTCCGTGCCGCAGACGAGACTTTGTGGACTGACGCAGATGGGCCAGGCAATGAGGGCATTCTCTGGGTGCAAGAATCTGCGACGCCGTCGACAAGCGTAAAGACGCTGAAGTACTACACCACGTCCCAACTACGGGGTACGGTGAACATGACCATTTGATATCCTGGAACTAAACACCTGGCCTTTATCATCGAGTTCGGAAACCCAGTTAGACTGTGTGTAGCTTCAGGCTATACGACTGCACTGCGTATTTTCCCGCGTAATTGATGACCTGCGTTATCCGCTCCGCGATGTGAGGACCAAATCTCAACTATGTAGAGATAGCCGTCTCCTATGTCGTAGAAACAGCTAGTAGGAGCAGCAGCAATGAGATGTTATACACCAGTACACATTGATTTCTCATTCGTCTACTGCAATTAACACTTGTACCTACTTTAGAAAAAGCCTGAGAAGTCCCTGAAGCTATTCGCAGCTATACTTCAGCGTCTTTAGGTTTTTAGACTGTTGTAGCAGTCTTGCTGTGTTGGTTGTGTTCGCCGTTCTCTGTAAGGTGAGAGGGTGTGTGAGCACCTGGAGTCGTGGCTGGAGTTGATGATCGGCGGGGAACACAGTAGACGGCAAGACGTCTTACTTGTACGCTTCTCTGCAGATGATACAGGTGTTGTTTATTCTCCCCATATGCTGCGGCACTTGATGATTCGTGTTGGTGGTGAGCATAGTGCGTTTTGTACAATGTTTACATTGAATGGATCAATGCTACCCACGATCTCCGATTGGTCCAACGCTTCCAAACCATTCACTGCAGTATATAAAGGCTGGTGATAAGACTGGGCCCGATAAACAATCCAAACCAGAAGATGATGTTGCCCAACGTGTCTTGCCCTCGCATCATCTTCGTTTTCATGAACGCCGCAAGCGGTAGCTGCGTGAGCTGGAATGTAAATAGGTATCCCCGAACCTTCTTGAACAAGCAGAACATCAAAACCTCATGAACAATCGCGCTCAACAAAAACGTGAAGAAAGTCGCTTGCATCTTTGACAAGTGGAAGAATGAGATCGACGAATGGTAGACGTGTCGCAGCAGGAAGTTGTGTACAACGCGATTCCAATTCCGAGCGTATTGATCAAAGCTGACACTGTTCCACCAATCTCCGTAGAAGCCGCGGTCGGCGAAGCGCGTGACCTCTGCGAGAACGTTGAGAAGACATTCCCAGATAACGTACCAGGACAAGAGCTGCTCCAGGAGCAATGGGAAAAGCATGTCGCTCACGACCCAAGGGAACTCTTTCCAGCGCTCTTCTAGTGTCATACCAGCGTCCCTGAGGCGGACTGCCTCTACGACTACGGGGTATATGTACGCCTGTGAAATAATGATCATGACCCAAATGACCCCGAGGGTGGCGGCTGATTTCTCGGCGACATACCACCAGTTGACGCGCTCTTGACGTGGGTATTCGAGATCGTAGACTAGAGTCGGAAGACAGGTCCACTCGACAAAGTTGTACAAAGTGAGGTTGTTGGGGTACATGTTGTCGGTACTGGTGCATTTGCCACGCAATTCCTCGTCCAGTATGGTAATCTCGGTGTTCAGAATTTCTCGAAAGGTTTTGACCTGCTCTTCGTCCAAGGACTGGCCAGCCTCAATCGCTTTACCAACGGACGCGATATCTGAAACCTCTGTTGACAGATTGGTGGAGTACTTCGGGCCTAGGTTGCGGCGGTTCGTTAGTTCGCGAGAGCCAGGGTTTTCGAGACCCGTGCTGATTGAAGTTCCTGCACCTGGCGGTTTTGATGAAGAGTCATGTTGCACGCCCACGTCCTCTAGTTGGTTGAGCTTTTGTTGTAAGAGATTGCGGCGCCGATATACGCGAGATACTGTCTCTTGTTAGTTGGACACGTAGAAACGCTGTAGTTACACTCACGATAGCCGTTGTAGAACGTGTATGCATGCTGCTTCATCAGCAAGACAAACACATGCAGCACGATGAACACTGTGTGCGTCCATGGCCAGTCTCGCCAAAATGTGACCCAGATGACGGTGACAGTATAAAAGGTTTGCCACAAGGACTGTATGATCCAGCCGGACCCGTTCCATGTCAAAAAGTCGTTCGCGATAGCCTTGTGGAGGAAGAAACCAAAGCTCGTTGCAGCACACATCGATGCGTCCGTAGTGAGCATTACAAACAGATCCCGATCTACCATCAAGTGTAAGATTTCAGCATTACCGAAAACTGAGCCTGTTGTTCTGTAGTTGCCTGCGGCAATGCGTGCAAGCAATAAAGCCATGGATATCCAGAACAACGTGAAGAAGCCGTGGAATGGTGATTGTGACATTGGATTTTGACGATCGAACGTTGTAAATTGGCGCGTAAAGACGAGCTCTCGAGGTTTGCTCTTAGACTTGCCCTCGCTGCGCCTTTCTGCTTCTCGTCGCATGCCTGATCGTAGCACTTCGCGAAAGTCTGGGTCATCCGTCGTGACAGTGTACTTGCTTTTTTTCCCTGTATCCTCAACTACGACTTGAATGCTCTTCCGCCTCTTCCCATTCTCATCCGATATTCCATTTTCATCGTCCAACTCTCCTGTGCTGCTTTCATCCGAAGGTATCGCCGTTGTACTGTTGCTGCGGACATCTGTGGCGCTGTCCCTTGATATTGGTTTTAAGCGACTTCTGTCATCAATGTCTGACGCTTCTGACACCTGATCTGGCGTCCACGTGTCCCGGCTGTCGAGCGATGGTCTGCTCGAAAGTCCTTGAAAGGCTGGCGACATTGTTGATTGACCGCTGGTTAACGACGTCAAATCTGGCTTGCCTCGATCCAGGTTTGGCTGGGTCGCCATCTTTATTCAGTCTTACAGTGGAGTCGTAGCGATCCTGCGCGTGAAAGCTGCGAATAAGTGGAGGTTCCAGGGTTCATGCGACGTTAGTTCCCGTGGTGACGTGGGTCCAGCTCTTTGCGAAATACTGGGACAAGCACATTGATATAAGTACAAGTGTACGAGACGCTCTGATGTCAGACGGAAAGTTTGAATGTCAGCTCACGCGACGTGTGAGATCCGAGAGAGCCGATAAGCAGTTGAAGAAGGGCCGCGATCGTGAATGTTGTCGTCGAACGCGTCCGGCGTAGATCGGAAACGTAAAATGATGTAATGCACCTCAATGCAGGTCCAGCGCCTTCAGTGCTTTTCGGGAGTCGGCAGAGCGCAGGAATCCAGGATCACTCAGCCACTCCCCAGCCACGTCACGTGTTGTGCTGCATGGAACTTCGACGGTCGCAAAGGTTGTCCCCCCTTCCTCCATCTCCATCTGACCCCGCATCTTCAGACAGGCTCTATAATCGCACAATTAATGTATATGCGGCTCTCTCCACAATTTCGTTCATCTGTCACATCGATTCTGATCGAATTGCTTTCGGACGCCGTTGGGCGCCAGATGTTACCTCCCTCGACAACTTCCTGCGCAATATGTAACTTCCTCATCACCTCCGCCGCTTAGTCCTCGCTGTGGAACACATCTAATCCCGTGCACCATGAAACCGAAATCTTGCTAATGCCCGCTATGCTCACCGGTAGCTCCGCCTCATCACTTTCATCGCACTCAGCCTTGCAGATCACACGGCGGTGTCCCGCACAGGTAAAAGTCGCAGGAACTTTCCAATCACAATACTGCCAGATCCGCATGGATTCCGCTCTAAAATCCATCACTTGCTGCGCTTGCCGCTTCTTGGGTCTTTTGGGACTTCAGGCGTCCATGTCTGATCTCGCTACGACCCTTGTCTGCCGTCCTGGCCATACAAAGTACCCCAAAAGCGCCCAAAGCTTGGCTAAATCTTAACCTCGCGTAAAGTGCCTTTTGATTCGTCAGAAAACTGGGGTGGTGAAGGAAGGGAAGGCTGTGTGTAATAATAGGATTCAGCCTTCTCGTACGTTCATCGTGCATAGTGCTGCGCATTTGAGTCCCAGGCTGTGCGCTCACCGTATCTAGACTTCATATATAACACTGGCCCGAAGGTCCTGCTGCCATGCTCCTTACAGCCTTGCCCTGAAGCGATACACCTTAAGATCTAACTATTCTCACTTACTGCCACTCACAAAAGTCCCTGAACAACATGGCACCTAGACGCGGCGGCAGCAGCAGCTCTGGTGGTGGATCCAGTAGTTCTACCTGTCCGGATGCTTTCCTTGACACAGAGACACAAGTCAGCTTTGCGAATGAAGTACTCTTTTTCGTAATAATTCTCGGAATATTCATCACCCTCTTCATCTTCCGCAGAAGGAAAGTCCCTGGAAAACAACTTATCGGAGCACCGCTCATCATATGCCTGTCTTTCCTATTATTGTGAGTACAGATCTGGTGAATACCCGCAGTATGGGCTAACAACTATAGAACCTACTTGTGCTCCATCATCGCAACAATCCTCCGGCAGTGCGAAACAACGACAATCGCTAGCTCCTTTTACTGGAGTGTGGCGATTTCTATATTCACTATGATCAGCTACTGGCTGTTCCTTGTGGTAGTCGTCTTTACCCTTAACACCATGCTCCGTCGGCAACTCGGTACCGGTCACTCGAACGCTATCTTCAAGATTATTCCGCTTGCGATTATTGCATTGATTGGCGTCCTGGCATGCGTCGTAGCGGGCATGGCTGCATACCTCAACGCCGAAACTGGACGTATTTACACCTCCCGTTATCGGTATGGGTATTCGAACGTGGGCAGTATCGTCTATCCTCTATCAGGCTTGAGAGTTGCATTCTACTCGTTGTACCTTATAAGCTTGCTTGTGTCTGGAGCACTAGCGCTCAAGACCATCATGTCCTTGCGCAAGGCAGGCAAAGCTGGAGGAGTAAGTTCTGACACTCCTAGAGGCACTGATATGCCACTAAAAATCATTCTTTAGGACCTCTTAGGCTGGGTTCTCGCCCTTACCATCGCCATGGTATTCTGGACCATCTGCACGCTCGTTGGCGCTGTATGGAGTCTTCAAGGCTACTACGCGAGCACCTACTCGGTGGCAAGTTATTTGGCTCTGGGTTATCTCGTCAACTTTGGCCAAGCTCTCAGCTTCATATTTATCCTGTGCATCGCAAAGCACGTTTCCTGGAAGACCACAACTGGTGCCGAACCAATGGCGTACCAATCTCAATACAGCCCCGTCGCCAACCCGGCTGCTCAGCCATACCAACCATATGGACACAACAACTTAAATGGCCACGCGAACGAGCAATATGGCTACAACGCCAATGTTAATGGCCAAGCGAACCATTACCACGAAGCGCCTGAGTATGTCGGCACCAACAATGCAATCAGGGCATAAGCCGAGATCAATGTTTCAGGATTAATGCTGTGTCGATTTTACAAGTGCGTCAAAGAAGAGTTTGGTTAATCTCGTCAGTTGCATTTGCAGAAGGATATACGGATATGCGATACCCGAAGTTGCGAGTTGTTTGTAACAATTTATACCCATTTTACTAGACCTATGAAGTACAAGCTACCAAAAGTAATGACTCGCGCGTATATCAAATCTATGTATGACTGTAACTCGCTGCCTCGCTACGACCTCGGGCCTGCTCGCCTTGTGCGTTCAACATCAACGCATTCACTTTCACCCAAGTCAGACCGAACGCCTCTGCTACTCGCTCCTGGATCCTCCTCAAGCGGTTGTGGTACACCTGGCCTGTCTTGTTGCGCAGTGAGCGCCCATAGTCAATCGGAGTTCCATGGGAATCTGGCGGCGCACTACGCCGCTTCTCAGCTGCCTCGTAGCGCAGACTAATGGCTGTTCTAGCTTGAGGCAACGGATTAGAAAGAGTGTCCTCTCGATGTCGGTATTGCCATGGTATGGAGCTGTCGTTTGAGTCGTCGGATGTTGGTGGTGTGAATGAGTTAGCACCATTGCTCGTGTTGCTGCTACTCCTGCCAGTGCTGTCGCTACGCGTGGTAGGAGCGCTGTGGTCAATGCCGCTGTTTGAAGCCCCAGTAAAGTTGTGGGCGTATCTTTCGATGTAGTAGTAATGGCATTTCCCACAGAAACCTGGTCGGTGCCGTGCAGGCTGACAGTCGAACATCTGACACTCAGTCAACCAGTCAGGCTCATACCGGTGGCTGTCTTGTTGTGTTGGGCAGGGCGAGTTCTCGCGGAGGTAATGGCCGCATGAGCCATAGCGAAATTGTTCTGACCAGGACATGTTGACGATGCTCGTGTGTTGATGATTGCTAGTGTATCATATACCTACGTGGAGCGCACATTCTTATATGCAAATCTCAATGATTTTCGCTGCAAGCCGTTTGAGACAATAGCAAGCAAAGAAGATGGTGTAGCTCATGATGAGTTTGTGTTTGTAACGTCTCAGTGACCCATAGCAAGCAATGCACTGCTAGTCGTGAGCAGCTTTTCACGGAACGGAGCAGTTCGGAAATACAAAACGCGAAGTGTTCCAAAATCTGTTGTGTAGCCATGTTGTCAATTGAATCGAAATTCACTGCATTGTCAAAATTTTGATCTTTTGCTAATTGAGTCCTAAAGTGTCGATGCACGGGAAAGAACGACTGACAGGGCGGCCCCGCGCTAGCATCGTGCCTGACTCGCATGTCCATAATTTCTTGAACCCCGCGACAGCAGCAATGCAACAACTCTTTTATACACATAAACAATATGGACGACCCTGCATTTGAGACTGATACGGATCTGTCAACGCAGAGTATACTGCTCGCCGCCGCAAACCATGATATCTCCGCCCTTCGCAATCTCCTCCGCAACTCTTCTGCCAACGTACAAGACTCCGAGACACTTTTCACACCTCTACACGCCGCAATCGCCGCCTGTGAACCCGATAACGAGGATGAAAAGGCCCAGACCAATGGGGACGTCGATGGTGTTACCAAGGCTCGTGAAGAGGAAATCGAAGCCGCAGTCAAGACCATGAAGCTGCTGTTCGAAAATGGCGCAATCTGGAATGATCTCGATGCAAATGGTGAAACTCCTGGGTGCATAGCACATAGGCTTGGCCTGAAAGAGCTGTATGAGTTATGTGTGGACGCTGGTGTACGAGCCGAGCTTCTGTTGAGCCGCTTGGATCAATACCAGCAACTAGGAGGCGCCAGTTCGGATGAGGATGACGAAGACGAAGACGAAGAAACCGAAGGTAATGATATCGAGGTAGTTGAAGATGGCGTTGAAGTTGTGGATTTGAACAAGGGCGATGCTCAAGGCGACGAGTCCACGGAAAACCCCAATTATTTGGCGTCCAACCTCACTTTCGAACGAGACCGCCTCACCGATTCAGATGCGAATGGTGTCATGATGGAGTGGGAAACCACATTGATGCGAAGATCCGCAGAACTTCTCCTGCCTGCGCCTGGCCTTCGCGTCTTGAACGTTGGGCACGGCATGGCCATTATCGACTCTATATTCCAGGAGAAGCAGCCCAAGGCCCATCACATCATCGAAGCACATCCAGATGTGCTGAAGCGCATGAAGGAACAAGGATGGTACGAAAAACCAGGAGTTGTCATTCATGAAGGACGGTGGCAGGACGTAGTGCCACGCCTTGTGGAGAAGAACGAGATGTTCGACGCTATCTACTTTGACACGTTCGCTGAGGAGTACAAGGATCTCCGCGAATTCTTCAGCGAATATGTCATTGGCATGCTCGATCCAGCAGGTGGTTCAGACGGCGATGGCGGCAAGTTCGGCTTTTTCTGCGGCATGGGTGCGGACCGCCAGGTTGTGTACGACGTTTACAACAAGATTGCCGAAATCGACCTCTTCGAGGCTGGCTTTGACACCGAGTGGGAAACAATACCGGTACCCAATCTCGACGAGCAAGGTGAATGGGACGGAGTGAGAAGGAAGTACTGGGCTCTGCCAAACTACAAGCTGCCAACGTGCAGTTTCATTGGTTGAGCGTGGACTGCGATCCGCGGGCCAGACTTCAATGCTGGTGAGCCACGGGACACAAGTTCTTGGAGTCGAGAAAATATGTTCAATTGCCATTTACTCCGTTCAGGCCGTCCAACAACCCGTGTTCTTGCAGCAACTTGTTGTATCTCTCTTGCTTTGGTTCGAGCAGCTGCTTGGCCGCTTCTGCTCCTACGACTGGCATCCTCTTTAGACCTTTGCCCTTGAACGACTTCGGCACCATCCTTGGATCCAAAAGGCCTACTTGCACCAGAACCGATGCCTGGTCCCAATACATGTGCTCAGAAACCAACTTTCCTCCTCTTACTGTCACGATGCTGACCATTGGGATCTCGACAAACTTATCCGTTGGCTCTAAACCAGGTAGGATCCAATCGATTTCGTCTGAATGCGTGAAGGACACTACCATCTCGTCGACAACTCTGTCCACACCCATGGTCCGCGAAACCAATCGGATCTTGAAATCGTCCACCAGACTTGGCACGAAGAACTCGCGGTAAAACTCTTCCAGCTTTTTCCTGCCCACGCCGCCCTGAAGTGTTGGCAGTATACTGACATGTGGGCTGTTTTGAGTCATCTTTGAGGCTATGCTCATACTCGCGCGCTCTGGGACATCATCCTCATACTTTGCGTTCCACATATTTTGTACAATCGGTTCCAAATCGAAATTCCTATTGAAGCCTTTGCGCAAACATGCCAGTGCTCTGCTCCAGGACAGGTTCGCCTCAATCTCAGAGTATGCTTTTGAAGACTGATCCGCAAACCCGGTTGCACACTGCTTGTACTGGTACAGCTTCCATTCGCAAATTTCCGGGCGGTGACTGGCTTGGCTCAAACCGGCTACATGGACCTGGAGCCGGTGTGATGCAGGATACATCGTTTTCGGGCTTGGTAATGTCGTGGGGTAGAATGCGATGATCGCACAGCATTTTGGCAGGGGCTTCATTGCTGTCTTGAGCACCACGCTCGCCGCATCTCCATATGCTATTATTGCAAAGTACTCGCCTAGATTCAGGTCTTCGCTGAGGTTCTTCAATGTCCGTATGTACGCTGGTTCGTTGGGAGGGTCGTATGGAAGATAGCGAGCATCGAATCCTTCTTCCCACCAGTTGAGAAGTGCTCTCTCCGACGGTTCAGAGGCCGATGTTATCCAGACGCGCGGAGGACCAGAATTGAACTTGAGAAATCCGGAACCGTTTTGTTCGAAGGACGTTATGGACATGGTCGATATGGACTATGTTGATCTGAAGCTTGCAGCTCGATTTTGACTTGTGTGTACTGATGGGACGAGATGGTTCACGATATGGACGAAAAGTCCACTCATGCGCGCTGGTTCTTTTGAAGCGAGCCAGGCAATATTTTGTCCTTGTCAATATCCCGACCACTTCGTCCAAGTTTCAGAGGGAAGCTTGAGCACAGACGGGATGCAAAAAGCACGGTGACGTAACACTCGTGCATCCACCTGCATCTCACGTGTGACCGCGTCAAAGCGTGAACACTACTTAGCTTGTCAAGATATTTCTCACACTGTTATAAGGCTATTCTAAGCATCAAGACTTCTATGTCGAAGTTGATAGACCCGTGTGTCCTTCGTGAAATAGTTGGCGGCAGTTGCAGCCTGCAGCGGCCCGACTCTAATTATTGGAATGACGCCATAATGAAATGTTCCTTCCGCCTCTCTCAATAATTCCACGGGTTATTGCACCAGTGCATAGCCTCAAAGTATCATCCAATATATTGATTGGGTTTTGCGTTAACTACAATGTCCGCATTCTTTCCCCGTGCAGCTTCTCGGGCTCTGCGCTGCGCAGCCCGACCTACGCTGAGCTTCCAGCGCCCTATTGCCCCACTACTTCGTCGTGGAATTAAGCTTCCTGCTGAGCAACCACGGCTGCGATTGGGCTCCGTAGGTATGAATTTGAACTACGCTGAATCTTCAGGACGTGACTCACAGGACTTACAGCGCCAAACTTCCAGGCGAAGACCACACATGGCGACCTTGACTTCCACAAGTTCATCGACGGCAAATGGGTAGTCCTATTCTCCCACCCGGCAGACTTCACCCCGGTCTGCACAACCGAACTTGGAGCATTCGCAAAGCTGAAGCCTGAGTTCGATGCTCGTGGTGTGCAAATGATTGGCCTGGTAATTCCTCCTCAAGCCCTTGTTCTCTTGATCTATTGCTAACACATCACGAAGAGCGCCAACGACCTCACCTCGCACGACGAATGGGTCAAGGACATCAACGAAGTCGGCAACACCCAAGTCACCTTCCCCATCATTGCCGATGCCGACCGCCACGTCGCCTTCCTGTACGACATGATCTCGCAGGACGACCTCGACAACCTCGCGAAGAACGGTGGTATCGCGTTTACCATTCGTTCAGTCTTCATCATCGACCCGGCTAAGAAGATCCGCCTGACTATGACCTATCCAGCTTCGACGGGACGCAATACGAGTGAGGTGCTGCGAGTCATTGATGGATTGCAGCTCGCGGATAAGAAGGGTATTGCAACGCCGATTAATTGGAATGCGGGGGAGGATGTTATTGTGCCGCCGAGTGTGAGCACTGAGGATGCGAGGAAGAAGTTTGGGCAGGATAATGTGAGGGAGGTTAAGAAGTATCTGAGGTATACGAATGTTGGGAAATAGATGGACGATACAGGAATGATGTAGAGTAAGGATAGACGGTGATATAGACAACAGTTCAAGAACATACGACTTCCTCGTCCCCGCATCTGTGAACCATTTCGCATTATTCTCACGAAGACGAGCACCAACGCTCAGCTTAGAACCTCAGCTTCTTCCTCGACGCTCCAGCATAAGCCGGAACAGTCAATGAAAAAAGGTTGCTGTGCGTATTGGAAGAGGATAAAGCCGCGAAGCAAAATCCAACAGAACAAGAATACAACACCCAGGAAAATTGATCGTTGAGGCCCCAGCCACTACCCCAACGTTGCTCCGGTCAAGAAGCTCCCCCTCCAGCCCGAACACACCAGATCCTCAAACCGCCCCAAAAAGCCTCTCCGCCCCGAAGGACATTGAGCACCTCAGCTCCGGAGAGCGTCGGTAAATAAGAGGTTCCCTGTGTTGCTCGAAGAAGGAGTACTGGTGCGTTGCGCACCCCAAAGACCGCAATGCACAAGCCGTCATTTGCAATCGGGCGGGCAAGACAGTCCGCTACCAAGGTTGGAGTGTTCTCAACAATGGCCTGCCATGCGTCAACTCTGGAGAGCGTCGGTTCCGAAGAACGTCGACTCAAGCGAGCGTCGGCATGGACTTTCGACCTGGAAGATTCCAACTGCGAGGGTGGTTAGTGAGTGTGAAGAAATGTCTCAGGGAGGATATTTACTTGTCCCAATCATCCAGCTTTAGCCCCGAAAGGCCAAAGCTAGACTGGCGGCCACAGAGCCCTGACCGAAGTCGAGGCTGAAGCCCGGACATGCCAACTGCGAGGTGTTAGTAAGATTTTGCGCGTGGGGTGAGGGAGAGATTCGTACTTGTCCAAAGTACCCAGCGTCAGCTCCCGAAGGAGCGTCAGCTAGATGGGTGGTCGTGTGCGGGAGCCCCACCGCTCTCCCACACTGCTCCGGTTAAGGAGCTCCGCACAGCCGCGTACGGCCGCGCTGGCAAGTACTCGGAAGTAAGTGCCCCTGTGTTGTTTGTATACGGACGTTGGAACATCGTCTGCGAGAACTTGACGATGAATGCTGAGCGAACCCAACAAACATCAACCGGCATTGCATATGCCATTCTGCAAGGAGAGGTTAGCAGACTGTCAGGGCTGAGTGCGAGAGGAAGATACTGACCCCAATGTTTAGACGAGTAAGGAAGCCCACCTCCTTCCAAACTGCGTACCGGTCAAGGTACTCCTCACACGAGTGTGCAGTGGCGTGTTACACACCCGTTTACTATGCTCTATCATCTGGGCCCAATTGAGACACCCAAAGGTGAATCTGGTCTGCCTTCATTTCCAGTTAGAGAGGACAAAGGAGTTGTTCGGCAGTCCTAGCCTAGCTCTTGATCGGCGGAAGAGCGACCTCTACCCACTCAGACACGCTACGACAGATGAGCTCACAAGGGCTAGGACCAAGTGCCGCGGCGACCGCGCATGGCGCCATCTGTGAAGGTGCTGCTGAGATGGGAATCTGCATTGGTTAGCCATGGTTCTTGCAGAGCAGGTAGAAAGAGGGAGACTTACGGGAAGTTTTTTGCCGAGTCAGGGCTCGTGGAGCCGGAGCTACAAGGTCGTGAACCCCACGTAGGTGTCGAGAAGAAGGCGTGTCGAGAAGAAGGCGTGTCGAGAGAGAGAAGGGCGCATGGGCAATTAGAGAAGAAAGGGGTGTGGGTAAAGAGAGGAGAAAGTCGTGTGGGCAACGATCCCAGAAGTTGTGTGTGGAGGAGGAGAAAGGTTGGAGGGCGGCGGAGATTTTATCTGTGTGCGGCACGCTAAGCTGGGCGGATTAACTACGTGCCGGCGGCGATGACGGCTTGCTGAATTATATAGAAGGGAAGAGAAGGTCGTGTGCTCAATGTACAGTCGTGTTGTGCCGCAAGTGAAAGAGAAGCAAACGGACGGTAGCCTTGGCATACAAAAGAGCGTGCATGATACAACCGCGAAAACCAAGGTGAAAACTGAAAGGAGACTGCAGTCTCGAGATTCTATAGAGAGGGGTAGAATGATACTGGTAGAGTACAGTACGTATGTGGGCAGTGTTATGAGCGGTTGCGGAGGTAAACAGGCAACATCAATACAACAAAAAGCGCACCTGGGCACGGTGATACCTTTCAGAAGTGACATTTGACGAACTTGCATGACAACATCCTCCAAGACTATCTTGGTGACTTGAGCTGGTAACAACTTGGAGACCATGTATTTGACTTCAGTTGACTTCGAAACTTCAGAGTGATGTTCCCCAGATTATCACATGCCAATGCATGTGGCTGAGAACACGGCGATGCTGCAGGCGCAAAGATCAACATTCGAGCAGTCCCGAAGAGCCGCATACATATCGTCATAGGACATGCGCAACACATGCGTGCCCCAAAATTGATCTCATACAGTCAGTACGCAGTGCGTCTGTCAGCCACTAGGTCGGGTGAATGCGCCTTGCCTGAGGGTGCATCCATGCAGACGATCTCGAAGCTATTTCCTTGTCCCCGGACGGTAGGGAAAAGCATTCGAGAGCCCAGATCCTACAACACGCTCATCGCTGGTGCCAAATGCAATGTCAGGGAAAAGCGACACAGGCCCAGGCGGGGCTGCTTTTTGCTTGCATTTGCCTCGGTCCAGCCAGTCTCAGCCGAACGCGCACCGGCGGCATACGTGAGCCAAGGTCCGGAGCACTGGAGCTCACATGCCCAAACAACTATCGCTGGCTCCCCCACAATCCTCAAATTTACTGTCGCAAATCTTCTGTACCCGGCCGGTGAAGCTCGTACGAGGTCTCTGTACATATCCCAGAGCTTTGCGCCCCATCATCATCGCACAATCGCACCTTCGTGGATTCTTGCACCCCACCACCAATAACAGCTCGAAACATGTCAAACACGGCAGAAAAGGTAGCTGATAAGCTGCCTTCGAAGGAAGAGCTTAAGGAAGATGTCAAGGTTGCGACCAAGTCTTCGCTGCAGTCCCTGCGTGCGCTGATAGCTGGAGGCGTTGGTGGTGTTTGCGCGGTAGTCGTGGGCCATCCGTTCGACCTGGTCAAGGTGCGATTACAGACGTCAGAGAGGGGCGTGTACACAGGCGCCATGGACGTTGTGCGGAAGACAGTCGCGAAAGAAGGACTTGCAAGGGGATTATACGCCGGTGTCTCTGCGCCTTTGGTCGGTGTCACGCCTATGTGTGAGTTGACTTATTTTCAGACGCGCTGTAAAAGCAATACGGGGCGCAGGGTGCTAATGTATGTACAGTTGCTGTCTCATTCTGGGGTTACGATGTCGGCAAGCAGCTCGTATCCAGTGTTTCGACCGTCAAGGACAACCAGTACAGCGTCGCGCAGGTCTCAGCCGCTGGCTTCTTCAGCGCCATCCCCATGACCATCATCACCGCACCCTTCGAGCGCGTCAAGGTGCTGCTCCAGATCCAAGGGCAGAAGCAACTTGCGCCTGGCGAGAAGCCCAAATACTCCGGCGGTGTGGATGTCGTCAAGCAATTATACAAGGAAGGAGGCATTCGCTCCGTGTTCCGTGGCTCCGCCATGACATTGGCGCGTGACGGCCCTGGATCGGCACTCTACTTCGCGACTTATGAGACAGTCAAGAGGAACCTGACCCCGAAAGACCCCGTGACCGGCAAGCCAGGACCACTCAGCATGTCTGCAGTCATGGTGGCCGGTGGTGCTGCTGGAATTGCCATGTGGATTCCAGTGTTCCCCGTTGACACCATCAAGTCACGGTTGCAGAGTGCTGAGGGCCGACCAACTATTAGTGGCACCATCAAAGGCATCCACGCAAGCGGCGGCCTCAAGGCTTTCTTCCCTGGCATCGGACCCGCCATGGCACGAGCGGTACCTGCGAACGCGGCAACCTTCGCCGGTGTCGAGCTAGCCCAAAAAGCCATGACGAAAATGTTCGACAGGGACGGCGAATAGGCCTGCATCTCAAGCCTCTGTTCTGTAAGCTGTTCTGCTGTCTTCACTTCTTCCTCTTGTTGGATAACGGAAGGCGTTGTCGCATCGCACACGGCGTCCATTTCTCTACCAATTCTGCCCGCCACATGTGCATAGAGGGTTATAGATATGATATATGTCCATCATCAACTCGACACGGTCTCCATCTGACACGCCAGTTTCTCATTCTCATCAAAGTCTTTTGCTGCTTACTGTCTAGTGGTTGGGTTGTTGGCACTGCCGACGCAAGGGACCTATGCAGAATGCGGCTACTAGATCACCAAGCTCGGCGGACGCCTACTCACATTCCTACCTCATGCGACCACAGCCATAATACCGGGTTTTACAATTACCGAAAACAGTTTCGCAATTTCTCGTGCGTGCCTTCTTTGTTTTGGCTCATCTCCGGCTGATCATCACTATGCTCGCCACCGCCTGCGCGCTTGAAGGTTTTCGCATCTTTGTCCAACAAGGCCGTTTCTTTAACATTTCCTTAACGCGGTTTCATGAGCCGACCGAGTATTGACAGCTGAACCGTTATTCGCGGAGCAAGCAGAGCCGCTCTTACCCACGTCGATGTACCGCTACTCGATCAGGAACTACACGTACAGCGCACTACGAATATGAGTAGCAAACGGACCTCGACGGCGACCACTCGACCGCTGTCAACGGTCCTATCTCCCTTGAAGCAACACCCTATACCATTGAATCCCCCTTCTCCTCATGCTATGCAAACTGTCTTTCTCGACCATCCGACAGCAAGGCTTTCTTCAAGCCCAGCGTCGTCACCCCGAATCGTCGATCCATATCCGCTAAGAAGAGGGTCCGTTTATCCGGCAATGAGCGATACAATGGAGAGGGGCATCCAACCAGGGGCAGACTTCTTTGATGATGGATCGTCTGACTCAGATTGGGAGGACACCGAAGGCGAGATCACGCGCACATTCTCTGACATGGATGGAATGGGCTTGGGGACCTTTATGCACGGAGCAAGAGAAAGACCCTATCGTTCATCAAGAGGGCGGAGTCGAGAAAGAAGCATGTTGACAGCGTTGCCGGAGTTTCGTCAACTGCCTTCCCAGCGCTCGGGGATCAATATGTCGATGGAGGACAGGCCAGGATCCGACGGCGGAAAACGCGCTGAACGAGCGCGCGAAGTTTCCTTGAGGCGATTGAGCAAGGACAGTGTGCGAGTTGTGCATAATCGCTCGAGCGCCGACACCCCGAGAGGTTCGCTGAGAAGTAATTCATCGTCGCCCAGGCTGCCATTCTCTTCGCTACCAAGATTATTTCCTAGCACGAGCAATCTTTCAACAGAGCTACCACATGCCCACAGGTTGGAAGGACGTCAAAGGAGCAATACAGCAGACAGCATAATCGCAGGCTCCATCATCGACGCACATGTCATGACAATGCGAGCATTAGAGTCGTTGAATGACTCGCCATCAGGTATTCTCACAAACTCGAACAGTCGCACGTTCGGGCCATCCTCAACAGTGGCCGACTTTCCTAAATTTTCATCCTTCACGAACGACCGACACATCACGATGTCGCCGTTGTCAACAAAACATGCGGGACGAGACAGAGAGAGACCCGCTAATCTCCCAAGCCACTTCATACGGACTCCGTACCCTTTCACAGCAAAGAAGGTGTTCCCGAAACCCAAGTCGCGACCAAGGCAGCATGCCGGAACAGATAGATCACACAGTGCAGGGCCAGCTGGTTCTAGTGTCGATAGACTAGACAGCGGTTATGATGACGATTCTCAGAAAGAATTTGATGACAGAAAAGGCAAACACGTACTCGGACTCATGGCCAGCGAAGGCCATTACGATTTGCGAAGCCGGTTAGAGAGAAACGAAGATGCACAAGGCGTTATCCGAAGCCGCTCTGATTCAGGAAACGAAGGCAGAGACAGTACAGTATGGCTGAGCCTTCATCGCAAAACTCACCGACAGCCCCCAAACGACCCCCGCGCACCAAAACTCGTCAAAGTCACTGTCCCAAGCAGCTTAACGGCCAGCAGTCCAATGAATGAGAAGCACGCCAAAGGCCCCGCAATGGCCGTCGAATTCGACGACAAATTCCTCGCCGACAGACTCCGCGACGGATATCGCTCGCTCACTGGAACCTGGTTCCACCGCTTCTTCAGCGCGCGCATACTCAAGGACATCCGCCTCGGCCAGATCAACACGTGGAGCGGCACGACCTCACAGCCCAGCAGTCAATCCTCTGGCCTTTTAGCAGCAGGCGCAGGCATCGACGTTGACGCGGACGCACGATCGCCTTTCACAGAAGACAGTCTGCTGAATCTTTACTACCGCCCTACATCCGGTAAAGCGCGCTATACATGGGTGCACTGGGCGCAACGCGTCGCATCGACGAATTCGACACAGCGCCGCAAACAGTCTGTAAACAACTCATTTCGCTTCCCCGAGCCGCCTGGGAGCGAGAACGAATTACCGGATAGCGTCACGACAATTCAGTTCGTTCAGTCGTACTCGACCTTGCGCATTCTGAGCGCGCTGGCACTGATGCTGCTCTTGAGCGTTGCGGCGGCTTTGTTGTGGATATTTGTCGGCACTCCGGGCTCGGGGATCAGATCCAGTGAGTTGAATCAGAGAAGTGATCGCGTGGGGAGTGGCATGGCGATTGGGATACTGGTTCTTTTGATTGAGAGTCTGGGGTTTGGCGCATGGGTGTGGTGTTCATAAGTGGATCCATTTATATTATATACATGATGTGGGTGTGGTGAAGGATATGGGTAATGTTTTGATGATGATGTGTATGATTGGGTTGCTTTGGATATATACTTAACTATACGCATATTTGGTAGGGCTAGATAGATGGATAATCTTATTGATAATGACTTGAATGCTGGTCTCCGAGTGACGACGCTCATTCAAGTCACTCTTGTCGCTTCTCCTTGTTCTTCGCATGGCGCGTAATTAGCCGCCTGTGTGGCACATCGCTCGGTCTTACTCTTAGGAGTATGCCTTGCTTTGGCGGCATTCTCTTGCCGCTTCCTTTTTTCTCGGCTCACTTCCCCTTGTGTACTAGGGTTGCTCACTCCTTCCTCCTCTCCCGGCTACTGGGTTACAAGGTTCGTGCTTTGTGGGTCCAAGGCACTATTGGTTACACTGGTTCTCATACCAGCTATTCCTGAGTACTCTCATTCATGTCAGATGACAATATCCTCGGAGCAAGGATAGAGCTATGTGTAAAAGAGACATGGGCAAATCGACGTCTCCCTCTCGAAGTTTATCTATAACGTTTTCTCACGTGATGCGAACATTGGGCATGTTGTAAGTTTGATTGTCGATCTCGGCGTGTATATCGCTATCTCAGTGCGCTGCAGAATAAGCCATGAAGCGACCAAAAACCATGCTACCCAAGAAGACACCAGCAAGCACCGAAAGGAAGTATCCGACGTTCATGCTCATAACAGCTATCATGCTGCACATGCAGTCAGCATCTTCCTCAAGCATATCAGCATTAAACACTTACAGAAGATAACCGATTCCCGCCAAAACAACATCCAAGGACGCCAACAGAACTGCCTCCCTTACCCTCCATGGCCTTCCCGCAGCTGTCTTCGCTTCAACAACATATGGATAATCTCCGGCACCCCTCTGCCGCCGCTCAAATGCCGCGAGGATCTCGATGATGTTGAGACGGACGGCCAGCAATGCTCGGAAGATTGTAGCGAAGATGATGAGGAATATGCACGTTGCGCTGTACTGGCCTGTAGTTGCTGGGGTCCAGGACATAGAGAAGAGAGGTGTAGTGGTGGAGGTGAAGAAGGTCATGGCCATTTTGTCCATTCCCATCATGGATGTTGATGTCATCCCCATTGATCCATCCGTTGAAGTAGACATGGGCATATCTGCCATCGTGGTCGTTGGAGACATCGACATTGACATATCCATGTTCATCCTTAAAGGCGCAATCTGCGCAATACTGGAAAATGGAAGTGTAAAACGTTGAATAATGTTCGCAAACTATGCAATCAAAGAGCTATGCAAGACACTAGTATCTGGGACAAGTCAATAAAAAAACGGCAGATACTCGACTTCCGCACCTTCTGACAGACATATACGTCGCACTCTCTAGTCACCGTTCGTCACTTCCAAATGTACACTATTCCCGGGAGCAGACGACCCTGTCGCGTCTTTGACGGCTATTGGACAAGCCTCTTCTCCTTCCGGCGAGCTAGTGCGTGGAAAACTGCTCAAACGTGCTCGACAGTTACATCTTGCCTTCAGCCTGTCATACGCTTATCTCGGAGAAGGGCAACTCAAGCGCCAATCATGAGCTTATTCTTCGGGTGTGAGCTTGTTTTTGGGCTTCTCGACCATGCAAGACGTTCTGAATTCCGGTGGAGCGAATAGCCACACACCTCTTGTGGTGCAGCGCGCGGCACGGAACATGTCCGATTGTCTTTTCGGACGTCTCGCGCGTGAGAATTACTTCACGGCGCACTTTAGTGGATGCTTGCCGCGAGTATGCATATAAGCTTATCTATGCTAGGCTGATGGCTAGCCGATCGAAGCATCTGACAAGCTTCGTTCCACTTGAGCTTGATATCCGTAGAGCGACGCTGTCGCTCTGACAGTTTCACTGTAGGATCATCGTCTTTGAAGACACACGTACGACGCCGTGGGCTGTTCTGCGATCCTAACTTCAACAAATCCTTCTCTCACACGATTCTGACATCTCTGTGGACCATACAATCCTGTCGACCACTTCTTTACGCCTATTTCACACCAAACGGAACTGCGTGTAGACTCTGTTGGCAAAGTTGAGCACCATGGCAGGATGGTTGTCAGCACCGCTGCAGCTGCATTCCATGCGCATGTTCGAGTGTGGTAAAAAGACACCAGAAGAATGCGACTGGTACAAGCACCACTGGCATTTTTGGTACGTTTAAACATCTCGTCATGCCTCCCCATGTTAACTTTGCATGCACAACTGACTTGTCGCCCAAGGTACATTGCAGACTACGTTTTCGCATTGCCTACCATAGCATTCTTCATGTGCACTATCGGCGTCTTCATCATTGGGCACGCAGTATCGTCACTATCTGGATACAGAAGAGTGCGAGGACCACGCATATGGGGGAAAACTATAGCAGTGGTGCGTTATCTATCGTACCGTGGTTTTTACGTCAAGGCGTTGCGATGGAACTCGGCTCCAGTAGGCGTACTTCTCCTCGGGCTCATTGGGACTATATTCTTCTTCTGTAAGTTGCAAAATGAACCTGTAATCGTTGGGCCAGATCATATGACTGACAATGTTTTAGGCATGGACTTGGCTCCAAAACCATACTACTGGCCAGATATCAAGTTCGGCGGCTCGCCTCCCCTCGCGACAAGGTCGGGGTGGTTGGCGCTGGCATGTATGCCATTCGTCTTTGCTACCGCGACCAAGACTAACTGGATTACTCTGTGTACCGGTGTGTCACATGAGAGGCTACAGGTGTTCCATCGATGGATTTCGTATGCTTTTTTTATCCTTGCGCTTCTCCATACATTCCCCTTCATCGTGTACCATATTCACTGGCATGACATGGAGGATCACTTCGCTTCCAGCCTCTTGTTCTACTGGACTGGTATCGTCGCACTGATATTCCAAGCTTGGCTCACGTTCATGTCTCATAGCACGATAAGGTGAGTATCTTGATTGAGTTGTAGCTGTAATTGCTGCTGACCGTTTTGTGTAGGAGGTTCGGATACGAGTTCTTCAAAGCAACGCACATATTTGCCGCGGTCGTTTTTGTGGTGACTTTCTTCTGGCATTGCGATTACACTCTGACCTCTTGGTCTGTCTCAATGATCCACTGAGTTTCATGGCGCAGGGGCTAACATACTCACAGGGACTATTTCATCGCGACAGCTGCAGTCTACGTACCTTGCTACGTCTACCCTTGGCTTCGAACCTGTTTCGAATATGGTGTCACGCAGAAGGCCAGTATCTCAGTAGATGGTAGCGGTTTCATTCGCGTTGTCATTCCCACCAAAGCCGCGTGGAAGCCCGGTCAACATTGTTTCCTACGATTCACCAGCCTCGGTCTGCGACATGCCATCTCAAGCCATCCCTTCACCATCTGCTCCTTGCCATCCATGCAAACAAACAAGTCAAATGAGCTTGTCTTCTACATCCGCCCACACGGAGGTTTCACTGCCACACTGTACGCGTACGCGTTAGAGCATCCTGGTTCCCTGGTGTCGGTCCTAGTAGACGGTCCCTACGGCGGGATTTACCTACAAACTTACACCAACGTAGATCATCTGCTTGTCGTCGCTGGAGGCTCAGGTGCTGCTTGGTGTCTACCGTTCGTTGAGCAATTTGTTAGATATGGCGTGCCTCGCCAAGATGCTCGACTTGCCCACAAAGAGAATGTTCATGTCGAAATAGGTTCAGAGACAGGTGGCCTTGTCCGGCCGATGTCTCTGCGTTTAATTCTCGCGACTCGCAACAACACCAACCGTACATGGTTCATCGGAGCGGTCAACAAGATTTTGGACAAGTACGAAACAACTGAGTCGTCCTCCAACGTGCATGTGGAGGTATACCTGACAGGAGACGCCGCAAAAGAAGCCGAGTTGTCGAATAAAGGCTTAGAAGATGCGCTAACGCCCAGTGGATCCTCATCGGCAGGTGATGAGATCGGAATACCCAAGCATGACCAAGGTGGCACAGCACCACGCCCAGTGTTCGAAGGTCGGCCCCAATTACCATCAATTATCAAAGAAGAGGCAGAGAAAGTACGGGAAGAGCGGGAGTCACTCGGTGTATATGTCTGCGGTCCTACGACCATGCAAAATGATGTGCGGAACGCAGTCGCCGCAGAGAATCTGAATATCCTCAGTGGTTCGTCTAGAGCGGGCGGTGTGTATTTACATTCCGAGCACTTCTCTTGGGCTTAGGGTAGCTCTAAATAATACAAGCTGCGAACATATCTTGGATGGTTTCGCCAAGGTCGTTCATGGCTAACGGAGCCCCCGAATGCAAACAAACCCCCCACTGCGCTTCGACACCATCTTGACATTTAGGTCCCGTTCCAACGGCATTCTTCCCACTGAGACCAACACCGACACCAAGAAACCGGTGGAATGCATCATCCTGTTACCACTAATGCAGTGGACGCTCTGAAGACCATCTGGCAGGGTCATCGCCGATCATTCGCCATCTACTCAGCATCCTAGAATTTCCTAGAAACGAACATGGTCAGGTAGCGGTGTTCGTGGTCCTACAAAAGACGATTACGATCGTTTCAAAGTACAATAGTCGTGTAGGTACGCGGAAGTACACTATGAGCTCGACCAGAGTATGTGCAAGTTGTGCTTTGGAGGCTTGGTGTCCGGAACTTAGGCATCGTCTTCAGCAAACGGTATGCCGAATCGGGAAGCAGATCGTCGTCGCCAAGTACACCCCAAGAGCCGCAGGCTAGGCCAACGAGCATCGGCATCCCGCGGTCGCCAACATCCCCATCTTTCCATCATCAAGCGAGATCCGACCTTTGATGATTGGAAGGGCGTTGCGCACCGTCAGGCGTTCTATGAACAGAACTCACGTGCACTCTTGGCCGCCGCGAGTCCGCCCAGAGGCACTCCGCTGCCAAGGGGGCGTTATGCCTCCGCCCAGCCAACTCAACATGCTTCCAGGACCCGCTATGACATCTTCCCAGATGATATCTCTCAGCGAACATCAGAAACCAAGTCTTGGACCGGGCACCCCGCTGTCTGGTTTCGAGGTATGGTTACATGCGCCAATACAACTTGTCGTGTGGAGAAACCGCCCATGGGGGCCCTCATTCTGCCCCAGTGATGGCGGACCCATGTTTCTGTAGAAAAGCGGGTAAGAAAGGCTTGCCTGAGCGCGCAAGTCCTTGAGTATATAACACAGGTCCACTGTGATCTCCTGGCGTCTTGTCACACGTTTTGCTCCATTCTTCTACGATCCCTCCTCCAGGGAGAGTGCTTGATACATTTTGGGATCGATACTGCACATCATCCTCCATCATGCCTGAGCGTAAGCCTGATATCGAGGCTACTGAGCCGGGACTTTCGTCCTCGGGCAACAGCAGTAAGACCGACCTTGGAACTACACGCCACACGGAGGACGCAAACCATGCCTCCAGTGCGCCACGAAAAGCTTCTGTCGCCGCAAAGCTACGCAACCCCCTGACTGGATTTACCGAAGAACAAGTCCTTATTGACGTCGAAACATGGTGTGCTGAGAAAGGACTCACTGAAGACCTCGACTCGTTTCGTAAGGGCGCTTTGATCGCTCGTGTGGGACAGCGAGATGATGGGTTCGAGTACGTTAATATCCTCAGCGAGGAGGAGAAAGAATGGCTGCGACACGAGACTACACACCGCTGGAGTCAGCCTTTCATGCTGTACTTCCTGGTCGTACTTTGTGCTGGATCTGCCATCGTGCAGGGTATGGACCAAACTGCCGTCAACGGTGCTCAGCTCTTCTACTTTGAAGAATTTGGTATCACAGATGTCTGGCTCCAGGTAAGTCGCATTTGAGTCTTCGGAGGCATCGCTGACTTCATAAGGGTTTGCTTAACGGTGCCCCATACCTGTGCTCCGCTCTCATCGGTTGTTGGTCGAACGCGCCCCTCAACAAATACTTTGGACGTCGTGGTACCATCTTCATTTCCTGCATCATCTCGTTCATTACTGGTATATGGATGGCTGCGGCCAACAACTGGCCTAACCTGCTCATTTCGCGATTCTTTCTCGGTTTCGCCGTCGGAGCAAAGTCCTCGACCACTCCCGTCTACGCTGCAGAGTCTGCGCCGAAGAATATTCGTGGTGCTTTGACAATGATGTGGCAGATGTGGACCGCATTCGGTATTATGTTAGGTTTCATCGTATCTGTGGGCTTCCAAGACACCGACTTTCTCGGCCCGTACTCCCAATGGAGGTGGATGTTGGGTAGCACCAGTATCCCTCCTTTCATCGTATGCATTCAGGTCTACTTCTGCCCTGAATCTCCGCGATGGTGAGTGCTCTGAAAGCTTTAGAGACTCTAAATGCTAACGGTCATCCAGGTACATGGAGAAGGGCAAGTTCGACAAGGCATTCCAATCTCTCTGCCGCCTCCGAAAACACAAGATCCAGGCTGCGCGTGACATGTACTACGCATACAAGTTGATCGAAGTGGAAGCCGCCGAGCGAGAGGGTCGTAACCCATGGAAGGAGTTTTTCGGTGTGCGCCGTAACCGCCGTGCCGCACAGAGTGCCTTTTTCGTCATGTTCATGCAACAATTCTGCGGTGTCAATGTAAGCTTTCTCCGACATAAGACACCGACCATTCATCTGGAACTCGATTGCTGACATGTGAACAGGTCATTGCCTACTACTCGTCGTCCATCTTCAAGCAGGCCGGTTTCAGCGACTCCGAGGCCCTCCTCACCAGTATGGGTACGGGCATTACCAACTTCGTCTTCGCAATTCCTGCCATCTATACCATCGATACTTTTGGTCGCCGAAACTTGCTTCTTACAACTTTCCCACTTATGGGCATCTGCTTGTTGTGGTGCGGCATGTCTTTCTATCTTCCTAATAATGCTGATGGAACCCCCACTGCTGGCCGTCTTGGATCTATTGCAGCGTAAGTCGTACGCTATCAATTATTCAAGCTTTACTGACCCATGAAATAGTGCGATCTTCACATTCATGGCTGTGTACTCTCCAGGAGAAGGCCCAGTGCCATTCACCTACTCCGCTGAGGCTTTCCCACTGCACCTGCGTGACGTGGGAATGTCATTCGCAACTGCCGTCTGCTGGGGTTTCAACTTCATTCTCTCACTTACATGGCCTGCGCTCGTCAAAGCCTTCTCCGAACAGGGCGCGTTCGGTTGGTACGCAGCGTGGAACTTCTTCGGCTGGGTGTACTGCTACTTCCTGCTCCCTGAGACGAAAAATCTTACTCTTGAAGAGCTAGACACTGTGTTCGATGTGGGCAATAAGCAATTTGCAAGTTACTACAGCGCAAAGCTGCCGTGGTACTTCCAGAAGAACATTCTGCGGCGGGACGTACCTCCCATGGAGCCGCTGTACGAATTACATGACGAGACTCTTGCGGGAGAAGACTATTCTACTAGAGCTGCTCCCAGCGACGGTGCAGCCGCATATGGCGAGAAAAGTGCAGAGGTTCGCGTGTAAGCGCGATTCGGTGAGGAAGCTATGCTTTTCGTGCAAGCCATATCGAAGTTATGTATCACATGCAGTCCGTTTTGAACGCGTTTGATCTATCCAATTTGGTTAGCAGACCGATATTCATGAAAGCTCACGCACTGGTCAATAACAACCAATTCCACAAGTCACCATATTCAAGCATAAGATAATAATGTATCGAAATCTACAAGCTGCAACCAGAACAGATGTCCAAAGTGATAAACCCAGTGTCTTCCACAGAATGTGACGATGGGCCAGAGGAGGCTGACAAGATTCGGCAAGTGGGGGACGGATCGGCAACCGAACACCGACATCGCGAGTTGTACTTCGTAACAACATGTCCTTGACACGAAAATCGCATCTCTCATTCGGCATATAGAACGACCCCTTTCTTTCTATATTCTCAAACTCAATGGCATCAGAAGTCCGACCAAAAGTGCTGCTGTTCGGTGCAGGCAGCGTAGGTGCAGTTTACCTCTGGCTTCTATCCAAAGTTGCAGACGCCACTGCAGTATGTCGCTCAAACTACGATATTGTTAGTAAAGAAGGTTTCACCATAAATTCCTCAATATTCGGCCAGGGTATCCAATTTAAGCCCAGAGTTGTCCGTAGCTGCGAAGAAGCGGCGTCCGCAAACTCAGGTAAACCGTACGACTACATCGTCGTCTGCAGCAAAGCGATTCCCGGACTGGTGCCAAAGCTCATAGCGCCCGCTGTCACGCCTGGGAAGACGGCCATTGTACTCATCCAAAATGGAGTTGGAATAGAACAGGAGTACGTCGACGCTTTTGTGAGCACGCCAATTATCAGCACCGTGGTGTACATGCCCGCAACACAGCGCCCAAGTGGTGTAATCAAACACGGGGAGGTAGAGAATCTGCAAATAGGCGCTTTCCCTTCTTCCGCGTCGCCAGGACCTGCTAAGGCCTTCACTGAGCTCGTGAAAGCTGCTGGCGGAACTGCAACTTTCTTCGACGATGTTCAGGCAAAGCGCTGGTACAAGCTTCTTATCAACGCTTCCTGGAACCCAATTTGCGCGCTTACTCTCAGTAAAGACACGGACATACTCCAGAGCTGTAATGAGGCCTCTGATGTCCTTCTTGCTGTCATGGTGGAGATTCAGAACATCGCCGAGGCCCATGGGCACGCGATAACGAAAGAGGAGGTAGTGCATCAGCTTGGTCGGGCTCAGGCAAGGATCCCAACCAACGCCGGTATTGAGCCAAGTATGCTGCAAGATGTGCAGTCGGGTCGGAGAATCGAGGTTGAAGCGATTGTAGGCAACGCGGTGAGGATGGGCAAAGCGAAGGGAGTAAAATGCGACCGGCTCGAGCTGATTTATGTGCTTGCGAGAACGTTGGATCTGCAAATAGAGAAGCGCTAGTATGATCAGTGCGGTTGTTCGCATTCGTTAACCAAACATACCTTTACTTCTGAATTGCAATGCCAAGAAGGTGGCGGACATGCAGCGCATTATGGATGGCGGATTGCGATTTAGGAATTTGGCGGTATCATGGTGGGGAAGGAGAATAGGGAGATTCGACTTCTTAGGATCGTCGAGAGCATCGAGACTTTATAGGGTTATCAAAAATTTGCCAGGAAGTACTGGGAAAGGACCTGGATCACGACCAATTAGAAGTAAGGAGGAGCTTGGAGATTACGATACTTTGCAGATAGAAATGCAGAGAAGATGATAAATGAAGAACAATTGAGAAAGACTTTGATATCAAACATGCTACACCTGCGACCAGTATCCCGTCGGTGCTATCAACGCCCCAATGACCAAGTATTTAATTGTACAAGTCGCCTGATACCCCAAGACTCCTAAACGGGAAATCAATCACCCGTCTCATCGTGATGTTGCATCTCTGTTCCATGAAATGCATCGCCAAAAGCCGAGTCGTCGACAAGGTCAAGCCCCATGGTATCGTCGTTGCCATACTCAGCCAAAGCATCACCGGCTGTGTCCAGGTTATCGAAACTTCCAAAGTCTGCGGTGTCGAACATGCTTCCAGCATCAGCGTCTACATTTGATGTAGGCATGCCGCCAGCATTAGATGTTGCTGGATTGGCATTGGCACCAGACTGGTGGGGGTTGCCACTGGGTTGCGTGCCGGCTTGGTCGTCCGCCATGCCCCATGCGTCACCTTTCTCTCCGTCAGAAGGCATGCCTGACATCTCTACGTCCAGGTCCAGGAGATCATCCCCGTTGTCTGCGCCGAGAGATGTGCCATGTTGGTCAAATGTTGTGGACTGTGGCATGTTGCTGGCTGCACTTGGCGTGCCGATGGCAGACTGAGATTGGCTGGGAGGCTGAGATAGTCGTGGCAATGATACATTGCCGATGGGAGTTCCTGTTAGCGACCCAGATCCGTACTGATCGAGTAAGCTAGCAGCAGAGTTGTCGACATCTACGCCGCCGTCGTTGGCTATGCCATTGGATGCGCCGTTGCTGCTCTGCTCGCCGCTGCCGTTGACTTGAGCCTTTGGCGGGGATGGGGCTTGTGCTTCAATGAAACCGCCCTTGTCCACGCAAACAATGGACTTCTTCGCCTCAAATGTGACATTTAGTGACTTCTCCACGTCTTGAACCACCTCTTCCACAGGGTCAGGGCCATCGCTATCATCATCTGTTGAGCGTGATAGATCCCGTAACCGCCGCTCGGCCTTGATGTAAGTTCGCGTACGCTTCAGCTGGGCCATTTTTCTTGCGTGGTCTGCCTTCATCTTGTCGATTTCATCTTGTTCCTTCGTGGCGTGCTCAGTGACGCGCTTTTCAAAATCCTTGAGCTGATCTGCGTCGAGTTTGTAGTAGTTCTTGATCTTGGCGGGTTCAAGAATTTCGCCAGTTGGTACATCCAGAATGCCAGCTGTCAAAGGGGCGAGTTCACCCATCAAGCCAAGGCCAAGGTCTATAGGCGCAATCTTCCCAATAGCGTATGGAGAGGAGAAGACCTCTTCCATCCACTCATGATGTTGCTTGTATCGGGACAAGCTGATCTCGCGCGGTGTCAAGAAGTCAAAAGCATCCTGGGTCGCATTCTCCTCTTCCTCTAGTGAGGTGTCTACAATGGCGCTGCCCGGCTGGGTCATACGTGCCTGCGCTTGAGGAGGCAGGCGCGCGCGTTTCGCAGGCGGTGGTTGCGCAGCGTACGGTCGTCCGGGCTGCATAGGATTATAGTATGGCTGCTGGCCCCTCATAGCCTGCTGGCCGAACTCGACCTTTGGCCAGTTGGCTTGGTCGTGCAGCATGAACTCCTTGCGCATCAGAGGACCAGCAGCCTGCAATTGCCCGCGCATCTGCAGCTGCGCATGGACTTCGCGTGGGATGGGTATCTGGGCTGCTGCGGCCCTGTGCTGCGGCTCCGAGGGCCTGTAGTGAATGAGCCACAGGTTGGGGTTCGTGGTGCCGGGTCCGGCCAGTATTCTGTAGCGATAGCGGGCGTGGGTTGCATATGGCTCATGGGGGTAGTGGAAGCCACAGTTGTGGATGAGGATTTGGACCGTCTGAGCCGTATACGATTAGCTTGGGGGCTACAACAAGGCGCAAGGGAAACCTACGTAGCCACGAACGTTGAGCTCGTATGTTGATTCGGGGTCAGCCCACACCATACCATCAGATGCGAATTGCGTGCCCATGCGCGGGGGCTGGAAGGCGAGCAGGACGGTGCCATCTGGCGGCGGAGCAGAGAAGTAGGTCCATGCCACGGGCGACGTGTCACGCACTATTTGGGGGCCTTTGATCAGGTACTCAAGCGCTTCCGGAGGCTGGAGAGTTGGCAGTGTTGGGAAGCGGTATGATGAGATCAAGTGGACATGGGTGAGCTATATGGATACGGTCAGCCGTTGTGCTTGAGGGTGTTGCATTGCATGCGCTCACCAAATGGTTCGGCACCTGCGCACTCGGGTCGGGCGCATTGTATTGTTGATTCATGCCATACATGATGGGCGGTGGAATGCGACAGCGATGCCGCGTGTGTAGAGAGACTTGGTGTTGCGATGCGCCGACGCGATAGCCCTGCGGTTGACGTTGGGAAACTTTGGTCGCGTCGAGCGCGACAGCATTATGCCAAGGCTTTCTTAGTAAGCCTTCACGTCCCCGCGAAGCTCCTGACGACTCCACATCCCACCGCTTCTCTCGAGCTACTCCAAAGTCGTCTGTACGAACTCAGCTATTGACCAAGGCGGCCTCGCAAGTATTTGATGCTCAATCTCAGGACCGGATGCCAATCCGAATGCCATCCATTTCCTTGGTCTAAGCGTGCAGATACATTGAGACCGCTATAGGAACCACGCATTTCACATGTCTACTCAACTCGACAGCGTGCGCGCTTCATTCACGGGATCCTGATTCGTTGGCTGTCAATCAAATCTGGAAGCAGCTTGCCGCCAGTAGTAATGCTTAGTTGCACCGATGTGTGCCACCGAGACAGACTTGCATTTCATTGCAGTTGCATCAACAACGTTTGGCTCATCCGTAGGTAACGCCGTAGGTTACGGGCATTGTTCGGTCACCCGAATCTTTAGGCCGCACTCATTCAGAGCTTCCTGTCAGTTCTTAGGGTCATTGCCAGGTTGCAGCACATTACCGCGATCAGATCTTGATGGATATTAGTTCACTAAGCCCCCATACTCAATGCCTTCTCAAGTTGAGCTTGCCCACCATCTTTCTGTGTCACGCTTTCCTTGTCAAGTACCATTGCCTGTCACACTTTTCATTGACATGATGTAGGTGCGCTTCAGCAGCCTCTTTGCGAGGCTCTAGTCTCAAGTGAGCCCGTCATAGTCGTGACACATCACGACAATCATACACTCGGATCGTTGGGTTCAACGTACCAGACCTTGGGCTATGATGCCGAACCATATGGGTAAGCTACATGCCACTCTTTTTCACTTTCCATTTCAACTCACATTTCATAGTACGCTTCAAATGCACTATTCTTTCGGCCAATACAAACCGGTTTGGGCGAACATATCCAGCGTGCAAATGTCTCCACTTCTGGCCTGGTCATCATATCGGTCATAACACTGTTGCAACTGATAGGCTTAGCATACCTGGCCTGGTACATATATCAAGTACCGCCCTGGACGACCATGCTCGATCCACTAGCAGTAGCGAGGATTACAAGTAGCTAGGACAAGGGGGCCATTCCGTCCCTTGGCTCCCACAAGTGAGAACGATCTGAACAGACTCGGCGACATAAGCGGCTTGGTTGGCGTCGACCACACAGAGGACGGTCTGGACGAGCCAGCGGGTACGAAGGAGGTGGAGCTAGGCCTAGGGGCGCCGGGTCTGTTCCGTAGACGGCTGGCAAAGTTCTCGGTGCCGAGATCTGTGGAGATGTCTACGCTGGATTGCCAATGCGAGGACTGCTGAAGGAGGCGTGTGGTCGCAGAGGATGGTTCAACGGATCACGTGCACAAGGAATGCGTCCACGGGTAGTCACGAGAACAACTCCAATGCTCGACAAATAGATCACAGCCACGGTACTTAGTGTTTAAATCTGATTGGTCCGTTCAAGCCTTGTGGTAAGTCCAGTAAGGCTGAAAGAGTGGAGTGCTGCCTACGGTCACGTGCACTATGACGATATCGTCTGCGCTAAGCGAAACATTGGCCTGGTCAGGGTCCTCTAGCATCATAACATTTACTGGGCCTTGGAAGTTGTTCACATCGACTTAATGCAATCCTGCGCGCGCCGTCTACTCAAGCTCATATAGGCGGCCAAGCTTACTACTGTCACGCCACTCCAAGCTGATCTCGCAATGTTTATGCTCCGTAACCGTATGTTTGTGTTTGCCCCTCCCCCGCTCTGGTGGAAGATGAGATGACACTAACTCGCATGTAACAGTGAGTAAATTCGTCTTCGGCGACAGCTCCAAGGAAACTATTGTCGAAATCCCCCAGGGCCAGCTCTACCTCGTTCGCCCTCGCTCCGTCAAGGGCTACTCTGAGCTCATTTTCAAGGACGCCGCTGCTACCATCCGCCGCACAGGACAGGAGTTCCAGTACCAGCTCGTCATCCAGCGCGCATACGAGGAGGGCGAAGAAGACTTGCTAGAAGAAGGTGGCGAAGACGCAGCGCTCGACGCGTTAGCCGCGGATAAGGACGAGAAGACGTTTCTACTCGACGAGGGCCTTCAGTTCCGCACTGACGTCCGCTCGACTGGCGAGAAGATCTTTGCCTGGCGCGATCTCAGCGGTGACGTCGACGACCTCTGGGAGTTTGTTTGCGACACGTCCATCAAGCCTGAGACCGCAGCGCTATTCGAGCGTGTAGCTCTACAGTGTGTCTACGAGCGCAAGTACCGGAGGAGCCACGAACACGCAACCGAAGACGATCTCGAAGCCCTCTCATACTACGAAGAGCCCATCCCAGACGCGAGTCCCATAGCGAGTCCCACAAGCTCAGCTATCCTCCCCGCTATAGCCCCACCGGCCGAAGAGCTGTTTCCAAATACCACAAAGGAAAAGATGGCAAAGAAGGCGGCAGGCAAGGGCAAGGCACCCGAGGTTACAGAAGATCCGACGGCTGCCCCGCCATCTGTTGCGAAACCAGATGCCGTGGGAATACTTGCAGAGGGTCAGGCCGAACTCCATCTGTTCGACTTCCCGTCTGGCACCTTCATCCTACAAGATTCCAGGGTCCATGTTGAAGTGACCGAGCTTGGCAGCTGGGAATACTGGCTCCATATCGTTGGCGAGGAACGCGAGTGGCTCGGCCAACCCATCATCGAGGACATCAACCCTGTCTTCAACTACGAATACAAGTCATTCATCTTCAATCACTACCTAGAGGATGGCTCCGCGTACTCGTGGCTTCTGAAGTTTAAGGAGCAGGAAGAGCTTGAAAACATGCAGCAGGGAGTCATGCAGTCTCTGTGGGAACATCTTCACCAGACCAAATGGGCGAAGGCGCCGTCTACGAACCGCGACTATGTTCTGGAAGCTTTCCAAGACTTGACCATGGAAGATGCGCCCGAAGAAGAGCAGGAAGAAGAAGAGTACGAGGAAGAGTTCGAGAGCGCAGACGATCAGCGCAGCGAACACTACGACTCAGACGAATCTGAAGACGATGTGGAAACTGGTCCCAAGGACGGCGCCGAGAACTCCCAGCTGGCGGTTGGCTACAAGCACGACAGGTCTTTTGTGGTGCGAGGAAACAAAATTGGTGTCTTCAAGCACACCGCAGACAACCAACTCCAGTTCTCCACTACCATATCAAATGTCATGACACCCAAGGGCAAGGCCTTCAACCCCAACAAGGTCATGCTTCACCAGCAGGATCAAGACATGATTCTCCAGAATTTGGACAACCCCAACGCGCTTTACCGCATGGATCTGGAGACTGGAAAGGTTGTTGATGAATGGAATGTTCATGACGACATTCCAGTCAAGGTCTTTGCGCCTGAGAGCGTAAGTCAATTTCTCCTATACACAAGGAAGTAGCTAACCATTACATAGAAATTTGCGCAAATGAGCGGAGAGAAGACCTTCCTGGGTCTATCAGGGAACGCCCTCTACCGCATCGACCCGCGCTTGGCAGGCAACAAGTTGGTCGATGACCAGCTCAAGCAATACGCTACCAAGAACGCTTTCTCCGCCGCTGCTACAACAGAGAAGGGTCATATTGCTGTAGCTTCTGAGAAGGGAGATATCCGTCTATTCGACAGGCTTGGAATCAACGCGAAGACGCTCATCCCCGCCCTTGGTGATCCGATCATCGGCATGGACGTCTCAGCAGACGGTCGCTGGGTCCTTGCTACTACCCGAACTTACCTCCTTCTCATCGACGCACTCCAGAAGGGTGGCAAGAACGACGGCAAACTCGGCTTCGAAAAGGCCTTTGCAAAGGACGATAAGCCCCAGCCGCGCCGTCTAGCTCTTACACCAGCTCACGTTGCGCAATTCCAGCATGAGACCAAGGCACCCATCTCCTTCACCACCGCTCACTTCAACACAGGTGTCGACGACAAGGAAACCACCATCATCACCGCCACGGGTCCTTTCATCGTCACCTGGAGCATGAAGAAGATCATCGCGAACCGCAAGGATCCATACAACATCAAGCGTTACGCCGAGGAGGTCAAGGCCGATAACTTCAAGTTTGGCTCCGACAAGAACCTCATTGTTGCGCTGCCGAATGAGGTCGACATGGTGGCTCGACGCGCCTTGCAGAAGCCGACGCGCGAGAGTATCGCTACGCCATCACGTGTGGGAGCGAATAGGCGCAGTGGCGTGCGTGGCAGCTATCTAGGCCGCAATGAGATTGTGAATAGTCCTTACTAGGGACTTTTCACGGCTAACGTTTGTGCTTTGAGAGGGTTATATTTGGCGTATTGGAGCTTGAGAATCTTCCAAGGCTAAGGCAGTGCTGATTCCGGCTTTGCCCCGAGATATTGTGATTCCCCTTAGATCGAGAGATTCGAATGAATAGTTAATGATTGTGTATTCTGGCATGTTGGTTTGTCGATGTCACATGCATGCGTGAGGAATAGGGCAGTGTGAACGTGATCTCTGGATGATGGTGCCTCTTGGCCTCTACTTTGTGTTTGAATTGTAATCTCGCGGCATGGTATGCCCACGCAACGCGCTTGTGGAAAGTTGACACATTCGCGCCGTGAATGGGATATCTTACATAAAAAAACAGTGCTTTTGTCATCGCTCATGTTGCCGAGATGGCGCTTCTTTTTCTTCTCTTCTTCGGTGAGCGCCATGCGCTGTTCTCATGTCATCACCACCATCATCTTCACATTCGCCGATGCTCATACGGTGCCGGAACTTCATGTCAACGTCCTCAGCTGGCGAATCGTCGCTCACCAAGGTCGTGCGTGACTCCGCTCCTGTCTCCACCAACGGTTCCTGCCATACGATGCAGCGCGGAGCACGAGTCGCATCATCCTCGTCATCTACGTTTTCTAGATCTGAATTTCCCACCACATGCAACCGTTCAAGGCGTCTTCTGTGCGCCCCATACAATCGATTCCATGAGCGCATACGGCGACGAATCCAGCTCGAGCCCGAGCAACGGGGACTGCGAGAAAAGATGTCCATCACCATTAACCAGCGCGCTATTGATATCATCCGCCGTGAAAACATGCATCGTCGGCGAGGCCTGCGAGCCCGACTCGCTCGTCTTGCGATTATGCGTCGACGTAATCCTGAGCAAGCGCTCAAGCGCCGACACGGAGCGCGTGATGGGCGTGGCCATTTCCGCGGGGTCGACGTCTTTGGTCACGTCGGAGAGGACTTGGATGACGTTTTGGAGGAGGCCGCGGGCGCGCTCGTTGCGGTTGTGTTCGCCGAGGATGCCGAGGAGGAGCGCTGAGCTGAGGGAGCGGTGGACGGCGGACCAGGAGCGGGTGGCGAAGGGGGTCATGTTTTGGAGGCCGAGGAAGGCTTCGACCGTGTTTGTGAGGCTATCGATACATGTCTTTCGCAGGGTCTTGGAGAGGTCGAAGCCGGCGGTTGCTGGGCTAATGGCGGGTCGGCAGAGCTCGGATGTGATGTACGAAATGTGCAGGTATAGAGCCCAGTGCTCGAGTTGGTCGCGCATCGAGCGACATCTTCGCGAGTCTTTGAGGTAGTCGGCTGCATCGATCATGATTTCTTGAAGTTCGTTCCGGTGCTCGGTGATTCTGATTAAAGAATCGTGCGAGTTTTGCGGTCGCTGACGTTCGCGGACAATATCGAGTCCTACTTTGCACAGTCGATACATGCTTTCAACATACGTCCTTGTGCCGGGTGCGGTATGTTGAGACAGAGGTACCGTGTGGTCGATTGTTGTGGTGGAGGATGCGCGGTCGTACGACACCGAAAGAAGAGAGTCCTGCCATAGGAGTGCCCACCAGACTTTGCTTCGCGTGACCTTTTGCTGGATAGGTGTTGATGGCGGGCACATGCGATGCAGACCCAGTGTTTGCGAGAGACGGACAGTCAAGCCCATCAAGCTCCATGCCACCCCCGCGTTCATATTGTTGGAGATGACGTTGCCCAGAATGAGCAGAGTCTGTATATTTTCGAGTGTCGCGTGCGACAAAAAGTTGGTGAAGCGGAGGCATTCGAAGCTACAGCACACATAGACTTGGGATGTCAACTCCCTCTCGCGCCGCGACAGTGTCGAGCATTGGCATCCCGAAGCCAGTATGGCGAATACCAGACCTATCCAGTGCAGGTCTTTACCATAGATCTGCTGGTCTGTAATGCCGTCTGTGCCTTGTGAGCTTGCGCGCTGGATGAGGAAGAGCATCAAGTCCGATTCGATTCCCTCGATGTCTGACACTGCGGGGTACACGACATGGGCAGTCTCGCGGTAGCACCGGAAGAAGCTGAGGACTTCCGAGTCGCTTGGAAGCGCATTTGCGAGCTCATGAGCGCGGGCTATCGATCCGTGTGGCAGGCCCCATAGGTCGACGAACGGGTACGTAGCGCTCTCGTTGTCAAGACCGAATATTGGCAGCATGCTCTTCTTACCCAGGAGATCTTGCACACCCGGCGCCCACTCTGTGTTCCCCCGGCCCAATGCCATGACAAGTGCAGGAACCGAGCTGGGCCCGATGTGAATCGTCTGGCCCGTCATGTCGTTGCGCGTGTGTATTCCTTGCGTTCGGACATGGCTTTGCTCGCCGTCGATGGGTGCTGCCGCTGCTAGCGAAGTGTTTCCCGATCCCGAGGGAGAGAAGCCGTTGGTGGGAGGCGGTATCTCAGCGACGCTGCTGATCGAGTTCTTCAGCTCGCCGAGCGACTTTTCTGCTTGCTGGAGTTTGGCGCAGATGCGCTCCCAGTCCTGCTACAGTCAGCACTATGCACAATTCCTCTGGCTCCACGTAATGCGCACCTCTCGCGGCAATGTGACTGTGCCTCCATGTATATGGACCATGCCGTTCGAGAAGTCATGTCCCGTCTGGGCCAGTCCCATGGTTATCCGCTTCGCCGGCGGATGCGACTCGCTCGGTGGGTGGTAGGTACATAGCTCTGGGTGTTCGCGCACGACGCACGTCTTGCACGGCACCGTCTGGTCGCATTTCACTTTTCTCTGGCGGCATGGATAGCAGGCCTGGGGGAGTAGTTAGTACAAGTCCGTGGGGCAGCAAGCCGTTAGCATGCTCCATGTTTTAATGCGCCGGGTTCTGTAGCCCAATTTGGCAAAGGAACACCCTCTCTTTCACCGCCGTCTCTTCTTCAAATTTATATGTCTTCCCCTCGCTCGCGCATGACTTCACACTTGCGCACTCATGCTTACCTTGTATTCCCTGGCCTTCCGCTTCCGTCGCAGGATCTCGTCGACATCTGCGCGTGGCGGTGTGTCCATGAAGCCAGACGCTGGCGCATGCGCATGCGACTGCGACTGCGACGGTCCCTGCTGCGAATTCGACTCGTCGTCGTCCATCTGATGTTCCGAGCCTCGGGTGGGATTCGGAGTTGGTGGATGTGACGCGCTGGATGCGCTGGATAGACTAACGGTGCTTCGGGCCTTCGCTTGTACGACAGGGATCACCTGGCACGAGCGATCATAATCGTTAGTCACGGTCTAAGAAGGCTTGATTTCTAACTACCATCTGACAACTTCACGGCAGTTCTTTCTCATGTCAATGGCACACATAATGCTAGCATATCTGACGCCAGGTTCTGTATGAAATCGAAGCTGCTTAGCAGATCTTGTTTTAACTTTGAGTTCTATATGGGTATACCAGCTATTAAATTCGCCTTATCGAAAGCCTCCGAATGCTCCGAAACTCAACGCCATGCAATGCAATGTAAGCGTAAAAACACCACCATGACCGCCACATTTTCAACTCTATCCAAACACAGCAGCACCGATCAAGCCACCGATCGATTCCATCAAGGCCCGATGCACCTGTTCTCGTCAAGCATGCGGCGACTCGATAGCTTTCTAAGCACCCTGCTTCTCGACTGGCTGGTTCTCTTCATCCGCAGAATACGCGTAGTGTGAGTGCGCTCGGATGCGCGAGCCGAAGAAGTAGAACACAAACGGAATTGCGCAGCAAGCTACGCCAATGAATCCAAGCAGCGAGCTTGCCCACTGCTTGCCCAGCCTGTCGTACATCTGCACGGTGAAGAGGACGCAGGCCGCGCCCCAGATGGATCGTAGGAACGTTTTCGCCGCCAGCGCTGACGCTGCTTGATGCTGGTACGAGTCGACAAGGTAGTTGTTGGCCGAGTTGTACAAGAAGATGAAACCGAACCCGACAGAAAGTCCACCCATAGCAGGGCCGGCCCAGTGCATATCTTCGTATGACGTCCACGCGAAAATAAAGACACCAATGGGAATGAACCAACACGAACACATCATGGGAATGAGGCGTGCTTCTGCGGGAGGGTGACCATTGTACTTCTTGGAAATCCCAAGATAGTGTTTGTTGACGAGAGGTGCGCAAGCAGCCGACAGTAGCACGCCGACGATGAGCGGAATGAACATAAGCCCTGTTGTGCCAGCGCTATAACCCTGTACTGGTTGTCAGCGTACGGCCCATACCAAGTCGCGTTAAGGTAACGTACCTTGCCCTTCTGGTAGACGATGGGATAGGCGATAAAGAACATGTACAGAAGACCGTACAAAACACTCATGTATAACGAGATGAAGAAAACAATCAGTTCTCGGAACAGGAGCTGGAAAGGTCGGAGCAGGAAGATCGTGAGCTGCTGCGTGAAGGGTCGCGAGTCGAGATCCTGCTCGGTGACATATTTCGCATCCCCAGTCTCCTTGCGAAGCTTCTTTGCGCGATCGGCCAGGAGCCTAGGGGCATATGTCTCCGGCACAGTGAACGTGATGAGAACCCAGACGACGGCACTTAGAATGAGCTGGATCCAGTAAAGCCATCTCCATCCTCCAGCTTCAGAAAGGTAACCTCCAACAAGTGGTCCTATGGTCAAGCATTAGAATGAAGTCGTTCAGGGCACATCAAATCACTTACCGACACCAGGTCCGATGAACGGCGCGGCAGAAAAGGCAGCCATAGGAACACCTCGCTCCTCATTCCTCCAAAGGTCAACCAATGTGCCTCCAACCAAACTCATGGGGGCACTGAAGGCAACTCCCGCGATGAAGCGAGTACAAAGTAGTGTTTCAATGTTTTTGGCAACTGCACCTGGGATGGTGAAGATCACAGCGAGCGCCAATGTGACCCCGTAGACCGGACGACGTCCCCAGACTTCAGACGCGGGGGCAAACACCATTGGTCCGACGCCAAATCCGAGAACGAAAAGTGTGATGGTGAGCAAAGTGACTTCCTCACTGACGTTGAACTCCGCTCCAACGCCTTCAAGGTCGGCAGTGATGACGGCCGAATTGAAAGCTACAGCAAAGCAAGTGATGGCAACACACATGGTGCACCACCACTTGTAAGCTTTTGAGAAGTTCTTCGGGTTCTCTGGGTCGTCTATCTTGAATGTCACCAGCTCGTAGCGTTCGATGTTGCCGGTCGCATTGGTGCGCGTTTCTTGCAAGCGACCATCGATCGTCTCCTGTGTGTATTCGTTCAAGTTCGCTTCGTTGCTAAGTTGTCGAATTGGAAGATTGATCACATCTTCAATCGTTGGCTCACGACGGATCGGTTCAAGCTTTTCGGCTTCTACGTGTGTGACTTCAGAAGCATTATCGCTTGTTGGTGCGTGTTCGGGATGTGTGGGCTGTCTGAACGCTCCTTCCGCCATATTGAGAGCAAAATCAGGCCTCGAGGACCGGTGGCACGTATTTATGCGTGTATTGTGGTGTGAAGAGGATTGCCGAGATGCGCGGTGATTGTTGAGCTATGACTAGTTGTATCGGTGTCGAAGTCGAATAAGTGAACGAGGATGCTTCAATATACAAGCAAAGCGTGCAGGAGTGTCAATGCAACGCTGATGAGACTTGGCTGTTATGTGCTGCATCTTGGGTGAGCGACATACTGATATATATATGGGACCTGTCATTGAAAGAGTTTGCGCCCTGTTAACAAAACTGGAGATGATGTTGTATCAGACGGAGTTTGCTCGGAGAAGTCACAAGAGGAAGCTTAAACGTGATGTTCACGGGAAGAGCCTCGCTAACTTCGGCAAGCTAGCATAGTGTCTGCCCCATTTGGCCGATGGCTTGATCTTCGCACGAGGGATTGTAGGAAATATCTCGGAGAGCATGACATGATCTTCAGGATGGAAAACCCCTGGTTGAAGGTTGGACAATCGCCCCGCTGTTCTTCTTATCGCTCAGCTTTGAGGCGCCGAAACTTGCGAGCCTCCGAAAATATACTTACGACTTCTGTGCATAGCAACGAAAATTGACGTCATAGGTGATAGATGCTCCCAGTGGAAATGCAGTAAGATACGCAACCCAATACCCAAGCAGTCCTACGGGGAGAAATGTGTACGAGATCTTCCTGCTCACACTCCTGGCTGCGACCTGCACAACATCCGAGCATAATCATCGTCCATGCTCAGCTCGTACCCACAAATTCGAAACAAATATTGCTTAACCACTTACCATACGACGCTCACGACATTTGAACTTAATGGGGAGACAATCTCGACTTCTGTCTCTATCTTGACTCGCTAAGTCAGAGCTCCTGAGCTCCTGAGCTGTAGTGAGTAGCCATTGTTGGAACCACTCAGAACACATGTAGGAGTCGGCGATCCGCAACAAAGCATCCGGTACATCATTCTGCCGGCCGAGCGTGGGAAATTTGTTGAATTCATCTATGACCAGGTCCCCGTACGATTCCCGTCTTTCTCCCGCCTGCCATTTTGTGAGCCGTGTCTCAATGCTACGTACCACAGATGTCTGCAACAATTCAGAGCCTTGTGGTATGCGACTCAATCTAGGAGGAGACCTAATGGGAGAAACAACGGCTATTCCGAGAGCATTCCCTGTGGTGATTTGCTCATCTAAACCGTTTACAGAGCGCGCCCTGGAGCTCTACGCAGCGATAGCCACACACTTGTGAGGCCATTCGTTTCGAAATGTGTTCTGTACGTACAGCGTTCAGAGCACTTTACACACCTCCATTTGCAAGTACTATACTGGCACGGTCAAACGATCGAAATTCTGCACGGAGTCAAGAATGGGTGCTTCTGCTGAGAATGAAATCGTACGCGCAGTCGAAGTCCCGTGCTTAGCTTGGAGCTTCAACTTCAACGACCATTGGATGTACGTTTCCAGAGCTTCCAACATCGGGGCCATATTACATGCCAAACTGCTGCTGATGGAGACATGCTAGTAATATGTGTCAGCCAACGTACACACAGAGAATAAACGGGATATTCCGATGCAGTAGGCTTCTGGTGACTGGCAGTCCATGCATGAACACGGGAGCCAGCGAATCTGGACCCCGCGTCGGGTAGGGAGTTAGTGTTCGTTCCGGTGGCGTGGGTAGATACCAGGGCCAATTGCTCAACAAGATCGTGCATCTGGCGAACAAAAACTAAGCAGAGTGCGACGCGTTTACCCAGTAAGACGCTGCAGCAGTTCCCAGCGCGATCTCGATAGTCCATTGGTGCCTCCATGTGTGACTGAGGCGCTTCACACGACATGCAATATGCAAGTTGCCTGAACTTTCAGCAACCATCCTGGAACATCGAGCAGTGCCCAGAGTAGGAGTTGTGCCGATCGGCGATGTGGCAAGACCTGCTGCTGAGATGCTAGGATTTGGCTGCAGAGGCATTCTTGATATTCGTTTGTGTCAGTCCTCCATGGAAGAGTCTGGAAGGGGCTCTATCATGGAGGTCCTTCTGTCTCCCGAGTCGGCAGCTTATCTCGGGCGGCCGAATCCAATCGGGACACGGGACTTGGTTCTGTCGGTGGTGCAATGAAGCGGTCTGCCATGATTTGTTGACATAAACAGGAAACTCTGTGCTTGCAACTTTTCTTTGCAGGCGAGCTAAATGCTGAAGCAGCGAGGAGTCTCAACTCCCATGATCGGGAAGTGTTGACTAGTAGCTGTAACAAAGAACTCGTCGATTTCAGTCGTCTCGGCTGGTGATGCGATGCCATGGATGACGAGAAGACTTGTATCAAGATAAAAGGGTTGACTGTGAGAAAGGCACTGGATTCTTGAAATTTGCCAGAGCTGAGTTCCAGCTTATTCGACCCATGACAGCATTCAATAAATTCTCAGGTTGAGCACACGTAATATGAGGGTAAGAAAAATCCTCAGACTGGGAAGCTCAGAAAAGCCGACAGGCAGTCGGGACGAATAGCCCGGTCCGAGCGAACTAGTGGTACAGATGCTCTTTGTCGACCCGGCGTGCTGGCAAGCACATGTAACCAGGACGGGGAGGCAAATGTTTGACTAGCAAACATGGCGGCTGTGAATGACCTAATGACCTTGGGAAGACGAGTTGGCGAATTCGGCTACTGGGCCGAGGAACAGAACTAAAGGCAGGAGCGGCTTAGGTACCGCGCATTCGCCGGATGCCGTCCGCCCCGCGCTCATGGTGGGGGAGCTGTTGGACGTCGGAGCATTTGCACTCCATCACGGTGTTTGCTGGCGAGGCAGGTGCGCCCGTGGTTTGCTTCCTGTTGTCGGATGTGCCCAATTGACTCCTGCATTGTAGCCCCTTTCGAGCCCAAACTTACACCACGTCTTCGCTCTCCTGTGCTTACACGGCAGCACCGCGATCGTTCGTTCTGCAACCTCACCCGCCGTCAACCAACCCAAACTGCCGGGTAGCCTCGAGCTCTCGGTGCTCGCTTCGGGACTGCTATTGGCCAGGAGGCTGCTGTGCCGTGGGAGGCTTGCTCTTTTGAGACTCCGTACAGCGTCATCGAGAAGGCAGAAGAAGGACCGCAATCTGTCGACTGCAGCTCGTCTTGTGTGCTGCGTATTGCTGGATCCACACACCTCAGCTGGCACCTTCTTATATACACAATGGGTAAGAGCTAGTCACGCAGCCGTGGCCCCCCCTCCCTAAATTCCCTCATCGCGCGCCATCAGGGTTCTGTTCTTCTCACATCTCAAGGACTCTCTTGCTAACTCTGGCCATCAGACGACAACTACCGCCCAGACGACAGAGTAAGTGCTGCCAGTTCCTTCATCGTTCCCCTCTCAGTCTCTGCGGATGTGGCGGATGACGCACTCGGCCTGTCGATTGCGTTAGCTTGGGACAGTGGTATGGAAGTCCAAGCCGCTGTCAGGCTCCATTCCACTGTTTTTGCCAGGCAGCGGCTTTCCGTGGTACGCAGCGTGGTTGCGGTCCCGTGCACGTGACCATGCCGCCTACTGCCGCTAAGCGCACTGGGGCCGCTACAACGTTGCTCACCACCGCGCGACTTTCGCAATCCTCCACACCACAGCAACAGCAGCAGCAGCGTCAGCAGTCAACTTTGCACTAACTGTCTTTTTGAATTGCTGCATCATCACACGTCGACATCATGTCGTACGAAGCTGACCAATATGACCAGCGCGACCGCTCACCCCGTCGACGATCCCGCTCACCGCGACGTTCCAGGCGCTCCTACTCACCCCGAAGCCGTTCGCGCAGCCGAGGAGATCGCGACGAATACCGTCGCACCGACCGTCGCTCAAGGTCGCCAAATAGCGGTGCAGGTGCGCCAGGTGCGGGAGGCTACCAATCGTACGGCGCAGGTCGTGGAGCTCCGGCGCGTTCAGTAGAGGGCAAGGACAACATGATGCAGAGCATCCGGGAATTCTTCACAGCAGGATCGCCGCGTCTATGTCGGCAACCTGTCTTACGATGTCAAGTGGCACCACCTGAAGGACTTTATGCGACAAGGTATGAATGGAGCGCGCGCCATCTCAAGAGCTAGGCTAATAGTGTCGCAGCCGGTGAAGTCCTCTTCGCAGATGTACTCTTGCTGCCGAACGGAATGTCAAAGGTAATCATTGATGGCTGGTCTTGATCGTGAAAAAGATTGGAGGTTGACGGCTTTTGCTTGGGTGTAGGGCTGTGGTATCGTGGAGTACGCCACTCGGGAGCAGGCGCAGAATGCCGTTGCGACGCTCAGCAACCAGAACCTCATGGGCCGACTCGTATACGTTCGCGAAGACCGAGAGGCCGAGCCTCGTTTCAGCAACCCGACCACCTCGCGCGGAGGCTTCGAAGGCGGCCCCCCCGGTCGCGGTGGTTTCCAAGGACCCGGCAGCTTCGGTGGACCTCCCGGAGGAGCGCCCGGCGGCGGCGGCGGCGGAGGCAGGCAGGTCTACATTGCCAACGTTTGTACCCTTTTCCTCTGAGTGATTAACACTAGAAGAACGCAATACTGACAACTACCTACAGCTTCCATACAACGTTGGCTGGCAAGATCTCAAGGATCTCTTCCGTCAGGCTGCGCATACCGGATCTGTTCTTCGTGCCGATGTCCACGTCGCCCCCGACGGCCGTCCCAAGGGCTCGGGCATAGTAGCTTTCGAGACCGTCGATGATGCGCGAAATGCCATCAACCAGTTCAACGGCTATGAGTGGCAAGGTCGCAACCTCGAAGTCCGTGAAGATCGCTTCGCCGGCGCGCCAGGTGGCTTTGGCGGCCGTGGCGGATTCGGCGGTGGCCGTGGTGGCTTCGGCGGTGGCTTTGGTGGTCGAGGAGGAGGTTTCGGTGGTGGTCGCGGTGGTTTTGGAGGAGGCTTCGGTGCACGTGGCGGCTATGGAGGAGGTGGAGGTTTTGGAGGCCCCCCCGGTGCCGGCCCAGGATTTGAGCCTGCCGTTGGCTCAAACCCCCCCAACCCCTTCACAGACTTTGCTGCCGGTGGCGGAGAGCCAAGCAGCACCATCTACGTCCGCAACCTGCCCTGGTCGACCAGCAACGAGGATCTCGTCGAGCTCTTCACAACCATTGGCAAAGTTGAGCGCGCCGAGATCCAGTACGAGCCCAACGGCCGCTCGCGTGGAACCGGTGTCGTCGAGTTCGAGAAGCAGGAAGATGCTGAGACTGCCATTGGTGAGTCCTTCCCTCGTTAGCAAATGATGTTTACTAATATGTTCAACAGCCAAGTTCACTGGTTACCAGTACGGTGGCAGGCCTCTGGGTCTACAGTTCGTCAAGTACACCAACCAGAGCAATGGTGATGCTATGGAAGGTACCGAGCACACTGGCGGCTTGACCCAGGACCAGATCATGTAATCTGGTCACTGCAGCTGATGCAACATTCGGAGGCAACCCTTTCTGCAACATAGACGAGGAAAACTCGTGACGTCTACGCTTCTCAGCCTGACCACGTCAGTATTTACTTTGAAGCATGTACGTTTCTCTTTCGAGGGATTGACATTTGAAGGAAGCGAAGCATTCGGCGCTCTGCGAGGTCAGGTTGGATGTTATTAGGTGGTGGACAAAATTTCCTCGTGTACTCTATAAAAGGCCAAGTTCAGGTGTATATCCAATGCATTTGATTCTATGACTGTCTACATCACACGCATGCTTCTTCCTGTGATCGTCTCGATATTTCGCGTGTGGCAGAGTGCTAACGCCGGTGAGACAGGCTTTCTATTCACGACCTCTGCAGCACACGCATCATCCACTCATACATTGCCCACTGGACGGCATTGACGACGAATGCTCGCACACTACAGATGCCCAGCCCACGGAAAAAGACGCCGGAACCTTCAGTCTGGTATGCATGCTTTGCAATTTCTAAGGAGCTCATACGTCTCTTAGGCACGGCAGGATGAAGCAAGGCGCGTTCTTCACCGGACAGGCTACGTTCGCTGTGCAGTATTTGTGTCTGCACCCTCGTCTTGATCACGTCCAAAGGAAAAATAGAAGCCCATGTAACGACGCCTGCTAGCCCTCCGCAAAGGAGAACCTTAATCGCTGCGTCCCTATTCGAGTCGTCGGGCGATGTCCATGCCTGCTTCGTCCATTCATACGACCAGAAGCTGTACGCTGTCAGTCTCCTTTTGTAAGGGTGTACCCATAATGGACGTACTAGAACCCATATCCCACAGCATCTCGCACACTAGTTATCCCACCACCATAGTAGAGCCCTCTAATGCCATCTCTTCTCCAAATGTCCTTTGCAATTGACCACGATGTAATGTTCCTCTCCGTCGACACTTGCGCACGGCATTTTATGAGCTCTGTAGGCGCAGACACTACAAACGACGCGAACCCTCCTGTCGCGCCCGCGATGAAGACTTTCGAGAACGACGTGGGTGATGTTGGCGAGTCGGACAGGAGTGCGAGCGTACGGTTGTATGTTACGAACAAAAGAGCGTTAAGCGCGCCATAGCCGAGTATGGGAGCTGTTGCGCCTACGCTATGAAACTCTTGTCAACCTTCTCCAGCAAAAGTGTCGCAACCTAAGATGATACTACTCACCTCTTACGAGCGACCCTGCATTTTCAAACTGTCCCTTAAACCCCTGTGGAGTCGGTACTGCGGCAGAGGGGGCATCAACACCAGCGGCTGTCTTTCCAGCTTGCAATCGCGTCTTGACGAGATCAAGGGGATTGCCGATTATTATGCCTGCGGCGCCGGAGACGTAGCCGGCCCAGAAATCTGCAGACATGGCTGGGGAGTGGCATTGAACAGAGACGAAGTATGGAGGGGCTACATGATCGGATTGTGGGGCGGCTGCTTGCGGTGGCCGAGGCTGTCATCCATTCCATGGGATTTTCCAGCCTCTAAAGCTTTAGCTGTACCACTAGATTCCAACAGCTGTCTTAAACAAACAGCTCACGTGTAGAAGAATGTACAGGTTTACCTCGCTCATGGAACGATCGAGCTTTACTATAATCCATGAATTTTGTGGGCTCTGGTCGGAAACGTAGAGTTGCCTTGAAGGTTGAGCATTTCGTGCTCATTCGCCCTAAAGTGGCGGTGTGACGCGCATGAGCTATCTAGAAGCCCATGATGCTCAAACTACCAGGCCAGATGTCGCATTTGAGATCTATGATGTTCGGTGGCGTTGTGTATCTCGACCCGAGCCGATGAATCACTACGCACAGGCCGCCAATGAGGCTGAGACGCGATCTAACCTTCGATCGTCGTCCCGTGAACCGCCCCCGCCACCAAACACCCACCACATTCATACTCACCTCCCATTACCCTCATTTCACTCTTGCGTATTTCTTTTGAACTTATTCCTGTCTCTGGAGCTCCACACAGTCTGGCGACTGCACAGCACTCTTTGTAGAACGTCGCAATCGATCATGAGCGTGCGACTGAAGCTACTGTTTCGAGATCATTCACAATGTATGTCTTACCCCAGATGTTTCGACAGCGGCGAGCGCAGCTATATTAAATCCGCAATTGCGCGCTCCTCTTTTGACAGAGCCGTGCTCGCCGCAACGCGACTTCGGTCGTCCTGCAACCACGTCCACCGCTTACACAGCTAACACGCATTAGTTGCTTCATCCCTCTAGCACTTCACTCATACTCCCGATTACTTTGTACACGAGTGAGAGATAACCGTTGGCCACGGAAAATTACGAAAAATGCCGTCACAACCGCTCGACTCTGCGTGGAACTTCAGTTCTGTGTTTGAACTCATAGGATCGGACAGCACCCACGATGTTATTTCACCTACATTGAGGCCATCAGAGCCGCGCTCGCCCGCTGCTGCACTACAAGATGGAGGGGTTGGTCTAGGCAACTTCTGGAAGCTTTACGAGAGTTTGGGTATGCAGACGAACGTGGCAACACCTTTGCCACCGTTGGATGAATCGGAACTTAGTACTTCTGATGACGCCCTGCTGCCCTCTCCGATCATCAATGCTTTTCAGGCGCCATCATCGCAAGCAGGCCCCAAAGAGAAGGAACCAACCATTGTCAGCACAATTATACCCCAGACGCCGGGTACCACCAAGAAGCAGAGACGCAAGGCTCGTAGAGCAGCCGAGAAGGCATCGGAAGAAAACATAGACGACATACAGAAGAGCTTGGTGGCCCTCGCAGACTCATCAACAAAGGATGCCGATGTCGTCAACACCTCACCCACCAAGCCGTCTAGGGCCATGTCCAACGTCGGCGCCAAGATTAGACCAGCATCTCCTGCACCCGAGGTGTCTCAGGCGCCACGGACTCCTACTCCTGCTCAGCGGCCTGTTCTTACGAGGCGGCTACGCTCTTCTGCTTTACCAGTCACGCCCCAAGCTCAAGCACAGCAATTCCCCCCTCGGCCCACCACTCAACATGCAACCCTCGCACAACATCAAACGGTGCCTCCGTTCATTCCACAGTTGCAGCCATCACAAATGGTTGCGCCTATCAGTTCAGGCTTGGTGCCTAGGACTGTTCGGCCAGTCACTGTCCCTCGAAACTGCCAACATGCTCCTGTGCAACCGCACATACCAATGACACCTAGTCCTGCTCCCTTCCTCCACGCTTATGCCACACCGGTAAAGTCGGCCGTCACGATTCGTTCGCAGGTAGATCGGCATTTCCATCTATTCGAGAAATTGTTGGCACGGTTTCCAGAGGAGCGGAAATGGCTGGTCTCTCCTAAACAGATGGTGAACGAGAACACGACGGCTGAAGGTATCCATGTCTTTGTCGACGCCTCGAACATCATGATTGGCTTCAAGGACATGCTTCGCGTGAAAGGTGTCCAGTCGTTCGACATGTCGTTCGACAGTCTCGCGCTATTAATGGAGCGACGACGTCCGGTTGGAAAACGCTGTTTTGTTGGTTCGCACCGCGAGGCCAACCCATTACCACAGGTCACTCGACTCATCGAAACGTCGAAGGCCGTTGGTTACGAGTGCAGCGTACAGGAGCAAGTCTACATTGCCCGCGAGGAGTCTTCGAAGAAGAAATTCTTCAACGACGTGAACCGATTTGGCTGGCAAAAGGCTATCCAGAAGCGATCAGGCAGCGGCAGTGACTCTGAAACGGGCACTGCCGTAGCTCCCAAGACGCCATCCGCCCCGAAATGGGTGGAGCAAGGCGTCGATGAGCTCCTTCACTTGAAGATGTGCCAGAGCATGCTGGATACCGAAACCCCCAGTACCATGGTTCTCGCGACGGGCGACGGCGCGGAAGCGGAGATGTCTGATGGCTTCTTGGCTCATGTTGAGCGCGCGCTCAGATTAGGCTGGAAGGTGGAACTCATTACTTGGAGACAGCAGACGAATGGCGGTTATAAGCGCAAGGCGTTCAGGCAGAAGTGGGGCGAGCAATTCAGCATCACGGAGCTGGATGATTTCCTCGAGGATCTCATCGATACGCCTTAGGATGGCCCGGGGAGGACCTGGATGGATGTGTCTATCGAGGACATGGCGTGTGTATGATTTTCACGCGAGCGAGCATAGTAGTTACAGTTGTCATGCATAGTTTTGCCGTCACCTTCAATTGCATTTTCAGGCGCGTTGATGTTAGCTTTGGCAAGCCTCTAAGCGCAGTGAATATCAGGACATTGAACGTGTTCAGCCTCATTCCCTCGACGCATCAAAAGTTGCCGCGCTCCCGAGTCGCGGATCGTCACGGGCACAGACCGGCATGCAGAAAACGCAATTTCCCATCGTGCAGGAAAACAAAATGCCCGCGCCCCGTTCCGTTTTGCAAGTTCGCAGCAAATGGCTCGGACCACGACGCGCGCTGGGTGTAACCTGGATACGCGAGATACGGTTGTCTACGCGATTGACTCGCGTATTTTGGGGGGGCCGTTGGTTGGGCGTGCCGCCGTGAAACATGGGCGATCGGGGATGTGTTTGTTGGACTTGCAATGTTACACGCAGGGTTATCCAGACATGCTCTGCTGCAAGATTTGACAGATATGCGGGCGTTGTTGTGTAATGTATGTTGTTTTGTGCAAATAGTGAAGCGAGAAGACGTGTTCACCGGATAGCTAGGATAGGGGAGAGAGGGGAAAAAAAAAAAGGAGTGGGGAAATTACGATGGACCGGTATACAACAGAGTTTTCTTCATGTTCAATTTTGCAGTGAGTTGGACCTGAGTCGTGAATATTGAGAACAAGGGACGTCTTTGATTCGCATTCAACAAAAGAAAGTCTGGAACGGGGCCTGGCATGTCGCGTGAGAGAGGTTCGCGCTTCGTCCGACAAATCTCGTACGAAGTCGGATGGCGGCGCGCTGTGTCAGCGAGCACTTGAGAGAAGCCGGGCGGAAAAAGGAAATTGCGGTATCCACACAGCGAGGAGTCGGGGATCGGAGAGATCGGGCACGGCTGCGGATGATGCGTGATGCCGAGCGCCTACACAGTCAGCGCGCAGATGGAGTGATTGGTCAGATGCATGGAAAATCGCATGTGGAGATGGTTGTGAGGTCTGACAGCATGTGGTCCACGGAGTTCAAGAAGTGCGTGTGCGTGGCATGTTTCGGGGACTTTGGGGCGGGCCTTGGGGCTGGCGGTGGTGCGACGTTGGTTGCTGCGGCAAGGCTGAGCGGCCGTACAATATGGATGGAGTACGACGCAAGTAGCATGGATGGCAATCAATGTAAAGCCTGCCATGAAAGAAGATGTCTTGTCGTGACGATTTGCTGGCGCCGCGCGATCAGACGGATGTGCGCTGATGTCATGACGAGCTAACGGCGTGTCTAACTCATACTCGCATCTCGCATCGCGCTCTGCTCACCGCACCAGGCCGAGTAGACTAGTAGGCAGTGGTCGACTAATCTTGACTCCGTGCTACCAAGCAACGTGAGGCCTTGCCTTTGGCGTCACGCGAGCTTGATGCAGTCGCCGTGTCAGCGAGGAAGCGAGGAAGCGAGGAAGCGAGGAAGCGAGGAAGCGAGGAAGCGAGGAATGTGTGTCCAACAGACCAGCCAGCGCCCTTCAAGGCAACCAGCAGCTGTCTATCTTTGCACACAACAGCACTCGGGAACCAGAGGCACATCCTGGCGCGTCGTCTCACGGGCAGAACTGTGCGGTTAGGCTGTAAACGAAATTTGGGTGTAGCCGCGCCTGTCCCCGTGCGGCCTAGCCTCTGCTGCGCGCAACTAATTTGCAGGCCCCCGGTCGCAGCAGTGCAGCAGTGCAGCCATCCGGAGCTTCCACTGGGGCCTCTTTCATAAATCAGTAAACCCGCCCTCTTCCGCTCTTCCTCTCTCTCCCACCCGTCCACAGGCTTGCTGGTGCTTCGATAAGTCTCCCTTCCAGCACCGCAACCCCGCCAGCGAGTGATCCACCACCTGGTCGCTGTGTCGCCCGCTGCCCCAAGGACCCCCGTCTTCGCCCCCCGAGCCTCCGATCCAGCGAGCATTCACTTCCCCGCCGCCCTTCACCACCATGACGAACAAGAGCTACCTCGCCTTCCTCGACAGCTCCCAGAGCGCCGACATGCTGTCTCGAACAAAGGTCCCCGGCCTGTCCGCGCTGCCCAGCTTCATCCCCCATCGCGTGCGCCGGAAGTGGAGGGCGACCAAGTCGCGGATACGCAGTCGCCAGTCCGTCACGTCATCCATCGCCGGGCTCGAGACGTCGTTTTCGCCGTCCGACACAATCAAGGCCCTGAGGACACACCCGTGGTCCATATACGATGCGCAGTACCTGTTCCTCGCCATCGTCGCCATCTTCTCCCTGTCCGTGAGCGAAGCCCCCGGGCCCTTCGCAAAGACGTTTGTCGCCGGCCTGCTCATGACTGGTCTCTGTCTTCCCATCACTCGCCAGTTTCTGCTCCCATTGCTCCCCACCCTCACATGGATCCTTCTATTCTCAAGTTGCAAGTACGTCACCCTCCGCGCCTGCCTGCGCCACAATCACTTGTCTTGGCTGCTAGCGCTCCATATCGGACCGGGCGGCGGCCACGACTTTGCGCGTTTCACGCACGCGTGTACAGAGATGCTAACGTTGGGCTCGCAGATACATTTCCACCGACTACCGACCTGCCATTTGGGTGCGCGTCCTCCCGGCCCTCGAGAACATACTCTACGGCGCCAACTTGAGCAACATCCTCTCCGCGCACAAGCACGTAGTCCTTGATCTCATCGCCTGGTTGCCATACGGCGTTGTCCACTATGTGTCTCCGGTCATTGTCAGCTGCTGCATGTTTATCTGGGGACCTCCGGGTACTGCACCAACGTGGGCACGCGCTTTCGGCTACATGAACATCACGGCTGTGTTGATCCAGACCGTCTTTCCCTGCTCGCCCCCATGGTACGAGAACACATACGGTCTGGCGCCTGCCAACTACTCCATCGCCGGAGACGCCGCGGGTCTCAAGGCAATTGACAAGCTTTTTGGTATTGATCTGTATACTTCCGGATTCCACGCCTCTCCGGTCGTCTTTGGCGCTTTCCCCTCGCTCCACTCTGGATGGGCGACCCTCGAGACCTTGTTCATGGGACATTTGTTCCCCAAGCTCTTCCCGGTCTACGTGTTCTACACCATGTGGCTGTGGTGGTCCACCATGTACCTCTCGCACCACTACGCCGTTGACCTGGTTGCTGGCAGTCTTCGTAAGTCTACAATTCTGATCATCGCACATTGTTTGCTAATAAATATGCAGTTGCCGGTGTCTGCTTCTTCTTCGGCCGCGCCAAGTTCCTTCCCCGCCCACAAGCAGACAAGGAGTTCCGCTGGGACTACGACTATGTCGAGATTGGCGACCCCATGGATGGCGCTGGCTACAGCATGCTCGACATTTACGAAGAGTTCCAACCGCAGTCTGATTCTGATGACTGGGCTAGCGGTTCCTCTTCCTCCTACTCCACTGGTGGCCGCAGCCCTATGGGCGCCCACTCACCTGTTGACACCGACGCCCAGAGCCTCTGGGACGGCGATACCGTCGGGTCCGATACCGAACAGCGATAAATTTCTACCTATACGCCATCCTCATATCTCATCTCTAAGCTCGCATCATCACCTACACCTTTGCGGTGACGGCCTTGACGACTCATGCATACCCCCGGAGTTTTTTGTTTTCGCAGCATTTCAGCGATCCTATTGTGTGGATTTCACACAGCATAGAAACAGGCGTCGTAGCAAGAGACGGAACGCGTCATCACTCTAGGACCACAGCAACTTACTTCTTGTGGCTCCTTTAGCGCACTATTTCCGCGCGGTTTATTACACCTTTTTATTTGATACCCAAGTCGGTCGCTTCTGGCTCATTTTTGGACCTGTACAAAAAGTACTTCGTTTCGACCTGTACTTTATTCACATTCGCTTCAGCACCCGGCTCGCGCAGCTTCGAGTTACTTTTCTTCTTTCACATAGCAGCTGGGTGTCTGCTAGGGGGCTTCTCGGCACGAACGATGTTGAAATGCCTGGTGCAGGGCGCGTGGAAGTAAACTCGCGGTATGCGCCTTTCTTGGGGTGGCTGCAGTCCGCGAGGTAATCCTTAGTAGTAGTAATGCTTAATGGAATGGAAATGGTTGATGAACCAAGACTGTACAACTCCGACTGCACACGTGATATCTAAGTCGTCCCCATGTCCCATCTCAAACACCCAACCCTACACTTCACAACCACCTCCCTGTCGTCATCCCCAACGCTCCCCATAGCGCAATCACACACCGTCACCCCCACCCTCATCACCACCGACCCCTCCGGAAT